GGAGTTTGATGGTAATAGAGATTCTTATAAACATTCTAGCATAATGAAATTAAAAATTAATCTCAATCAATTTATTCACACTTATTTGGACGTCCCAAGGGGTTAAATTTTTTTTTTGGTAAAAATACTCTCAGTAAAAGAATTATCTTTCTAATGTAATGTTTTTCCTAAGTTTTTTCTTGACAAGCCAGATTTTGTCAAGAAAAAAAGATAAAAACCCATTAAGAGAAATACTTGTTAGTTATGATGTGTTTTATTCTTGTGACTTGCAAGATGGTCTATAATTAATTTCTGTTGCTTTTTATTAATTATGAGATCAATTAAAATCTATTGCATATTGGTAAGTGGTATGAGTGTCAAAGATGTTATTAGTAATCTTGAAACTCAGCTAGTGTTGTTAAACTTCTTAGATTACTAACTTATCACAAGCTTAGAAATATCATTCCACAAAAAACATAGGTTAAAAATTTTATGTGGTGATTAAAAAATGTGTTGTAAAGATCTATGCATGTTAGCCAAATACAAATACACAATTTAGAGTGTGTCTTGCACTTAATCTTTACTTATTGTTATAGGTAAGGAAGCATCCTAACCCAGGGTTCAATTTAATGGAAGAGGCTTAGAAATCCATGTAACATTGAAACATTATCTAAAGTGTTAATATTTACTACAACAGTTTTGACTTTAAATTTTTACCTCAACCTCTTCAATTGGAGAAGTTCTAGTGACAGATAATATAAAATTTGCTCTTGCAAAGGTGGTCTTAAGTCTTGCATAAACTATAAAAAAAAAGAAAAAGAAAAAAAAAAGAAAAGTAAATTGATTATGAACCTGAAAGGGTATGAAAAAGTTCCAAAATCTAAGTGTACATAATTTTAAATCCAAACATTCTAGTTTTTAGTATCTTAAAACAAGAGTTAAAGACTTAAGATCTAGAGAAGAAAAGCAAAGGGAAGAAGGAGATATTAGAAAGTTTGTAAAATGGGTTTTAAGGAAGAAATATGCTCCCAATTGGATAAAAGGAGAATCTATAATTGTCAAAACTATATAGCATGTCAAGTGGAAAAAAATGACTTAACAAGAGGGAGGAAGTTTATCCATAAATGTTTAATGGTAGTAATTTATGAAGAAGATACAAGAGAAAACTTCTATAGAGTAGAACCTTATAGTGATGCTTGCAAGCACAAGTGGGAGAGCCTTGAGGGGATGTATAAGAAGATCAAAAACTGCAATAGGAAAACATGTGTTCCAAACTTCCTCTTGCTTACATGTTTTTTTTTAATGTGATTGCAAATATTAAAAGTTTTAGAAGGCTAGATGCTCTAGAATTGTTCCAATATTATTTTATGCTTTTGCCCTTTCACTCTTTAGTTGTACACTTAGAAGTTACTCCATGCTCAAATTCTTTTCTTCCTTGGTTATATACTTGGGATTTTGATTTTATCCCTTTGTTTAGTAATTTAAAGCATTAAAACTTAATTTTTGCTCCATTGCCCTTGATATACAGGAAAGTGTGCCAAAGATCAAAGATCTTATAGAAAGAGATCTTTGATTTGGATAACCTATCAGACACACCATCTTTCTTTCCACTTGTAAAGGAATGGTCAATTCTTTTTTATAGCTTTTATTAGTTTTTCAAGTCTATTAGTGCCCACTTGGAAGCATAAGACCAATATGTACCAAATGGGGTAGAATTAACTATCTATACACTTTACACTCTCATGGATTTAAAGAGGCGGAAGGAGATGAAAACACAAGAGAATGAGAAGGAAGCTTTTATTGAGGTTTAAGCAGTTCACTAAGTTCACATCCTCATCAAAATTATTGATCTCCCTATAATAATTACTATTTTGGTTATGATAAGTTAAATATATACCTTAAATTAGGTTATATACTAAACCTTCTATTCTTAACTATAAGGGGGAGGCCTGCTGGCCGTTGGATCCCAAGCCTGAGATTGACACAGCTTAGCTAACGATTGGCTAGTGCGAGAAAAAGAGAAATGTGACACATGTTGCATTATCCTAGTCAGCTCATGGCAATTCAAGGTGGACCTCCCTTAATTTAGGGTGCTTGCATTGTGCTGGGCAACTCTCCTTGGAGCTATACATACCTCTATATCTCCTGGAAAAACTTCTAGCCCTGCTCAATCCATCCTGTGGAATCGCATACCATGATAACAAAGAAGAATGTAAATCCATTCAGCTTAGTGCCCTCCTTTAGCAGCTTGCCAATGATCTCCACGACCTTGGCTGCATTGCCTTTGTAGCTATAGCCTGCTATTAGTGTGTTCCACAAAACCATGTCCCTGGATATCACGGGGGAATCAAAGATGTGCTGAGCAATTCCACACTTGCCATAAGTACTGTTTGTGAAACTATTGCCTCTTGCAGGTCCCAGCATCAAATTCCCTTCTAGTTTCCAAATCCACCAAAGTCCTACAAGCCATCAGTAGCACCACTACAAATATTGGCAGTGTTTCTTTTAGCTCTATGCATTCAAAAACTTTAAAACCATCTTGCTCTCCCCTGTCTTAGCATATCCTAGTATGTCATGATGCTCTCATCTGGTTGAATACCTGAACATCCAACTTTGCATAAGTGTCAATCAGGGTGTTAGAGATTGGAGATCAAGTGGCAGAGCTGCCATGGAATAAAAGATGTGTTGGCTTTCTTAATGGTGGAATCACAGCTTATAAGCTCACTTTCTTATAGTGAGCTAACATTGAAGACAGCTCTAACATTGCATGTGAGTCTGTGGCTTTATTGCTGCTACTTGCTCAGCTCGTAGCTCTAGAACAGGTTTGTGGAAAATATGATAGAGGCTCTTGACAGGATGGAGGATTAGATGGTTTTTTCCTGCCTAGGATACAACAACCAGGTTCAAAGTGAACTGTTTAGCAATTGTCAAATCAGCATTGACATTGCTACCAGCAGTACCCATAGCTAAATGGCAACAGCAGGTATGAGCAAGAGCCAAAGGTAGGTGTTATTTTCTTCTCCCCACCAAAGCAATTTTGGTAGGCTCCAACAGCAGATCCTTGAATCAATTTCTAACTATGATAGGTTGTCCAAGAGAAGTTCAGCTTCAAGAGTGTAGAGAAGGTATGTAAACTTTTTTTGCACCATGGATTCGGGCTTGGGCTCAAAGTTCTTTCTTCTAGATTTTGAGAGTTATCTTTAAACATTTAAATTGGAATCAAGATGGTGAAGGACGGACATTGGGAAGAGGAGACAAATGTTAAACAATAAGTTTTGTCAACTGTCCAGAACTTTAGCTTCAAGACTTCTTTTGCAAAGTTCTTTCTTCTAGATTGTGAGAGCTATCGTTAGACACTTTGTAGTTTAGGAGTTGATCAAGCAGCAAACATAGCTAAGCTCACTAAATCTCTTGAAATGGCATGACATTTGCTAACCACCCAGCATTCACTGGGCAACTGCTAATATATATAAATGGCGTTCTGGAAGGGAAATGGTGTCACGTTTGTTCATCGGCTTCCATACACCGCGATTAATTTCTACTCGTATGAACAGTACAAGGCGGTAAGTAACGCATCGTTTACTCTGCTTTCCTGGTTAAAAGCAGTGGAGATGAGCTCGATTGTTTGCTCGTTTCGTCGCCGGTAGTGGAGCTGGAATCACTGCTGCTGCGACAACGTACCCTTTGGATCTCGTTCGAACGAGACTAGCAGCACAGGTGAGTAGAGCTTGACCGTAGAGAAAGATGATGCGAGGGATAGTTTTTCCTTTCTAGGCAATTCCTGAGAAGCTCTTAGCTGAAGTATGGCTTTGACAGAGGGGTTCTTGGGACTTATTTTGCGCCTTCGCAGGTGAAATGACCGCTGTGATTTGCATCTACCACAGGAGAGCTTTCTTGGCCTTTACAAGGGGCTATGGCCGACGCTTTTAGTATGTTCTTCGAGAGCTTATTACTGGAACGCTCAAAGGTGGATTTTTTCTTAGTTTCGAGTTCTTGGACTAGAGTGTGAGCATGTTTACTTCCAGGCCCGAGTCGTCCAGGATGGTGACGAGCTTGATCTCCGGTGGAGTAGCAGGAATTGCTGCCTCAACAGGTAAGAGTCTTAAGATCGATTACGTTTGATCGCCATCGTTCTGTTTTCAGCGGTGTTTCCGATCGATTTGGTAAAGTGAAGGATGCAACTCGAGGGCGATCGGAGATGGACACCAGGGATTGTGAGCGCGCTGAGGCACATTGTTCGCACCCAAGGCTACGCTGGGTTGTACAGGGGGATTTTACCCGAGTACCTCCCGGCCGTGGGGATTGCCTTCATGGTGTATGAAATGAAGTGATGAAGAACATTAGCGTCGCGAGGGAGAAGAGGTGAATGTAAATGGTCCCCGAACAGGTGTTGGTCAGTGGCAGGTTCCCCGCGTCCCCTATTTTTTTCCAACCGTCAGATATTCTTGAATCGACGGCCTTGGTTGAATTTAGCAAATATTTAGGGTTCTTGCGATGGATGGGAGCTCGCTTGTTCCGCGGCTTGGCAACGGCAGCGATCGATGCGCCGCATCAGCATTCGCTCTTTCGGAAGCGCCGCAGCGGGCGCCCGATTAGCAGGCGGCCACGCTGGTGTCGGCGCTGAAGGTATGTGGCGGCACAAGGGATTTGCGCAAGGGCAAGGCGATCCAAGCCCAGGCGGCGGAGAGGAAACAGCTGGGGATCCATGTTGCGAATGCGCTGGTGGACATGTACGCGAAAAGCGGCAGGATGGAGGATTCCCACCGCATTCTTCACCCAAACGTGACGTCCTGGAACGTTCTGATGCTGGGCTACGTCACGAGCCATGTGGCTCTGGATCTCTTCGAGAGGATGCAAGCCAGGCAGTCGGGCTGCAAGCCAAACTCCAGGAGCTTCATGGCCGCGGTGAAGGCTTGTAGCAGCCTCGCGGCAAAGGAAGACACTGTTTTTTGGTCGATGGGAAGCTCGTCAAGGAGGCTAGTCTCGAGACCAGCAGAGGCATCCATTCTCAAGCCAAGCAGATGGGACCGTCTTGCAGCGAAGACGTTTTCCTCTCGAGCTCGCTAATCGATATGTACTCCAAGTGCGGCATCATGCTCGATGCTCGATCGGTCTTCGATGAGATGCCACGGCGAGGGAATGCTTTGATACTGGGCTACGTAGAGAATGGAGAAAGCGAGGTCGCTCTCGAGTTCTTTGGGAAGATGGGACTGCTCGCGGACTTTCGTTGCTGCTGCCAAGGCCTGTGCGAATCTAGCAGTGAAAGAGGAGGCCACTAAAAAGATGGAAAGATGGTGAAGACGAAGAGCCCGGAGAGGGGCTCGCTGTTCACGATGGAGCTGTGAAAAGCCACTGCTGTGGAGATATCTTCGTGGGGAGCAGCCTCGTGGACATGTACTCAAAGTGTGGGCGTGGTGACGCGCGGATGGTTTTCGAGAGCATGCCTCGTCGCGATGTCGTGCTCAGAACGAGCTTGATACAGACAACGGGGAAAGCGAGCTGGCTCTCGTGTTCTTCGAAGCTATCCGGGTGCTGTCCAAACTCTCGAACGTATGTTGCTGCGCTTGCCACCTGTGCGAGATCGGCAATGCGAGAAGAAGCGGTGGATGTCGACGGGAAACTCGTGAAGAGAAAGAGCTTGGAAACTGGGGTGGCTATCCATGGTGAAGCTTCAAACAACAGGTGCTGCGAGGATGTGTTCGTGGGGAACACACTGATCGATATGTACGCGAAGTGTGGGAAGCTAGAGGAAGCTCGCAAGGCATGGCTGGCCGAGACGTGGTTTCGTGGAACACAACGATCTAGGGATCTGCTGGAAGTGGAGACAGCAAGATGGCCTTGGAGCTGGTCTTCGGCATGGCTTGGGAGAACGATCCGGACGAGAGAACGTTTGTTGCTGCGCTCATGGCCTGCGTCCACCTTTCAGCGTCCGAACAACCTGTTCCGCGGGAAGATAGAAAGCTACTGCGAATCCAGAGTCTAGAAAAGGGGATGCAGATTCATTCTCTTGCCGCGAAGTTTGAATGCTGCCAGTTGGAGCAGCTTAGTGGACATGTATGCCAAGTATGGAGATATGGTGAAAGCTCGAGCAGCTTTCAAAGGCATCCCTAGCCGGGACGTTGTTGGTTGGACGAGCTTGATCCAGGATATGTAGACAACGGTGAGAGTGAGCTTGGGCTGGAACTCTTGGAGAGCATGGACTGTGCTCCAAACTCTCAGACTCTTGTAGTGAGACTTACGGCCTGTGGGAACGTTGGGTCCAGTGAAGCTGGAAGGAAAATCCAGGCTGAGCTTTACAGCGTGGGCTGGAAGACGACCATGTTGTGGGGAAGTGCATGGTAAACTTCTACGGAAGTGCGGAATTATGAGCACTTGTTTGGATCTCTGGCAGTCCGAGATATCGTCGCCTGGAATGCACTGATCACAGGATTCGGCCGGGAGAAGATGGTGTGCGATCACGTTTGTCTCGCTCATCACTGCTTGCAGCCACGGCGACCTGGTTGAACGAGGCAGGGAGTTTTTCCAGGCAATGGACCCGGACTCTGGTATTGTTTGCGGGATTCATCACTACAGCAGCTTGGTGGATCTCTTCGGGCGTGCAAACCGACTGGAAGAGGCAGTGACAGTCCTCGAGAGCATGCCTTTGAGAGCGGACGCTGTGGTTTGGAGGAGCGTCCTCGGGGCCTGCCGCAAGTGGAAGGACGTGGAAGTGGGGAGGATCGCGTTCGAGGCACTGACGAAGATCGACGGGACAGACTGTGGTATTATGAAACGGTGTTGTGTTATTATTATGACGGTTGATACATGGTTAAATGTATGGGTTTATCGTGACGATCCGTGGCGGCGTCTGGATCGCTCATGTGGCTGTGTGCTGACGTGGTCTTGTTCACTCCCACACTCCTCCTCAAGGCCAACGTCTAAAGTCAGCCCAAGTGCCTTCGTGAAGACTTCATGTTTAACACGAGGAAGTGGTTTTGTTAGCACGTCCGCTAGCATGGAGTTTGTCGGGCAGAACTCCAGCTCGATCATTCCTCTCTGGATCTGCTCTCGTATGAAATGGAAGCGCAGCTCAATGTGTTTAGTACGAGAGTGGAACCTGGAGTTCTTGGTCAAAGCTATTGCAGACTGGTTGTCACACAATAGCTTGACCACGCCCGTGTTGATTTGTAGATCCTGGAGAAGTCCCTTCAGCCACGCTGCTTCCTTGATTGCAGCTGCTGCAGCTATGTACTCAGCCTCAGTACTCGACATCGCTGTAATAGCCTGTCGTTTGCTGCACCAGCTTGCGACATTTCCATTTAGCAGGAAAACGTAGCCTGTGGTTGACTTCCTGTTGTCTGGATCCCCGGCCCAATCAGCATCAGAGTAACCAGCCAGCTTATTGCCGCTCTCGCCTCTGGAGTACTTTAAAGTTAGCTGGTTAGTCCCTGCCATACCTCATAATACGTTTCAAAGCCTGCCAGTGTGCTGTGGAGGGACGGTCCAGGTACTTCGCCACTGTTCCCACAGCATACGCAAGGTCAGGCCGAGTGGAGATTACCAGGTAGATCAGGCTGCCGACCATAGAGCGATAGACTGCTCTAGATGCTTTCCCCTCCTCGGGAGATTGATCAAGGTACTCTCCACTCTCAGCAGATAATTTCGTGCCTGTTTCCATGGGAGTAGCAACCGGATTAACATGAGCAAGGCCATACCTCTGGAGCACGTCGGAAACATATTTTGCCTGGCTTAGCTCCAGAGTGCCTCGTTCCCTGTTGCGCGTCACCTGGATACCGAGGCAGAAATGCAACTCACCGAGGTCTTTCATGGCAAATTTAGCGCCAAGGTACGTTTTAAATTTGTGGATCAAACGTAGCTGATTTGCCACGAGAATAGCATCGTCCACATATAGCGCAAGGAACAAATAGCCCTCAGCGTCAAAATATATGTAGAGGTTACAATCAGCAGCACTGCGCACGAAACCAAGGGAAATTAGAAAAGAATCTATTTTCGTGTACCATTGGCGTGGCGACTGCTTGAGTCCGTAGAGAGCTTTGTGAAGCTTGCAAACGAGGTGTTCTTCTCCAGGCATACCAGGAGGCTGAGCCACATACACCTCTTCATCGATGTCGCCGTTAAGGAACGCAGTACAAACGTCAAGTTGATGGAGCTCGAGATCCAATTCTGCAGCTAGGATTAGTAGCATACGAATGGTTGTGAGTTTCACCACAGGGCTGTAAGTCTCCGAGTAGTCCAGCCCATGAACTTGAGAAAATCCGCGTGCCACAAATCTCGCCTTGTAGCGCTCAATGCTTCCATCAGCGTTGTACTTTTTCTTAAACAACCACTTGGATGAGACGAGCTTTCTGCGAGCTGGAAGTTCAACCAGCGACCAAGTGTTGTTTTTCTGGAGAGAATCATACTCCTCCTGCATAGCTGCCTGCCAGTGCTCAGCTTCTGGTCCGTGTAAAGCCGCCTGGGGACCGAGAGAGGCAGGTGGAGCCGACAGAGCCCAGAAGTAGGCACGCTTTCCTATAGGCATCGCCTCCTTGGCTTTGAGAGATGGTTTCACGACACGACCCGAGCGTGTCACCACTGCTGTGCCGGCTGGAGGAGGTGGTAGCTTGGGAGTGCTGGGAGGAGTGGTGGCATCTTGATATAGCTCGTCGCCAACGAACAGGTCAGCCACAAGCGTGGAAAGATCTGGCTGTTCATTGGTGCTTGAGGATGCAGCCGCTGTGGCCTGTGGAGTCATCAGAGGAGGTGTCGAAGGAAGAGAAGTACCGTGATCAGCTCCTCCTGCCAGATCGCCTCCTTCGGGCGCTCCTTCAGCAACTCCTCCTGGCTCTGCAGCGGCTGGATTGTCTGGTGCTGGGTGGAGATGTGGAACGTCGTCCAAAATCTCAGAAAGATCCACCAGAGATGGTGGAGAAACAGGAGGGAGTCTCAGGGTATCTCGATAAAGATGAGCTTCATCAAACACCACATCTCGGCTCACCACCAGTTTCCTGCGCTGGCAGTTATAGAGTCGATAGGCTTTTACCTGGGTGTGATAGCCCATGAAGATGCATTTCTCGCTCTTGGGATCCAGCTTCCGCCGCTGAACATCGGGGATGTGGGCGTAGGCTATGCAACCGAACACCCTCAGGTGCCCTAATTTGGGGCGCTTCCCTGTCCATACTTGAAACGGCACCTGTCCTGTGGAACGTGTTGGCAGCCGGTTCCGGAGGTACACTGCTGTGTTGAGTGCCTCTCCCCAAAACACCTTGGGCATGCCAGCGTGCTGGAGAAGGCAGCGTACACAGTCCATAAGTGTCCTGTTCAGGCGCTCGGCGACCCCATTCTGCTGCGAGGTGTGGGCTGCGGTGTACTCGTGGTGGATGCCAGCCTGAGCAAGAAATGCCAGAAACTCCTTGCTCATATACTCACCGCCGCCATCTGAACGTAGTGTCTGGATGGTACAGCCAGTGGCATTTTCTGCCCAGCTTTTGTAGACCTGGAAGTGATGGTAGACCTCTCCCTTGTGTGCCATGAGAACAGCCACCGCATAGCGTGAGTAGTCGTCAATGAACGAAACGAAGTACCGCTTGTGACTGAGAGTTGCTTCTGACACATGGCACACATCCGTGTGTACCAACTGAAGAAATCCTGAGGCGCCATCTTCTGGATTTCTGCGTGGAAAGGGTAGTCGTGGCTGCTTCCCCAGTTGGCATGTCTCACATACTCCCAGTTGGCCGGCACTGGTGAAGGTAAAGTCATCAGCAAGCTTGTGGCTAACAAGTAGCTGGATGTCGTGAGAATTAGCATGCCCTAGCCAAACGTGCCAAAGCTGGAGAGAGTTAGCAGCCCAAGAGCTAAGGCGAATTGCAAGCAAATGCCCCTGCTCGTGAGTTGAGAGGATCAACTGAGCATTGAGGTTGTAGAGAGTCTCAGCTCGTCTACCAAAAGCTACTGGATGGCCAGTCTCATCAAAGATGGTGCATCCGTCTGCATTGAAGAGTGTTGAGAAGCCTTGATCTGCTGCTACACCAACTGAGAACACTGTCTGTCCTGCTTCTGGTACGTAGTAGACCTGGTTCACGAGCTTCTCAGCTCCACTCTCCAACTTTATGATGACCGTTCCTTGTCCTTCCACTGTTAAGGGGCGTTTGTCTCCTACAAAGACTTGCTTCTCCTGCTCCAGTGGCTGGTACTTGTGAAAAGCTCTCTTCAATGGTGTGAGGTGCATCGAGGCTCCAGAATCCATCCAGAGCAGTTCGGCTTCGGACACAGATGCAGCGAGCGTCATCATCAACATCGTGTCAGGTTGGCGTGAAGAAGAGCTTCTTTCAGCGCGAGCTTTCTCTGCGGCTTTCTTGATCCGGCATTCACGCTCCACGTGACCAGCTTTGCCGCAGTAGTTACATGGGCCCTTGCGTTTTTTATTGGTTGCAAATCCAGGGCTGGGAGAAGGGCTCTTTTGTCCTCGAACAGGGCCATCTCGTTTCTTCCCATCCGATTGCTTTCCCATGATCAAGGCCGGCTCCACCCGAGCAGCCTGAGAGGGTGCCTTTTGTCTCCGCTCGTTCTGCTTTCGTTCTTCCTCGATCAGGTCCGAGTAGAGCGAGTCCAAGTCCTTTCCAGGCACAGCCGAGAGCATCGATGCGAAAGGTTGGAGATCAGGGGAGACAGAGCTCAGAAGGAATGCCTTAGCTTGATCGATGGTGATTGCCGCTTCCGCGTCCTTCAGCTCGGTGATCATCGCTTTAAACTTTCCAATGTAAGTGGCCATGGTGTCATCAGGTTGCATTCTCATCGTGAAGAACCTTTGTGTTAGCACCACCTTAGCATTGGCAGCTTTGGCAGCGAAGATTTGTGTAAGGGATGTCCAGTTCTGGTGGGCTGTTTTGGTAAGATCAAGGAGATGAACGAATTCATCCCCAAGACCTAACCCGATGACAAAGAGCGCTTTTCGATTCTTGGAGTCCCAGTCGAGCCGTTGGGTTACATCCGCAGCAGCCGGACGTTGAGTCGTTCCATCCACTATAGGCCAGCAGTCCTTGGCCAAACGGATAAGCTGTACTTTTGTTTTCCAAGTGGAGAAATTCTGTCCCGTGAACTTTTGGAGAAGTTTCTCCCAGCCCCCAGAGTCCCAAGAATTTCCAGAAGACATTCTATCTATTAATCTAAGAATAGATTAAACAGAGAATTTAGAAAGGACGGCGTGGAGAAGAATCGTGAAAAACTCGGCCGCAACAAGGGCACACCTTCCGGCAGGCTGGGCAAAGAGCTTGTTGGCGCTTTCGCTCCTGGATCTTCCGCTCCACCCACGCCAGCACTGCCAAAGCGCTCCTGAGCCAAGGGTTCCTGGCCCCTTTGATTCTTCATCTGCCACTGTCCTCTTGCCATTAGATCGTTCGCTGCTCCGATACCATGTGGTATTATGAAACGGTGTTGTGTTATTATTATGACGGTTGATACATGGTTAAATGTATGGGTTTATCGTGACGATCCGTGGCGGCGTCTGGATCGCTCACGTGGCTGTGTGCTGACGTGGTCTTGTTCACTCCCACACAGACTCGGCTGCGTACGTTCTGATGGCAATCGCTCGATGGTGATGGATTACGCGAGGAAGGACTGCAGCGGCATGGATGAGCGGTATAAAGTAAAGAAGAAGGTCCATAAGAAAGCACAGAGAAAGGCTGCCATGAAGATGGCGACGCTGACAAGTGTTGTCACGTCTCTTTGGTCATGTTCGCTACCACCTTGTCCGTCTCTTCTAGGCCTATGCGGCAGCGTAGCAGTGCTCGAACAGGTGTTGGTCAGTGGCAAGCCAGAGAGCTGGTTCCCAGCGAAGAGAGCCGCGTCCATGGACGAGAGTTGCGGGCTGTCAGGTATCCGTCCCACTAGGCTGTTGTTGGAGACGTCGAAGGTTGTGAGAAACGAGAGGTCCGCCACGGACGATGGTATGGAGCCATTGAGACGATTGCCCGCGAGCCACACCTTGGAGAGATTCCTTGCCTTCCCCAGGGACTCGGGAATGGGACCTGTTAGCTGGTTGTGGCTCAGGTCCAGCAGTTGAAGATTGTAGAGGTCGCCAATGGCCGTCGGAATGCTTCCAGTCAGCTGGTTAGAGGAGAAGTTTATGGATGTCGGGCAGGCAAAGCTGCTGTAGACGAGTCCTAGCATTTTAATGTCCAGCAGAAGCAGTTTGCTCTTGTGGTAAAGCTGGACGTTGGCAAACAGTCGGCCAATGCTTGCCGGCATCTCTCCCGAGAGCCTGTTATACGAGAAATCCATCTCTCGTAAGTTCGTGAGCCGGGGAAGCCAGTCCGGGACGGAGCCACTGAAGCCGCTGTTCGAGAGGAAGAGGAACTGCAAAGTCGAGACGTTTTGCAGCATCGCGGGGACTTCTCCAGAGAGGTTGTTCGAGCTAACGCTGAGGTAGATCAGCGAGCTCATCTTGCCGTAGGAGGCCGGGATGGAACCGACGAGATCATTGCTGTAAAGCGACAGATAGCGCAGGCGGCTCAAATTTCCAAAGCTGTCAGGGATATTTCCAGAGAACTTGTTCCGCTTCAGTGAGAGATGGACGAGCTCCGTGCAGTTGGAGAGTCCGGAAGGGAGCTCCCCACCGATGTCGTTGTAGTTGAGAACTAGCTGCTGGAGATGCGAGAGCTTCGAGAGCTCGCCTGGGATGGTTCCAGTCAAGTCATTGCTGTCGAGCAAGATCTGTCTGATGTTCGAGCAGTTCCCAAACTCCGGAGGTATGGCGCCACTGAAACGATTCCCCGTGAGAACCAGCAGCCTCAAGTTCCTCAAGCTTCCCACCTTCACTGGAATCGTCCCGTTAAACAAGTTTTGCCAGAGGTGCAAAGTCTCGATGCTCGCAAAGTCGCCATCTTCCAGCTCCAGCGGCCCGGAGAGAGAGTTGTATCCAGCGCTTAAATCCGCGAGCTTGCGTAGCCTTCGCAAGCTCGGTGGCAAACCACCCTGGAGCGAATTGTTGGAAATATCCAAGTACCTGAGCTCCAAGTTCTTGCTCCAGATATCGGGTAGATCTCCACTAAACCTGTTATACGATATGTCCAGGCGCGTCAAATTCGTCATCTCCCCGAAAGTCTCTGGAATGGAGCCGCTGAGTCCGTTGTGCGATAGGTCCAGTACCTCCAGTCCCAGGTTACCACCGATGGAAACGCTCGCAGTCAAGTTGTTGATGGACAGGTTGAGCGATCGCAGCGTCGAGCTAAACTTTGGAACTCCGGCCATTGATAAGAAGTTCGCACTGAGGTCCAGGCTTTCCAAACTCTGGAGGCTGGAGATATTACCCGGGAACTCTCGCAGAGAATTGGAGCTCAAGTTGAGGAGGTTGAGCTGCGTGTTCTTGCAACCAGTGACTTCTAGCGAGGAGATGCCGTTTTGCGAGAGGTCCAGGCGAGCCAGCGATGGAAGCTCGTCCCAGATGGCAGGAAGAACTCCCGAGAGATTAAACCTAGCCAGAGCGAGGCCCTCCACTCGGTTGTCCGAGCTCCACTCCACACCCCGCCATGCTCTTGGATTGGCGGTCTCGTTCCACACTTTGATGCCAAGCCTGTCACGGAGAGAGAAAAGAACCTGTGTGTCGTTCACGATTGGGGATGGATTCGTGGGGCACTGTGACCGGGACCTTGTGGGAAAGACGAGTAGGAACAAAGGCAGCAGCAAATCCGTGACAGACATAGCCAATACTCCTTAATCAAACCGATGGATCAGAACATCAAAGAGTGGAAAGATGGGATGGTTCGTTAAGCGCGAACGGGGGCAAGGGTTTTTGTGCTCGGGAGAGGGGGCGCGCGGCAAAGCGGAGCGCGGACAAGAGGAGCTATCGCCGTGGCTGCTCGAACCATGTAAGTTCCTCGATCGTTTGAGATTTTCTTTTCGCCACAGTTCGACTAGTTGGACTGATCTTCGAAAAAACAATCCGAATCCTGGACGTGTTGAAACATCAAAGGAAGACAAGTCTAAGGCCATGCTTCGGTATCAATCTTCCATTCGCAGTCTACTTCCGGGCGTCAAGAGCATGCTTTTGGTATGTTCTTCGACGCCAGACTTTTGCAGTGCAGAGCTATATATGGATATATGTTATATACATATGACATATATTAACAATTGCCTAGGGTGGTTGGCAAATTTGGCCATTTCAAAAGGTTTGCTGAGCTTAGTTATGTTTGTTGTTTGATCAACTCCACAATTGAAAGACATTTTCTTGACTATTTGTAATCACAAAATTGTAATGCATTTACCATACTTGATTGTTGTTTAAACTCCTCAAATTCAGATTTCCTATGCTGGAATTTACGAACTCTACCCATGAGCATTACATAAGCTAGATTAGATCACTATTGAGTTGCATTCTTCCATTTTGAACACAAAGAGCCTAAAAAATACTTTCAAGCCCATCTTTGGTGTAGGTGTTGCTATTTGCTCCACAACCTATTAAATAGGTTCCTGGGATGAGCCAAAAACCATTATACTACAATAAGAGTTGCACTTAGGAAGCAATAAGATGAAAACTATATCTTTGCCATTAACAGCTTAATAGCACGTTGCCATAACCAAAATGGCACACCACCCAAAGCACACCAGTCAATGCTAACTTTGTTGTGGTGTGCACTTGAAACTCACAATTGAAAGCCTTGTATTTGTCAGTCTACTTAAGAATTTCAGCATAAACTATATTCACAATGATTATGTGGTATAATTTGTGGAGATATGTTCTTAAGAAAAATCAAAATTATATTTTGTTTTAGAATTAATTTGTGTGGTGGTAGTATGATGGGGTGATTGAATTTAAGAATTCAATTGGGAACTCTTCAGGGTGATCTGAGTTAACTGTGTCAATGCTTAAGTAAACATATGGATCACCTGGTAATCTTCTAACAATATCATTATTTATTTTGAATATGTCGTCATTGAGTGGGGTGAGAATAACCTTTGATACAGCTATGTAAGTTTTTATAATGTCATTAATATTTAGGAAAATAAAGTTTACAATAAGTGTAGAGATAGATAGTGCATGTGGTATTTGGATAATATTTGGTGGGAGACATGGCAACTTCAAACTACTATCACCATTGCCAAGTTTGAGAAGCTATTCAGAAAAACAAAGATTGCTTAAACACATGCTTTTTTATTAGTGTTAGTGTTGTAAAGAATGACTATAGTCTATTCATTTTAACTAAGCTTGAAATAATAGAAGTTCTATAGCCATGGGGAAGAATAGGAAGGGTTTAACGAAAGTCACCATTTGTAATCACTATAACACTTTCAAATGGTTTAAAATTACATTTGAAATACTTAAAATATTTATCAACTGCAAGAAAGCACCATATTAATTTCATCCCATATGAAAACATTTGTTTGTTTAATGGTTTTTCTAGCAACACTATTAATTGTTAAAACAGAAATAGAAGTTTTATTTAAAGGAATAAGAAGTTTAAAAATTGTATGTGCCGTTTGACTATATTTTAGCAAAATACTTGCAATCCCAGTCCATGCCATATTGATTACTTTTATTTTTTTTAATTGTAATGCTGTAATTGATAGTATTAAGTAGAAAAGTTTTCCTAGTACCACCAGGTCCATCAATAAAAAAACATTGATGCTGATTTGTATCAATGGCATTCATAATGAGGTAAAAAATATAACATTGTTCATAACTAAATTGATTTTGTTTGTATTGATTTGGTTTTATAATGGATCAAGGATTTGTGTATTAAGTATGTGTTTGATAATAGGAGTAATAGCTGGGAGTGGTAAACCAAAATCTTAATTAGATTTATTGTGTAGTTGGAATTTTGAATTAATATTGAGTAAAGCAATATCAAAATAGTTTATATCATTTGTAACATAATCCTCAAAAATATCAATTTTGAATTGATCCCATAATAAATTTGGATCTCTTTGTGAATAATACAAACAAACAAAAATAAATAACTATTTTAATTGGGATGGCATTTTAAAAGTAGGAACTTCTTGTATGCAATGTTGTCATTCTGAATCATTTACCAAAAATCCCATTGCCATAACTGCTTGTTTAAAAAAGGAGAAAATAACACATTTGATAATATACATATCTTCAAATGATATAGCACCTTTTTTATAGAGCAATATAAGCTACAAATGGTACAACTCACTATTAAAAAGAGATATGGAATACATTCTTGGTATGAGTTTAACTTTTCATTAGCGTAATTGCCATTTATGAGAGGATTTATTATATGTGTAGTACAATAGAATTTGAGTATATGTATATTGCTTTGCATTATTATCTTGCATGTTTAAATTGAACCATTGTGCAAGCATTGTTTCATTTTAAGTGGCTTTTTCTAGTGCTCTTTGTTCATGACTTAATATGAAATAAACATTTTAAAAATTAGGTAAATGAACTAGAAGGTATATAATAGTTAATGATTTATCATGCATACAAAACTTAAATATATGCTATATGGCTTTGAAAGCAAAAATATATTGAGCATCAATAAAATTTGAGATTTTGTCCCAATTTAAAGTCCCTCATTTTTCAGATGCAATTAAGAATTCTAATGTTGCACAATTATAACCTTTGTGTACATATTGAAATAAATATTTAATACTTTTAATAAAAGCACAGATTTTTACATTGATATGTGATTTATATTTCTTACAAATGTATTTATTATAAAGAATAATCCATCTATTCTCAATAGTACAACCATTTTTTATAAAAGTGATTCCATTATCAGGTTAGTAGTAATCAGGATAACCATCAACACAATAAATGGTTTCAACATTAAATTCTTTTGGATAATTCTTAGAGCATTTGTTATTTTTTATGCAAGGGCTTCTAGGATTTAAATAACCACATGGACCATGTATCATATGATTTATAATTATGTTATGCAATTTTAGTTTTAGTAGTGGATGTGGCAGCTGTGCAATCTCAAATTCATCAACTGAGTTATGGTTTCTTATCTTGTCTTCACTTGATAACATTACTAATAAATGACAATGAAACAAACCTCTTTTCTAGAATTCAATAACATAAACATATATAATGCACTTCCCAAAAATTCCTTTAATACTTATATCATGTAGGAATTCTTTAAGTTTCAAGTTGAAAACTCTTGAAATAAGATCAAGTTGATCTTGAAGTGATTTATTTGGTTATAAGTTTTGCACAATTTCAGGCCACTTTAGGTTGTATGTAAATGTAATAAATAAGTCAAGTTTTCCAAAATATGTGACAATAACAATAGCATCTTGACAATATTGTTGCATTACTCGTGGGCTACTAAGAAATGTAGAAGGCAAAATTATAGCTCTTTTAGTTTCAGTGTTATTAGTAGCGGCTCTGTTACTAACATAATCCATAAAACCTGTGTAATAATCCACTTTTAAGTGTTTTTGATGAGTGCAAAAAAAATTAAAGTTGTTAGATTCAACCTTTACATAAGCATTAATCATAAATTGTTAAATGAGCTTCCCAACATATAGCAATTGATCATAAAGGAAAGAGTTGCCAATGCTATCTCGTTGAGATAATTTATATGCATAGTATTGGAGTAGCATTACATGCAACTCATTGTGGTAAATTTTTTCATACCAACCTTTATCACCAAATAGTAAAAGTAAAGGATAAATTATAAGATCACAATTTTCATTAAGAATAAAAAGTTGTTTTATGGATGTATGCATATTTCTCTATTAAGAGATGGCTCACCTTCATCAATAGCAAAAACAACAATAACATCATTAATCTATGGCAAGTTATAACAATGTAAATTAGTACCTTCACTTCTAACAATCATGTAAATACCATGCTTCAGAGTTCTATTACAAATTAAGTGATGTTGTTCTTGTAGTTCAAGATTATACATCATTTGAAAAGCTTGTGCATATGGGTTTATTATTCTTAACAAATGATCTAACTATAATAACAAATTAGGATCACAATTTATGTTGAATGGGTTTTGCTTTCTAATATTTATAGCCTCAGATGCGTCAAGTATGTAAAGTTGTCCATATGATGGTGGCATCTTAGTAGCAGGATATGCTAAAGTAATATTGTGATAAATTTGACCATGTATTCTAAAACAATATAAGCCTTTACCACTTAAATTATCAATATTAACACCCATTGATGCAAAAGCACTATTGAAATTTCTTATGTTAATTTTAAAGTTGGAGGTTTTATTTTCATTAGGTAAAGATGAAAGTTGAGGAAGGGAAATTTTTCCATTCTGGCAACACATTGATCTTGACTCGTTTTCAAAATGTAATGCACCACAAAAGACACATATGGATGACATATTTCCAATATTAAACATATGTGTTGTATGGTCATTATAATTCTTTGATGTACTAATTTATAGACAGTATAACTATGATGATTGCATGCATTTGTATTAGTTTCATTAGCATTTTCAATGTCTATATTTGTATGACCTTCATCAGCATGTGCTATATTTGTATTAGTATCGTAAAGATTTTAAGTAATTTTTGCATTAGCATGTTCAAAGTCTAAATTAGTTTCTTCATTAGCATATGCAAAGTTGTTGTGAATATGAACATATGTGTTAGTATCAATAGTTAGAGGCAACTGGTGATGTATGCCTTTTAATACTTCATGAAGCCAAGGCATATTTGCTAGGGAGGAATTTTTGTTTGATAAATGAAATGAAATAACCTATCTAGTGCAAATTTAAACATAAGGCAAAAAGTAGATGCGAGTGATGCATCAATTTAAAGGAAAATCAAAGAACTTATCTTAAAATTTTCAGAGGTTTTAAGTAAAAGCCAAAACTCATGTTCTTACACCCGAAAAAAAAATTTAAAAAAAATAATCGAAGACTATATAGTGAGAGCACAATCTATACATGCCTTAAGCTGTAAAAAAAAGAGACTAATCTAACAACCAACAAAACCTAGACACAGGACTAGCACACATTTTCTAGGGTGTGGTGAGCGCCCAAAAAGCCTCCCATGCTTTTAAGAATACAATGACACTTGATCCATGAGAGGTGGGTGGGGTCGAGAACTCACCTTGGGCTTATTCTCTCTTGTAGAAGGACAGGGATTGCAAACTCTTTGATGGTTATGGCTGTGAAGGCTGGCTCTGGCGCTAAATGGCATCCACAAACCCAAATGAAGACGTCTCAACACACAAAAATCCAGATTGTTGGGGTTGGGGGCCAAATTAGCAGCTGCCAGCCTGATGCTGAACATGAATCTCTGCAGGAAGGAGTGCAATTGCTGCGATTGCCACTGATCTGGCAAGCAAGCGTTAGCTCAATTACGGCAGGGCATCTACGGTGAGTTAAAAAGAACGGGCATGGAGGCAAGACATCAATAGTGACACATGTTAGATGCCTGTTTTGCCTCACTTGGAGCCAATGAGCACTGGAGCTGTGGTGGTCTCCCACTAGCCAGTGCAAACATCAGAAAAATTTCTCATGCAACCATGGCTACCAACCCTGGCCCAGGCCTGGGATCCAATGGCCGGCAGCGCTATCACTTTATAAATATAAATATAAATAAATAAATATATTTATATTCATCACTTTAATATTCCTTTTTGCTCAAACATTATAATAGTTTAAACACTCAGAAGGCTTTAAAGTCTCATTTTGATCTTCATCCATCATAAACACTTAATGCTCCCTCTCAAGGTGATCTACCTCATACTAAACCTTGGATTATTTTGCTGTATGTCTAGTCCCAAAATCTAACTTCCTCTTCTACCTCTGAAACTGTCCCTCCAATCTCTCCAAGAATTTTTATATCCCTTTCAAGATATCTATAATTATGCTTTACCTCTCTAGAACTATCATGGCTTGTTGCCTCTTAATCTATCCTATACTTTACCTCTTTAGAACTATCACGGCTTGTTGCCTCTTGATCGATCCTATAGATGCCTCTCTCTCAATAACACTTCCCAAAGAATCTTCTCACTGTTCTCCTTTAACCCAATCCAGAGCCATAATAGCTCTCTAAACCAGCCACCTGATGCTAACGCCTCTAGCTAGTGCCTCGCCTCTGAGCTGTGAATAACCAATCCATACCTCTGGACCACACTCACACCTGCCTATGCCTCTGCTCCACAACAAGATCATAAACATTTCCTTTTTTGGAAGTCTCATCCTCTAATTGTTACATTGCTCCCTCTCAAGGTGCTCTACCTCAAACTGAGGCCTTGGATAATCTAAACCACTTGAAGCAAGAGCAAGGATCTCTGGAAGGTAATGCTCTTGTGTGGAGTTATAAGCCACTCTCTAAACTAGCCGTCCACAGGTTCTCTCTTCTAGCCAGCACCTTTAGACCCTACCTAAGAATCACAATGCCTCTAGCTAGTGCTTATCATCACCTTAATCCAGCACACCTAGAGCTAGTGCCCTCTAGGTGCCTCTCCTAGCACTCAGCACCTCCACCCAACACCCAGCTTTGGTGCCATGCTGCCTCATCTCGCCCTGAGCAACTCACCAGCCGCACTCCAATAGTGTCTAGTGCTCGGCCTGGCTTGTTGCATTGATTGATGGATCAATCACGATGCATAGAGGGAGAATGGAAAGATGGGGCCCCAGGCTCTGAGTAGCCAACCCGAAATTCCAATGCAAGAGGAGCGATTAGAAAATCGCAGGGCTACAACGCCCATGCATCGCCTCAGCTTGCCAACAGCGTCTACAGCCTCTAGTGCCTTTGCCAGTGTCTAGTGCTCTACCTAGTGCCTCAGGACACTGTCTAGCACCTCTACTAACACAAGCCTCTACCCTTGAGCTCCACACCACACATAGCACATAACACCACCTATCTCAACATTTACCACCTTTGCCCTGACCTGGGCCTTAATGTAGCCATAGCCAAGAACTTCCTTTGCAGCCACAATTCTGTGACTCGCTCTCTTTGCCAACTTCCTTGCTAATCCACCTTTGACTAGCCACTTTGCTAGTGAGAGCCATCATCCCAGGATCTAAAGTCTGAATAGTGACAATAGATGAGCAAAGGATATTTCTCTGATATATCAAACAACAAAAAAAACAAGAAGAATAGTTGAGCTCCAACTCTTCCTGGGCAGCAGGTTGCAAACGGCCAGCTCCCTCCTCAGGATAAGCCCTAAACCCTAGCCCTAGAACGTAAAGATTTTCTTGACTGTGATGTACTGTGATGAAACACAGCCTTTTGGGATCACATAGCCTGGAAGAGAGAGAACACCATGATGTAATCTCAAAAAGTAGGAAGATTACATTCTACGTCCTTGAGTGCCTTTGGCATCACTCCTTGAGCCAAGCCGGACGAAAACCTGCGGTCAAACAATGCGTAGAAACAAAGTTTATCTGTCTAAAGTCTTGGCATACACTGCCGGAGAAGGACTGTGTAAGCTCTCCTTCCTAGCTGGAGTATATAGCGTGAATGGATAGATACCATCTGTGTGGTTGGCCACAACGCAGCTGCCGCAGATGAGCTCAACATGCGAAACTTTCTTGTGGAAACCGATCTCAGAAGTGTAATGCTTGTTTTCTCCCTTCATTTTTGAAACGAACAGGGAGCGAGTGGAACAGGGAGGATGTCGGGACGTGATCCTCCTAGCCAGCCTAAATCCCTAGGCCATGAAAGGGAATATTTCTGTTTTTTGCTACACAGGCCGAAATTACCAAGGCTGATCAAGGTTGGCATGCGGGAAGCTCCAGACTAGGGAAGTTAACGTATGGAAAGGTTTGCTTTTATGACTGCCGAAGCTTGTTTCTATCTCGCGGCTCGTCCATGGTGATGCATGCCGACAAGCCCTGGAAGTCGACCCGGGGGTGGTGGTCTCTCTCGTCGGCTTCTACGGAAAGTGTGGTAGCATGGCCTCTGACGCGAGCTCGCTGCTCGAGTGGTGGCCTGGAGCGTGCTCTTGACGTCCAGGTGATAGCAAACTGGTGCTCAAATGTTCACGGAATGGTTCTTGCAGCTCTCAGCAGTGGTGCTCGTCGATCAAGGCCGGGGGATCTTCCAGGCGATGGAGCGCCGCCTGGGGATGGACCATACCTTGAGCCAGGTGGAGGGGGTGGAGGTTACTAGGAGGATGTCGGGACGTGATCCCAAAACGGAGAAAGCAACCAGAAGATCCAAACCGTTTGATCACACCATGCGAATTACTTCAACTCTCATTCGGGGCTTTATACTTTTCTCAGATAAGCGCTGCATCTCAATACCAGTAGAGACTGGAACAAAGTCATGCTGTTTTCCAACGCTCAACAATTCCCTTGGCGATAAGATTGATCCATTGGGAGCAGTTTCACAACACACTCCGCATCTCAGATATGAACGCACCCAGTTTTGCAAGCCCTTCCTTCGGGGAGCTACTTTCACCCAAGAGCTTCACAGCTGCGCTACCAACAATTACACCGTCCGCTCCCCATTTAGCAATCTGTTCCAAAAGAGCACGCTATAACAAAGTATGTGGTATGGTTTGCTTACTTGAGCTGCTTGTTCGGGCGTCGAAACACCAAATCCAACAGCTATCGGCTTCGTCGTCACCTGAAAAGTTGAAAGTTTATTATGACTGGAGAAAACCAAATCAGCAGTATACCTGCTTGAGGTCTTTAAGAAGCTCCTCGACTCGGATACTGAGAGAAGCCCTTGCCCCTGTCACACCGGTCAAGCTCACCTACGGAAAGATATCAGATCTACTGCGATAGTTAAAGACCAAGAACTCACAAGATACACAAAACCCTGTGATGATTTGGCTATTTCTTCCATTCTTTCCCTCGGTGTGGTCGGCGTGGTTAGCAGCACCTAGAAAGATCAACCGAGAGTTAAGAACAAAAACTATCCAAAAGAGGTGGGCTCTTCAATGACACTTCAACTGAGAGCACTGGTACCTGATGCTTACAAGCTCAATATCTTGTGCCGCTGTCTTCTCTCTCAGAGCTTGAGTTTCTTCCAAAGGTACATCGGGGACAACCAAGCCTAAATTCCAGATTTCGTAAGCTTTGGCAAGAGAAAAAAAGCATCACTCACCAGAAACACCAGCCTCTTTGATTGAGGCCACAAAGTTGTCAATCCCGCGCTTGAGGATTGGATTGAAATAAGTGAAGAGCACCAGCGGCGCAGACAAAGTTGGTGCTACCTGTTATAAAAAAAAAACTCGTTGTAAAAGAAAACCTGTTATATAAGAAAAATAGAAACTTTGGAGACATTTACCTCATGAACCATGCTAAGAACGTTTTCCAGCGTCGTACCATTCCTGAGAGCCTTTGTGGCAGCAGCCTGAAAGATTGAAAACAAACAAACAAAAAAAATATCCAAAGAAAGTTGGATCAGGAAGAATAAAACAAAGATGCAAAAAAAATTTAAAAAATTCTTACTTGAATCACTGGTCCATCGGCTAAAGGATCCGAGTAAGGAACGCCCAGCTCAATAATATCCGCGCCTCGAGCATCCAGAAGCTTCAAAGCATCAGCCGTGGTCTCCAAGTTGGGATCGCCAGCAGTGATATACGGGATCAAAGCAATCTACAGCTTCACATTTTGTATCAATCACAAAAAGGAGAGGATGGATCCTCACCTTCTTCAATTCGCGAAGCTGGGCAAACTTGGCGCTGACTCCCTTTCCAGTCACCACTGGAGTGCCGACGGCCGCCACGGCGAAAACCCGAGCACGTCCACTGCTAGATCTGATGAAGGGCGCACTGCTCATCCCCACAGAGTGCGCGCCCTGTAGAGCCGCCATGGAAGAAAACCCCTCAAGAACCCTAAATGTCTGTGGGCATTTTCCCGCCCAAACTTTTAAAATGCAATGGAGAGCTAGGGTTCCATCAATCGATGGTGAGCTCGTTGATATTGGCCAGAGTCACATAGGGCGCGGATTTCTCCGGCTCCAGGGCATAGATGTGCTCCGCCGCGCGGGTGCCCAGCCCGGCATCCACATGAATCCACGACGCCGTCAGCAAATTCCCCCAGCTGATCCTCCCCGGCGCCACCGGCATCGAATCCACCAGGCCCTCGGCGTCCCCGAGCTCCCCAGCCCGGCCCAGCGCATCGATCATCGCCGTGTAGTGCCCCAGCGACGGATGATCCAGCCCAAAGTCGCGGGAGATCGCGGCGAAACATTCGTGCGCCTGCGCGATGGATCCAACCGCGCCGTGCGCCAGCAGCATCGTCGTCAGCGCGCTCTCGTCCGCCCGGATCCCGTGGAGCAGCATCTCGCGGAAGAGATCGATGGCGTCGCGGTGGTGGCCGTGATGGGCGAAGCCCGCGAGCATCACGCTCCAGAGGATTGGGTCGGGGATCCAGCGCGCCTGGCGGAACATCGTCGCGGCCTCGCGGATCTTGCCATTGCGCGTGTACGCCGCCATCAAGCTGGTCCACAGCACAAGATCCGGCTCGTGTATTCGATCAAACAGGCGCTGGGCCTCCTGGAGCTCGCCATTGTCGGCGAATCCACACACCACGATCGTCCACACTGTCACGTCCCACTCGGGCATTCGATCCAGCACAGCTTTCGCCGCGGCGGCCTCTCCCCAGCGCGCGTAGGCGGCAACCATTGCGGTCCATGACACGATCGAGTGGAGCTCGCGCTTGGAATCGAAGAGGGCTTTCGCCGGATCGAGATGCCCACTTCGCGCATACGCCTGGAACATCGTGCTCCACGCGCCGGATCGAGACGAGACTGGGGTCTCATCGAAGACGAGCCGGGCTCCGGCAAGATCCCCATTGCGAGCAAATGCCGCGATCATCACGTTCCTCGAAGGGAGATCGCTGCTGGGCATGAAAGCAAAGATTCGAGACGATGAATCCAGATTTCCGCTCGCAGCGTAGCCCTGGCAGAGAACGCTCCACGCGATTGGATCGGTCTCGGGCATTCGATCGATCACCCGGTGCGCAAAATCAACATGCCCAGAGAGAGCAAATGCGGTAGCGAGGGCAGTCCACGAGACATCGTTCTTCTCCGGCATGGATTGATCGAAGAACTCCTTGCAGGAATTTAGTCTTCCAGTTTGCGAGTACGCCGACAGCATCGCATTGCAAGCGACAGTGTCGATCTCCGGCATCGCATCAAACACGCTCTTCGAATCCTCCAGATGCCCTCTCTGGGCAAGGGCGTCGATCACTGCGGTTCCCGCGACGATCGAGTGGTGTGGCATCTTTTGGAATATTTCCCGGATCTCCGGAACATAGCCCGCCTTGGAGAAGGCGGCGACGATGAAGTTCCAGGTCACAGAGTTCTTCCCCAACGCAAGATCAAACAGTCTCTTGGATTCCTGGAGCTGCCCGAGCTGCCCAGCTCCCGTGATCATCAGATTCCAGGAATTCAAGTCCCGGGTCGGCATGAGATCGAAGATCTTCCTCGCGGCGTCGAGATCCCTGTGCTGGATGTGGATTTTGCAGGCGGCATTGCAAGCGATGGCGTCCCACTCCGGCATCCGGCGGAAGAATTCCAGCGCCAGCGACAGATCAAAGACATGATCTTGTTTTTGTTCCCAGGAATTCTGTCCCAGGGCCGTGACCATCGTGATCCAAGACACAGCGCTCCTCTCTGGCATCGTTTCAAAGTAATGCTTCGCTCTTTCAAGATGCCCAGTTTGGGCATTCACTGCGATTACGGTGTTCCAGGAGATTGTGGCTCTCTGCGGCATTCGAACAAACAAGTCTCGCGCGTGATCGCAATCCAATGCTCTTGCGTAGGCACTGCAAAGGGAATTCCAGGTCACTACATTTCTCTGCGGCGCCCCATCGAAGAGTTCTTTGGCTTGCAGTGGATGCGCGGCTGTGGCATATGCCGCGATCATCGTGTTCCACGAGTAGATGTCCGGCAATGCGATTGCGTCGAAGGATCTCCGTGCCAGATCGAGGCTGCCGCATTTGTTGTACATGTTGAGCGCGAGATTGGCAAGGTAGACGCTGCGCCGGTGCTTGCTCTCGAGGATCGCGCTGTGGATCTGTGATCCCTGGGCTAGATCCCGGCAGTGCAGAAGCGCCCGGGCGAAATCCCCAAACATGGGAGGAGGATGGATCAATGCGGCTCCACATCGAGATTTGAGTGGGAGAATCGCGAGCTAGGGATAGGGTTTTTGCGAGTGAGGGAGGTATGGCGTCGCCCATGGCGCCACCGGGCTCTCCAGATTCGCAGCACAATGTGGAGGAGGAGGAAGAGGAGGACGATCGCGACGATGCGGCAGCTGGAGGAGCTGGGGATCTCTATTCGACAGTGGTGTACAAGCCGGATCATCACTCCAGTGCCTACTCGGCCGCGCTCCACAAGAGTGCCAAGGATCTCTCGGCGCTACTCGACAAATCCGCGGCCGGGGGCGATCTCGATGGGGAAGATGATATTTACTCCACTGTGGTGTACAAGGGATCGGCCAGGGAAGACGAGGACGAGGAGAGCGCCGTGAAGAGGAGCGATCCTGTCTCTGGGGAATTCAAGGCTAGCAGGGAGGAATTCTCGACAGTGATCCTCAGGACTGGTGATTCGTTCGTCCGCAGGGCTCCGGAATCTAGCGCGTTTCTCCGGAAGAAACCGAGCCTTCCCAGGTCCAGGGACGAAGTTCTAGCTCCTCCCCAGGATGACGAGAGGTTTGCAAAGCGCAGAGGCAGCAGCAGTCCTGTGCATGAGAATGTGGCTCGTGAAGATCCTTCTTTGAAGTACGATCTTCTCAACCAGCTTGGTAAGGATTTGTGTTCTTCTTTTTTTCTTTCCTTCTCTTGATGGAGAGTGGGATTTTCGCAGGAAAGGGATCATATGGAGCGGTGTATAAGGCTCGGGATCGTAGAACATCCGAGTTCGTCGCGATCAAAGTTATATCCTTGACGGAAGGGGTAAGAAAGTTTGTAGTACTCTTTCAAGTGGTTCTTATGTTATCTCCGTAAGCTAGGAAGAAGGCTATGACGAGATACGAGGAGAGATTGAGATGCTGCAGCAGTGCAATCACCCCAACGTTGTGCGCTATCTGGGAAGCTATCAAGGAGAAGAATACTTATGGGTAAGTTGTCGAGCAAGGAAAGAAACAGCAAGTGGTAATGGTTTTTTCCAGATTGTTATGGAATACTGTGGAGGAGGCAGCGTTGGGGATCTCATGAGCATTACTGATGAACCTCTGGAAGAAGTTCAAATCGCCTATATATGCAGAGAGGCTTTGAAGGTGCGTAAAGAAAGAATTGTTTTTGCACAAGATGCTTAGTGTTTGCCTCTTAGGGACTTGCTTACCTTCATGCAATCTTTAAAGTCCACCGTGATATCAAGGGGGGAAATATCTTACTTACGGAACAAGGAGAGGTGAAGCTGGGTAAGGATCTAGTCTCTGGCGTACAAAAGAGATCAATCTTTTGCACTACTCAACTCACGTCTGTGCAGGTGATTTCGGTGTTGCGGCGCAGCTTACAAGAACGATGTCTAAGCGTAACACTGTAAGTATGGAAATGTTTCTTTTGCATTGCTATAAGCTATTGCTTTGCAGTTTATTGGTACTCCTCATTGGATGGCTCCCGAAGTTATACAAGAAAGTCGGTATGATGGCAAGGTAAGCGTGTCTTTGATATTTGTTTCCTGTGAGAACTAATCTCTCAGCTAGGTGGACGTATGGGCTTTAGGAGTTTCGGCAATTGAAATGGCAGAGGTAAGTAACTATAATAACAAAGCATGCAAGGACTGAAACTTATTATTGATGCAGGGGCTTCCTCCAAGATCGAATGTTCACCCTATGCGTGTATGACGTTTGTTTAGTTTCGATGAAGCATAATTTGCTGCGTTTCGTTTCAGGTTTTGTTCATGATTTCCAGGGAGCCTGCGCCAATGCTGGAGGATAAAGAGAAATGGTACGTCAATCGTCTTGGTTTATGTGTGCTAAATCTCGAGCGTATTCAGGTCGTTGGTTTTTCACGATTTTGTAGCCAAATGTTTGACAAAGGAGCCACGTCTCAGACCGACAGCAACCGCATTACTTCAGGTGTGGTTCTTTTTGTAGAATCAGTTTAATCCATCACATTTCCGTGAATTTCCCTGTACAGCACAAGTTTATTGAGAAATGCAAAGGTAGCGCTACATCCATGCTTCCAAGGATCGAAAGAGCTCGAGCATTGAAGGAATTGTCTGCTCGAACGTTTGGTCCAGAACAAGCAACAGTTTCCTCGGGGAATGGGGTGAGCTTTGATAATTTGTGCTTCGTTGATTTGAAAGTCATTTTGTGTGCTTCAGCAATGGTCATGGGAGAGGGGTCAAACCGTAAAAATGCATGAAAGCGTGGCTGCGACTGTATTAGTTAGACCAGACAAGGAAAAGGCGGACATTGACAACGAGGATACTGATGGTTGACTATTCTTGGATTACAAAAACTTTGCGTTCTGATGGTTTTTTTTTTGTGTGTGTGTGTGTGTGTTAGTTGGCGACTTTGGAACGATGGTCGTTCATAGAACTTCGTCGTTAACGGCACAATCTAGTGACTTGCTTCAGCTGAATCAATCAAGTACCGACCTGCAAGGGGATAATCCCACCGTTAAAAGCAATGCGAAGGTGGAAAGCGAAAAAGTAGTTGGCGAAGAAAGGTACGCGTTCGTCGTTCATTGACGGCTTTCTGGACGTTCTAATCCCGTTAATTCTTCAGACATGACGAGCCTGTGATTGCAGCGCCAATCGATCTCCCTCCGTTCTCCCCGGCTACGCCACCTTCTTTATCACCAAATCAACAACTTTCTAACGAGAGCCAAACCCTGAGAAGAAGAAAAAGTCCTGGAGATGGAGCTAGTACTGTGGGTGGAACAACGCCCCGTAATCTAGGAGGGTTTGCTTTGCATGACAAGGTACACAATTCTCTTTCGTTTCCTGGAACTTTTGCTTGATCCAAATTTCCGTGGCAGCTAGTGTCCATCTACGCGGCTGGAAACACTGTCCCAATACCGTTTCTACGAGCGACTGACATCTCTGCAATAGCCTTGCTATCCGACGACGTCTTGGGGAACGGTTTTGCCGATCACAGCGGCGCTGTGGCGCTGCAAACCGTCGAAGAACTCTACAATGCGGCCGGGGTGGCGGATTCCACATTCAAAAAGGGGAAGAAGCCAGGAACTAGTGAGGTATTTAACACACAAGCTGCTCTCTTGATTGAACCAGTGAGTGACGAGCTCCTTTGCACAGCAGACGCCTCTGCCCGCAAGCGTCTATCAAAGCCTGGCGACAAGCAGCACGCTCCAAAATCTCGCGCGCGCTCTAGCTTATCACAAAAGGTACTACCACTATCCATCTCGAGAGTGCTTCCAAGTTCTAAGCGTCTCTCTCGCTTCTCATACAGATGCTACGAAGAAATGCCGCTGCAAGGTTGGCAAGCTGCTCAAGAAGAGCGCGTCATTGGCAACTTATCTGACACCCTGCGAACAATCTTGCGCCTGTAGAAGAAGAATGGCAGCTTTGTGCAAACATCCCAACTCCAGTGTAAGTAGCTAGTCAAATTAATCCAAGAGCTTTGTTATTCTCTTACCATCTAAACCAGGATCTAGAGCAGCCAGTGGGAGCCGGCCACCTGGGCATCATCTTAGCCACTTAAAGACTTGTGGTGCTAGCGGTAGAGTGTCCGAGAGGAGTTTTTTGGAGCGAGAGGAGCAATGGCGGCAGTGTTGGAGCGCTCGGCCTTCTGCGGCTCGTCCCTCGCGAGAGCACCAGTGGCAGCACGGGGCCTCCCGGCGTTGAGCACCCGCCTCACCGTCACAGCCAGGGGAGGCAAGAAGATCTCGACCAAAGCACCTCTAGGTACGTGCAAACTTTAGCTCGTTTTTACATCCTCACTCTTCTTTCATTCCAATCTCACAATCTCGATCCAAACAGGCCCTTCTGGAGACCTCTCTTTCAAGTCGGGATTGGACGCATCTGGTCGCGGAACCAAGGTATTTGATAGTTTTTCTGCGGTGAGCTGAACCATCTCGGTTCTTGTTTATGAATCACACAGGGGAAGGGCGTGTACCAATTCACGAAGAAATACGGGGCCAATGTGGACGGATACAGGTGAGCAAGGAAACGAGGAAATAACGGAGAGAAGTCTAACCAAGCTGGAAATTCTCGCAGTCCCATCTACACTCCAGACGAATGGTCGCCTTCGGGAGACGTTTACACGGGTGGTAAGTGGAAGTTTTTGCTTCGTTTTTTCCTTCGAGTTGTAAGGTTTTCTTGTTGGATTTCCAGGCCAGACGGGGCTGCTGCTATGGGCAATAACGCTGGGAGGTGTGCTTCTGGCTGGAGTGTTCCTTGTCTACAGCACCAGCGCTCTCGCAAGCTAAAGTCTTGTAAACATTATCCTGTGGATAAAAAGATTTTACGTATTCGACGACAAGCAAATATCCGTAGGTAGCTAATCTGATCGCAAAACAAACATGACTCGAAATATGAAAAGAACAACGTAAACATTTGTAAAGTCTGTTTTGTGTGTCAAAGTTTCATGCTCCAGAATCTCCAGAATTTGGTTTAATCACGCGATATACTTATAAGCCTCCAATTTTTCTCACCATCTTCGACACACGATTCGATTACGATCGTTTGAAGCTCGCAATTCTCAAGCCTGTAATGAAGGTTTTAATAGAAGAAGAGCAGAAAACTATAAAGCAGAGGAATTACCACCCAGGATCAGATGTAGAGCTTCCACTGATAGCTCTAAGAAACTCGTGCAAGAAGTAGGAATGAGAAACCACCGCCATCTCCTCCTCCTCTCGACTCATCAACCTGGCACGGACCAAGCTCCAAGGATTCAACTCCAAAAGATCGAGCGGGCGAATCATCTAGACAAGCTTGTTACCATTGGAAGAAAGCTTTGGCTCGCTCTTGCATTTCTTGGAGAGACTCCTCCACCCCGGGCCGCCACAGCACATCCTGATCGTGTTGGACGAGCGAGAAATCAATCCCTGGGAACTCCGCTCTGTAGGAGCTGATATCACGCCTGCGATGCGCTGCCGAATGAGCCTGGCGCGCGCGAGAGGACATTAGTAAACTCTGGAACAAAAAGACGAGAGAGAGGCCCTCACAATGTGCTCACGACAAAGCTCTTGCGCTACAAATGGTGGAGACTTTGTCGATGGCTTTGCTCTTGTGCAAGGATTCGTCTTCCCTTTCTTCATGAGGATCGGCTTTGCTTCACCATTGTCGTCGTAAATCTCTCGCTCGCCAAACACCCCAGCGGCTGTTTGCAGTGTCCTGTTTGTTTTGCAAGTAAAAAGAAGTAAGAAAAGTTAGATCGAAGCGAGCTTACCTTGTCATTGGAGAGACTACAACTAATCCGATTTTGCTATCCAGTCCGCTCGCTACAACCATTTGACGACACTTCTCGACCTGATTGATTTAGAACGATAGAAACTTAGAACGAAGGAAAAAGGACAGAGTTTTTCTTTTTTTCATTCATTCTATACCTGTAGCCAGCCAGTAGGAGTGAGACTGGCATCAAACCTGTAGGATGGAAAGATGCGGGACAAGATGGATAGCCAAATGGAGCTCAAGAGTTGCAAGAGACGCCCAAGTTTGATAGTTCGCCATCCTCCAAAAAGAATCAAGCGCCGGAGCTCCGTGAGAGTTGTTCTCGCGAGGTTGTGGTAGCCTTGAGCGTGACGAATCTATAAACCAGGAATGGAAACACGCGCTAGCAAAGTTTTCACAAACCAGGTGTATCGTTTTGTACTGAGTCGCCATCTCTGGAGCTATAGGGTTACCTCAGGGTTATTAAGTCCTTTTCAATATGATGTTATTTTACCAGCATTCGCATAGAATGGACAAAAACGATGGCGTTTCGGCAAGCTACAAAGGTATGGAGCGAACGTGATCATCAAAACAGCTGGAGAATCCTCGGGATTCAGTGGTCGCGCCGTCGCTCTCCAAGTCGAGCGGCATAATTTAATCCCTCGTTTCGTTCTTCAACAGAACGAGCTCGGCGATGTCTATCTTACGTGCTGTTCGAGCGGTGAGTTGTGTCAGGGACAAACATCCGATCGACGAAATCTCGAGGTAAGATATGAAATGGACTGATACGCTGTGGTCTTAACGATCTCGAGGTTGATGGTGGTTGCACGAGCTACTTCTTGGCTGCTATATAAACTCGCCCCTTTGGAACACATCCGAAAAAGCATAGAAAAATGGCTGCATTGAAGTTCTTCTTCGAGGCTCTCTTTCTGGCCGCGATTTTTATCCTCCAGGCTCTCTGCGAGCCTCAGGGTTCCAAGGGAGTCACCAGTCGATTCGTGAGAAAGCTCCAAGACTCTGGGGATTTGCCAGAGACGAGCGAATGGTTCATCACTTTCGACGCAACTTTGAACCTTCCCGAACAGGTAACTCCTCAAGCGAGCTTTTGTGTTAGTCTCGCGTTGATGATCTGATCATCTCTTCTTGGAAAGGTTCACTTGACGCAAGGAGATTACATTGGCCAAACAACGACGGTCTCGTGGGTAACTTGGGCCAACTCCAGCGGCAACATCGTCCAGTATGGAAAGAGCAAAGACAGCTATACAAGCAGCGTCCAAAGCGATGTCACAACGTACACATACGGCGACTACACATCTGGCTTTATCCACCATGCCAAATTGGAGGGACTCGATGTAAGCCTCGCAAAACTCCATCTTTGTTTGGTTGAATCTTGGAACGAACCTAACCGTGACCGTCGTTTTGTCTATAGTATGGGACCACCTATTTCTACAAGGTTGGAGATGGAAGCTCTTCTCGGGAATTCTCATTCACAACTCCTCCAGAAGTTGGTCCGGATGCTGCTCACGTTTTTGGGATCACAGGTAGCTTTAGTCGATTTCTAGAGCTTTTAACCGAGATTTCTCCTCTTTTTCTTTCTTGAAGCTGATCTCGGACAGACTATAAACTCTGCTCAAACAGTTGCTCACTACACACGAAGTGGCGGCCAGACGATGCTCTTCGTAGGAGACATGTCTTACGCTGATAGATACAGGAGCAACAGCCAAGTGAGATGGGATATATGGCTTCGCCTCCTGGAGAACAGCACCGCGTTCCAGTCGTGGATGTGGGTGGCGGGCGATCATGAGATCGAGGCCAAAGGCAACAGCGTAAGAACTTACGAGGCCAAACAATTTCCTCCATTTTCCTCCCATCTGAAAGTTTCGATCTTGCCAGGGAGAGACCGAGAAGTTCAAAGCTTTCAACAAAAGATTTCCAGTGCCTTACCAAGCATCCGGGAGCACGTCGAGCTTGTATTACGCGTTCAAGAGAGCCTCGGCTCACTTCATCGCAATCTCATACTACGATGACTATTGTAAGCATGCAATTCCAATTCTTTTCCCAGCACTTGAAAACTCTAAACATGTTTGTTTTTCTCCTGGATAGCTCAAGGTAGCACTCAGTACCAATGGCTACAAACCGAGCTCTCAAAGGTGGATAGAAGCACGACGCCATGGCTGATTATCTTGGAGCACGTCCCATGGTACAATAGCAACACACACCACTACCAGCAGGGAGATGAAATGCGCTCTGTGCTCGAGCCTCTCATCGTTAATGCCAAGGCCGACATATTCTTTGCTGGTCACGTCCATGCCTACGAGCGCACGGTAGAAAAATGTGAACTATTTTCCCCTGAAGAAACTGTCGACATTCTTTCGCTTTTTCCAGTTTCGTGCTTCAGCGCTGAATTGCTCTGGCGGCTGTAGCGATGAAAACGCTCCCGTTTACATCAACATTGGAGATGGTGGAAACTCGGAAGGCCTGGTTGGAAGGTGAGTGATTGTTCTTTCGTTCTAAAGGTTTCTTTGTTTGCTCATCAAGATCGTATATATGTAGTTTTGTGAGCCCCCAGCCGAGCTATTCTGCATTTCGGGAAGCAAGCTATGGATTTGCGACGCTGGACATCAGGAACAGGACTCATGCTTTGTACAATTGGCACCGAAACGACGATGGCGATGCCGTCGTAGCAGACTCTACATGGATTATCAATCGCGTCTCCTCGTAGTTTAAAAATTCAAGCTGCTCAACCAGCAGACTATCTTACAGAATGTAAATCAGGCCCAAACCCTGTTTCGCTTTATCAAGTCGGAGGTTTTGAGTTTGTCTATCTTGGCTGCGAGGATGAAATCATTTTCTGTGAGGCCACCTGCGCAAAAATCACAGGTTTCTTAGCGATCGACAAAAAACAAGAAAAGAAATCCTGAGAAGGGAGACTACCAAGTGACTCCGTCCATATGTCGACTTTGGCCCTGTTTTTCCGATCGAGCGAGAGGCTGGGGAAGTAATTCTCGGCCTTGGCTACAGCGGCAATCCTCTGGAAGAGCTCCACTCCAGCGCTAAAACTCGCCAAGTTCCATTCGCCCTGTAGCTTCAAGCAGCCATCCTCGTTTATGATCCTCCATCCCACCACCTATCCAATGGAAACGTTACAAAAGAGGAAAAAGAAAACAATTTGGCATGCCTTGCGAAGAAATTCCTTGGCCTCTTTCTCGGTCATGGCTGTTGCACCACGGGGAAGCTCAGCGCAAGATTTCTGGGCAATCTCCACCGGGCGGGAGGGAACAAGGATGATGTGCTCGGTGCTAGCATTCCCAAGAACCTTGTCCCCAAATTTGCTCTCCAGCTCCTCCGGGAATGGATCCCTGGCTCCAAGTTCGATGTCCTTCCCTGCTGCTGTGGCTCGGACGAGCATTACCTTGCGTGTACCACAGGCGGGAAGCTGGAATGAAGTCGAAGATGACGGCATTGCCACGCCAAGAAGAGCCATCGCCATGGCCTTCAATTTTCGACAAACACATTCTTAAATAAGATTTCATAATTATTTATTATTTAGATATTTCTTGTTTATTCAGGCTTTTTGTTTATATCACTCAATTAGGGTTGAAATTTTTGAGCCATTCATTTCAAATCATTTCATTTGCTTATTTAGTTTAGATAATAATCTTTCATATATATTCATAGACATTTATTTTATTGAAAAAATTAATATTATAGCTGTTTATAGTTTATAATAACAAGATAACGGTCACTCAATGTGAAGAGAATTAAAATATATCAAAAGCTTCTCTTTTGATTATCAGGAAAACAATCTCTTCAGATCCAACCACTCACTGTTACCATTTTATAAAGGGGGTGAACACTTTGGTGGTGCTTCTTCATCTTTTAGAAATCTAACTTAAGATATATGATCTCAAGTAGAAACTTCCAATTGATACATAGAGCTCATAAAATCTACAATAACACTTCAATAACTTCAACACCTTCAAATCGGCATTGTACACGAACCAATTGAATTTACAGTGTAGTAAACCTCAAATTTAGAGTGGAAGTGATCATTTATATACCAAGAAACCAATTGCCAAAAGATCGTCTACATCACTACCAGCAGCGTTTTCTCTGTCACTCCAGAAGTCCAGCAGTGCCAGGTAGCCACCGGGAGCTCGAGCAGCTGCATCGTGTCCAGCGTCTGCTACAACTCTGTTGACACGAGCGAGATCTGGCTTTCTCCAAAGTCTTTGGCCTTGCTTCGTCACGACTAAGAAACTCGAGAGCGCTTTTGGTGGACACTCTTCCCATCCTGGCGCATTCACGAAGCATCATAAAACATAGAGAACGGACCTATCACCAAGGTCTCATAGCTTGAGCAGTAGGAAACGTGATACTTGAGTAGAACAGGTGTGTGCTTAAGCCAGAAGGGCGATCAAAGCTTGAAACTATCACGGGAAAGTAGAGAGGAACATACATTTAGTCAGGGATCAAGTGTCTTGCGAGTAACATCATGGAGCAAAGTAGCAGGCACAGGCTCTGGAAAACACGTAGGCTAGATAAGCACTTGTTCTTGTGCCATTTCTCTGAGACCTGGTTCCAGAGGTTTGGACTGTGGCTGCTTGACCTCAAGAGATCTCAATCAAATGACCCTTTAGATCCCTTTCGTCTCCCTTTTCTCCCGCTCTGTATATAACTAGGACGAGAGAAACCCTTCCTAGAGTCGTGCAGCGATGTTGAAAGCAGCAAAGCGCGAGAAGGTGTCACAGGACGTGGAAGGCCCCTACTGTAAGATCGGTGTGTCGTGTATGCAGGGATGGCGCTGGTTCATGGAGGACGCTCACGCCGTCGTTGCCGACCTTGACACTAAAGGTATGGCATATGTGGGAGTCTTCGATTCCCACATCTCTCCAAGAGCAGCCCAGTTCTGCGCCCAGAACATGCACGCTCGCATCCTAGATCGCGCTCCTCTCGATGATCTCGGCCTCGTCCTCCACAAATCCTTCATGGACATGGATGGGGAGTTCCGGGGCACCATAAAGGACCCATCGGATCCAGACTCGGTGTTTCGTGCCGGGGGCTGCACGGCCACGGTGGTGCTGCTGAGCGACCGCGGCACAAAGGTGACGGTGGCGGGCGTGGGCGATTGCCGGTGCGTGGCTTCCAGGGCCGGGGTGGCGGAAGAGCTGAGCCGGGATCACAAACCGGACCTCCCTGACGAGAGAGAGCGCATCGAGGCCGCGGGTGGCAGCGTTACTTTCGGGCGGCTCAAGGATCTCAACGTGAGCAGGGGCATCGGGGACTACCGCCTCAAGATCCCGGCCGACCTTCCGCCTGAGAAGCAGCAGCTGAGCGCAGCACCGGAGATCAGGGAGGCGACGGTGGTTGGTGATCCGGGGATTGAGTTTGTGGTGGTTGCGTCGGATGGTGTTTGGGAGTGCCGATCCAGCCAGGAGGTGGTGGACTTTGTGCGTGGCAAGCTGATGGAGAGTGAGAGCCAAGGAGGGCCATTGGTATCAAGGATTTGCGAGGAGCTTATGGATTCTTGTGTTAAGGCTAAGAATCCCAAGGATAAGGACGAGCCAGGGACAACGGACAATATAACTATGGCCATCCTCGTTCCAGTGCCAGCATGCGTTTGAGCTTATAAATCAAGGTGGGGAATGGGGAAATCGTGCTTTGTATCTCGCGCTCCAATACTATGTGTGCGAAAAATTTTAGGAAATTTTTTAGGAAACTGAAAACCTTGTAAGCAGCCTTTTTCAAATAGGAGTCGGATACGGAACTATACGAGAATACATATATTTATTATATCTCACATATTATAACAAACACTGTTGTGAAAATATAATATAACTTTCAGAGAGGTATTAAATTAATAAGAATATACTTAAAATTATGGACAAATAAATTGTCAATACTAAAGGAATTTAAGAATTTTTTGACAACATCAAAGAAAATAAAGTTTAAAATAGGCATAGTCACAAGTATTAAACTCTTTTAGTTTGGTTAGTCTTGAGAAAATATATGGCTTTAAGCATTTTGTTATTGATTTTATCCAGATTAGTTAATGCACCTGAAATCGGTTTTAGACCAGAGGATACAGATCTTATAAATTCAAATACTACAACTAGGATTATATCAAATTTACTTTTAATAATAAATGTCAGAGTTCCTCGTCATGCAACACTGCCAGTAGGTCAAAATATAGTAGGTAGAATAGATTTGGATGATGAAATATATGGTAGAATAACTGTGTATGTACAAATATGGCTTTACAGCCGGGAGAGAGGGAAAAGCTATAGGTATTGTTCTGCTAATCCTACTGGAGAGCGTGTTAACACTGATGAAATGTTACGAGACTTGGTTAACTTAATAATGTATTATCGCCCTGCTCTTATAAGTTTAGGTTCTAGATTGATTGCTATAACATCAGGGATTTATGGTATTTATTACTGGGTTAGAAATACAAATTTACCTCATTCTATAAAATCTAGCTTTAGACCATCAAATCAGCTTAACAATTTTAATGATTGTCATATTTCCTTGAGTACATTAATTAGCTTTACACTTTATAATACTTTATTAGAATTTCAATTTATAACATCTCCAAATAAAAAAGCACACCTTTATTTACATCCTAACTGCAAATTAGAATTATATATCGGACATGAATCAAAGTGGTTCATATCACGAAATGACATCAACTGTTATCTTATATTACAAGAGGATGGTAATCTCGTTTTATATAATGTAAATAAGAAAGCTGTGTGGTCACCAAATAAGTATTGTAATATCCAGCCAAATTGTGTCATGAATACTTATCTTTCTTTACAAAATAATTGTAATCTAATTTTGTACCAAAATAACCAGGATATATTTTCTAAAGTACCAAGAGTTAAAACCCTTTGGTCAACTGATACATTTTGTAATTGAAACAACAAGAGGAAGGGTTTGTATAAACTGTTTATTGAATATTATAGTGTTATTTTTATTTAATAATCCAATTGATCAAATGCAAATTTAAAATTATAGAGATTAACTTTATTGCATAAGATGGTAGAATATACTAGGAAGTGTTTGAATAACAACCGTTAGATAGTAAAATATTCTAGAATTTCCAAGCATATTTTAGATATATTCACTAACAAATGAAAAATTTCAAAACTAAGTATTGTAATTTATTTTTATAAAAAAAATTAAGATACATTGAAGGTCATGGTGACTCAGGTTCAAATCTAATTTCAGGCTCTTGAGTTGGGATCACTTATTCTAAAGAATATTATTCATACTACTTTAGAAACAATTCACTTATGAAATCACTGTTCAAATGCAGAATAAACATGTTTGACACTGGCGATTCAGCTTCCCTCCTGTGTACACTCAACCAAGCCACAGCAGCAGCAGGGAAAGAGATCAAATTTGGAGCCACAAGGATTGCGAGCGCCGAGCACGTCACCCTTGCCCAGTGGAGATCGCGGCCCAGAAAGCTTGAGCTGTTGGTGTAAACGAAAATGGCTGCTTGAAGCTATGAGAGGATTGCGCCTGTAGCCAGGGCCGAGAATTACTTCGACGAGTCACTCCAACCTCGTTATATTTTTCCGTTTGTTCTGTGCATTAATATTAGCTAGCAGTCAACACGCTGACCGACAACAGTTTCTTCATGAGAAGCACCTCTTGCATTGCGCGCCTCCTTTTCTCACCTTGCAAAGTTTCTGATAAAATGATCGAGCCTTCCCTTTATGTGGTTGTTTCGTCCAAGAAACAATGCTCGTCTTCAAGGATCTCCATTTTAAATCTGTGCTTGTCTTGGTCATTCACTGGATCTTACAGGTTGAGTCGCATTACGCGGTAACACAATACAAAAGAAAAACCGACACAGAAAAAAAGAGAAAGAAGAACTCACCATGTGGTGCCTTTTGCAGACGAAGAACTGGATTAGCCACGGAGGAGACCTGGGAAATCGACGCTATGCAGCGAGCGAGCACAAGATCAACTTAGAAACCGCACCTTCGCTCGCTCTCCGGTGGAGATATGTCACCCAGGGAGATGTCTCGGCTACACCGGCGATTCACGACTGCGCGGTGTATGTACCAAGCTGGAACGGCATCGTGGCTGCAGTGGCCATGGACGGGGCTACGCTGTGGCAAACCAACTTGTCGCAAGTCACAAGCTTGCACCCGGCCGTGTCGAGAGCAACGCCCGTGGTAACCAAGCGATGTGTGTTAGTCGGCCTTCGCGGACCTGCGAGAGTTCTTTGCCTGGATCGAATGACCGGAGATCTCTTGTGGATGTCACCGGACCTGGAACTGGCACCACACTCAATGATCACAATGTCAGGAACGGCATACGATGGGTACGTAAGAAGAGCTACTCACCGTTTCGAGGATTTCCGAGTCATAGCAGCCGCTTTGATGCCTGCTTTGCAGAGCTTACTACGTAGGAGTGTCGTCCATGCAGCAGCACGCGAAATCATGTTGCACCTTCCAAGGCTCCTTCCACAAACTGGACCTCCAAACTGGCCAAACGGTGTGGTCGACGTACATGGTTCCTCGGGACAGCCAGTACACGGGAGTACCAGTGTGGGGAAGCAGTCCTGCCTTGGACGAGCGCAGAGGCCTCGTCTACATCGCTACCGGGAGCGTTTTCTCTGTCCCTTCAGAAGTCCGGCAGTGCCAGCAAGCCACCGGAAACTCGAGCAGCTGCATCGTGCCCAGCGTCTGCTACAACTCCGTCGTCGCCGTTGACACGAGAGACGGAACTATCCGGTGGTGCAGTAGGATGACGATGAGCGAGATCTGGGAGAACGCCTGCCGGAGCATTCGTCCTCCACCAAACTGTCCTCCACGGCCAGATCCAGACGCTGACTTTGGAGAAAGCCCCATGCTCGTCACCATTCAGCAACAAGGAGCATTGAGAGATGTTGTCGTCACTGGACAGAAGACTGGCTTCGTGTGGGCTCACGACCGAGAAACTGGAGAGCTCGTCTGGCATGCGGTACTGAAAAGCTTTTGCCTTCGTAGTAGTGAACTTTGATCGTTGTAGGTGGCTGGACCCGGCGGAAGCGGAGGTGGAGCGAACTGGGGATCAGCAACGGACAACTCTCGAGTCTTCACAAACATCGCCAACAGTGACCGCCAATCTTTCCTCCACGAGCCATCGCAGCTTGTAACCACGGGAGGTGGCTGGGTTGCGATGGCTGCTACAACTGGACGCTTGCTCTGGTCCACTCCCAATCCAACCGGCCAGCCAGCCTACGGTCCCGTCACTTACACACACGGAGGTGTTCTTCTGTGCACGTCCTTCGACAGCAATGGCCATGTCTATGCCATCAACTCCTACAGCGGAGAAATAATCTGGAACGCTACCACTGGCTCGACTGTTTACGGAGGCTTCTCGGTTGGTTGCGGCTGTGCCTTTGTCGGAGCAGGCTATGCTTCGACACCAACGGGCCTGGCTCTTGGAGGCACTCCTGGAGATTCACTGTTCGCCTTTTGTATCCCTCCCTACTAGTGCTTCGTTTTGATGAGAAGTTCCAAGGGGAGCTTCAGGAAAAAAAAACGAGCTCACTTGTCATCACCAGTAGTCCTTGCAAGAACACCCACCCGTTGCAAACGTATGAAACCGATTTGCGTCTCTGACCACGATTTGCCGATTGGAGATAGTCGATATGTACTTGAAAGCTGTGTGACAGTCGGAACACATCCGGAGATTGTTGACAACGCACAGACTCGTACCAGGAGGTGTGTTTATCAGACCGTAAACAACTGCCAGCCTTTCACTGTGGTGGAAAAGCGTTGCTTGCTTCGTTTCCTCGTCTACATTATGTAGCACCAAGCTTGTGTCTGGCACATAGCCGGCTTCCTTGATCTCCAGCGTCAACTTCCTCAGCTCTTCGTAGATCAAGTCCTTCTGTGGATGAGATTTATCGGCAGCACCAAACTCGTGTAGCCTGTTTTTCACTTCTATGCAGCTCAGGCCCGGTTCCTTCTTCACACCTCGCCTTTCCATGAGTCGCCTCACCTTCTCAACATCGTCCCACCTTTCGAGAGCAGCGTAGAGGTTTGACATGAGAAGATAAGCGGAAGGACGTGTCGGCTCAATCTCGTAGCACTTCTCCGCAGCAATCTCGGCCCGTAGAACATCTTTCTGCAGTCTACAGGCACTAAGCATTGTTAGCCATGCTGTTAAGCCTGGCTCGAACGGCATAGCGTCGATCACTTCCTGCGCCTCCTCAAGCCTGCCTCCCCGTCCTAGAAGATCAATGACACACCTGAAGTGCTCTGGCAGCGGGAAGAATCCATGATCTGCCATTGCTATGAAGCAGTCCCGAGCCTCGTCCAGATATCCTGAGTGGCTGCATGCGTAAACCAAGCTCAGGAACGTCACGTTGTTGGGCTTGATTCCTTCCAGCTCCATTCTTCTCATCAAGTCCTTGGACTCCTCGATATGTCCGTGCTGAGCTGATCCTGCCACTATAGCCGTCCATGCTACCACGTCCATTCCTTCCATCTGATCGAACACCTCTCTTGCCTCCACCAGCTTCCCGCACTTTGCATACATGTTGACGAGTGCTGTTGCCACGATAAGCTCCCTGTCCAGTCCATTCGCCACCAAGTTTTGGTGGATCACTCTTCCCAGTGCCAGTGCCGAGGTGCTCGCGCACGCTTCCAGAACACTTATAAACGTAGCCGAGCCAGTCTTGACGCCTTCCTGCTGCATTCTCTGGAAAATCTCGAGAGCCTCCTTCCCAGACCCATCTTGAGCGTAGGCCGTAACGATAGCATTCCAGGTGATAGCATCCTTACAAGGAATCCTCTCAAATACCAACCTCGCGTTTCCCAAGCTGTGGCACCTCCCATACATATTGACGAGCGACGTCCCAACAACAGTCTCTGCTTCCAGGCCAACTTTTTCCACCATCTTGTGAATTGCGATGCCTTGCTCGAGAGCACCAAGCGTGGAGCAAGCACTGATCACGGTGCTGTACGTAAACTTGTCCGGAGGGACGTGAGAATCCATCCTCTGGAAAAGAGACAGTGCCTCCGCCTCATGCCCATTCTGGGCATACGCTGCCAGGATGATATTCCAAGAGAAGAGGTTCTTCCTGGAGATCCCATCAAACACGGCCCTCGCATTTTCCAAGCTGCCACACTTCCCATACATCTCCACCAGCAAGTTCGCAATAAACCTCTCGTTGGACCGGTTGCTGAGGAGAATGTGAGCGTGGACTCGCCTCCCCTCGTCCAAAGCTCTGAGACTCCCACACTTCTTGAGCAGTGCTGCGTATTCGTCACCGCTGACTTGGTCTGTGTAGTCCAATCTATCTACTAGCTGCTTCAAATCTCGACGACCGGTAGCTGAAGAAGAAGAGGAAGTAGAAGCTCGCGGGAGAGAAGAGTCGAAGCTTTCTTGTTGCATTTGACGCCTGCTGGAAGCCCCTGAATCCGACGTCCAAGAGGGTCTGGAGCGCTTTGTGATCCTGTTCCTTTTGCTGATTCCTGATTCATTATCACCACCACTTCCATCTGCCCATGCCCACCACGACTGTCCATCCGATTCCATGCGTGCCATCCAGCTCAAGCTGTTGTCGGAGAGAGATTCCACCACACCATCATCGAGCTTGAGAAAATCTCTCGGAGGCAATGCTGGAGAACCTGCTGTAGCATCACTTATCCCCGACTGGAAGAGTCCCGCAAACTGAGAGGCCGCGCTTTCCATTGAGGAAGAAGCTCGAGCTTAGCAAACAAACAAACAAACAAAAACAAGTTAGTGCAAGTTTCCAACTAAATTTTTGCTGTGTACCTCGTGGCCACGAATCCAAAACTTTTTAAAAGCGTCGATCAAATCCGTGTGTACCACCGGATGCATCAAAGTCAGAGGAAGCAATACTGCCAGTACCCGTGTAACACCGACTTAGCAAAGTATGAAGGAACACGAGAAGGATCGCGAGAGAAAAAAAATTCGTGTGATTGTTATCGTATATCTGGAGTGGATTTCCTTACTGTTACACACAGCTACCGTGCTTGAAATGGTGCTTGTGACAAATCCACTGCTTTCTCCAGCAACTGCGCAAATTTTCAGTCAGCTTCTAGCAAGAAAAAGAAAAGCATGGGAGAAACCTTGCTCAGAGATTTGAGCTCGCGGAAAACCGGTTGCAACGCTTTGGTATTGACTGTGGGAGGCTTCACATCGATCGGCCACACCTGGAACAAAAAAAAAAAAAACGGTGATTGTAGCTCTCGGAGAATGAAATGGCTCGAAATCTTACTAGAAACATCACACCTGGATTCCAAGAACTTTAACAGGTTTGACGAGGCCAGGGATGATGCAATCCGGGCCTGCTGCTTCCACCATAGCCTCCTCTGCCAATCCCATGCCAATTGGATCCGGATGCTGGAGATTCCCGAGTTACAAGACGAATGCGGCCCAATCCCGGGGCTTACCTTCATGATGCTGAGGGCGTAGTCGAAATTCCTGCTTTTGCTGACGATGATCGCGCTTGGAGGAGAAATTCGAGGCAGCGGAGGCTCACCGGGGCGCGACCGCCATGGCGCGTCTCCGACGAGCTGCTTCTTCGTCGTCTTCTTGCTTGACGAGCTCGTCATCGCCATAGCCAAAGAAGATTCCAGGCTCTTCCCAAGCCCTAAGTTTATGTGCCCATCGCCACCGTCGGCTTGGTAGAGAATATGGACCGTCCGATTTGAACGGTCAAGTGGAAAACAAAATGGTTTTTTGTCAATTATTTTCGCAAATTTACAAGACAAACTCTTCCTTCCGCAGCGTCATCTCGAAGCGAACGATCTGCAAGAACAGTAAGAGCAGTGAAAAAGTTTGTTCTTGCAAGAGATGGAGATGGAGAGAAGAAACTATGAAACAAAAGAGTTCCGGAACTTACGATCCAAACGAGACCGAAAACGTCGGCCTTAATGTCCTTGGCGCATCGCCCTGGAGCTTCTCCGAGATTTGCTGTAGTTCCTGAGAACCCAAACACTTTATAGAACTTGAAAAACAGCGAGAAAACACCTTCAATCCGCTGCCTGTCGACGCCAAAGACGAGGCCGAGGACGACGAAGATTTCGACGAGGAAGCCAAGGATGACGACGATGGGCTTCCAGACTTTAACAGCGGAGGTTTCGGGGCCTGGAATGCACACAAGGTTGTAGAGGAAAATGACAAGCGTGAAAAAGCTGTACCTGTTGTAAGAGATCTAGCTTGCGCTTGGATTCTAGCAAGCCGGGGCGTCCGTGCTCCAAGTCTTGCACGTACTGACACAGCAACAGAATTCCTCTGTTGGCAAAATCTTGCTTGGATTGAACTTCGCCAATCTTCGATTCCTAAACCCACAAGAACACATTCACTCCAGCATATTCTCGGCAAATCAAGCACATACCAAGCCTTCGACCATTTGCTGGACAACCTGGACGTCGCCACCGCATTTTACGACGTCGCTTCTCATGTCAAGAACCTGGAAACTATCGAAGATAAGCGAAATGAAGAAAAGGTATCAGTGTCAGTACCTGATTCTTTATAACACCTTGGACTTCGGCACTATCTTCTAAGGCTTTTGATACATCTTCTATTCGCATCGACAGGTGCCTTCGAGTTGCCTGAGTTTCACATATAGCGGGATGAGGAAAAAGCATACAGAAGACATTACCGCAAGCACTGCCGAGACTTGATCGAACTGCTTCGAAACCTCCGAAACAGCATTTGCCATATGACGCTTCGTAACATAGAGGAAGTCGGTTAGACGCCATCCCTGCAGCTTCCAAAGCTTAGAATTCGCAACACTCGCATTTAAACTTACCCGCCACCGAAAGTATCCATATCCCGCAGCGCCAACAACAACCGCGGGCACTGCGAGGGAGGAGATGTTTGCTCCTGTCAAGAACTCGAATTAGGACGACTGGCCCGAGAAAAATCAATCCCACATACCACTGCCGCTTCCAGAACTTCCATTTATAAATGTGACATCTTTAGAGGCCGCTAACTGCATGAGTTCCTGCCTTAGTCTCATGAGCTGCAAGGAGCGAGACGAAGTGAGCTCGAGAAAGAAAATTTCAATCGGCAACCTGTCCAGCCAATTCGGTAGTTTTGTCTGAAACCTTCGCAGACACATCCCCGTCCTCTAGATGCTTGGAGATGACCTAAACGCGAGAAAACTTCTATCAATCTCCTCAAAACTATCTGGAATGATCGTCTACCTTGGAGAGGTCTGAGATGAAGTCCGTGAGGCGGCCATTATTCACAAGGAACGTTCCCGTCAGTCCTGCAAGAATCACCGCGTGAGAAGGCGGCGCCGAGCTCGATCGAATCGCGCGCTTACCGGCACCAACGAGAATCAGCACCTTGACGGTCGAGACGCCGGCCTGGAGCGCCATCGCGAGCTGGAATCAAAGAAGAGACCCAGGCATTACGCCCAAAATCTGGCACAAACCCTAGTAGCAGAGTTCCAAGCCCTAGAAAATGTTTTAACAGTACCCTTAGAACATTAGCCTTTAGTCAAACAAAAGCTAAATTCATTCTTCTTCTCTGGTCAACGAAAGTCAAAGGAAGGTTTGACCATCCTTGTTGTACACGACAAGCGATGGAGTTCATCCATTACCTCACACACCTACACGCGAAAAGAAAAGAAACTAAAAATTTTAGTGAAGTGACCAACAACCTCTCTCGAGCTCTCTCGCGCGATCAATCCAGCAGAGAATTTTCCCCCATTCTCCTCTTCCACCATCGCCTCTCTTTCTTCTCCGCCATGGAATCGCTCATCGCAATCATCCCGGCATTGCTTATCCTTTTGCAGCGAAGCAGCGCCCAGATCCCTTGCGCGCCTCCATCCACGTCAATTTGCCCCGGGAGCTCCTGCTGTGGAAAGAATGGCTACTGCGGGATTGGAGAGAGCTACTGCGGCATTGGCAATTGCCTCTCACAGTGTCCGCTCGCGTACTATCCCCCGCCGGAGCTCCCCGCGGGAGGCTACTACTACTACTATCCTCCGCCAGAGTTTCCAGTGGAGGAGACGATTGAGCCGGTCGACCGCGGCCACCATAGCATAGCGTGGTGGCTCGGGATAGTTGCCGCGGTGGCTGTGGTAGTAGCAGGGATCCTCGCGGTTTGCTGGCTGGTAACTCGCTCTGTCTCCAGGCATCGCAAGTGTGAGTGTGATTCGTGATCTTTCTCTCAACTTTCTTCGCATGATCTCTTTCCCGATGAGAGTGATGCCTGTAAGTAATTTGGCTCTCCAAGGAGATAAGTTGCGACATTCTTCACGACATTTCGGGGTCGTGTTCTTATCTTGTCATGGATTCAAAGCAAAGTTTTCTTTTTCTTTCACTCTAGCTTGCGTGCCGATCTAGAGCTTTGATGTTAGAGTTTTACGAGCCAGGCAAGCCTGGATAGATCCGTGAGGTTCACTCGTTGGGAGGTAGACGTCGTGATCAAACTGCAAATGGATGGAAGCGAGAAATTTCAGAGGAGAAATGGGGACAAAAAGTACCTTCACACCAACAGTGGGCATGTTGACAGGCAAAAAATGGAGATTTGGCATGTTTAATTCGATCGAGCTGACTTCGGGGACACTGAAAGCTTAAAGAATGACAGAAAGAAACAAGCATGAATTATATACTCGAACCTTCGCAACACCTCTTGTGCCATAAGATAGAGCGTGTTCTGCACGGAGGGGCTGTAGACTCCACTCTTGGATGGCCCAAAGAATGTTTCAAAGAGAGTTCTTGTGACTTTGTCATAGGTTCCAGTGTAGCACGATGGCTTTCTCGCATATCTGTCAACAAAAACAAGTTTTTTTATGCGTAGAAATGTTTTTCTTCACCTCCATTTTGCGGTGACCGTCGAAGCAAGCAAGCGCTCTCTCACTTCAGGAAGAAGCGTGAATTTATCGCGAATAAACCCCTCAAAGCCGGACTAGAAGATCACCGAAAGTTGGTACTTTTCCTTCGATGGTTATGAGATCCACACACCTTGGTTGTTTTGAGCAAGCTGAGGTCCGTGAATCCAGAGACCACGTCCACGCTAGATTTGTCTCGAGAGATGGTGATCTCCGCGGTTCTTTTTTGAGATCCAAGCTTGAAACCTGGTGAGGAAAAACCATAAGAACTCTGAAAGAAGAAAAACTTTTAACCGTGTTGGTGTGGGATTCCATCGATCGAGACGCGTTCCCAGTTGTTTTGGACGAGAGAGACGCAAGCTCCAGTCACCTGTGCAGCGTTTGTTTTACGTGAAAAGCCACACTCAAGAAAGATGTGTGCCTACCTCTTTGTATGTATCGAGGAAGTGAGAGGCAAGCTTGATCCCAAAAGTTTCTATAGACACCGGCTGGTGACAGAGCTTGGCGAGAGCATACACCTTTTTTCACAGGATATGTTGGGTAAGTGGATCCAGCCAAAACAAAGAAAGATATATAAGGCTTAACTGTGTTCTTGATGGAATCAGTGGCCACGATGCTGGAATTGTCGCCGGCGGAGTACGCAGGGATGCAATCCGAGGAGAGAATGATCGAGATTGTCCACTCCACAAACTCGTGATCTTTGCCATCGCCGCGCCACACGCGAGCAACACGAACTCTCGCCTTGCCGTGGCATTGCTCCTTCACTACGATCTCGTCAGCCATGGATTGGTTCTATCGAAACCCCTAAAAATGAATAGGACATCTCACTGTTGGCTGTAATGGCCCAGTAGCTATCGAAAGTGGCGATGCTGCCCACAAAATCTGGATACCTGGGCAGGCGATCGCTGTTGGTGGGCTCTCTCGCAATGCTCCAAGTGGCGAACCCACGATGAGAGAAACGTGAAAAACGATCGCGAGTTTGATGATGACCAAGAGTTGGATAGACAAACACTATAAGCATCACCAAGAAGGATAAAACTCATGGAGATGGCTGCAAGCATTGTCCCCCAGGCCACCACGTCCTCATCCGATCAAAGTCTCTCCCAGATCGTTGAGATGACGACGATCCCATGCGAGCCCGGGCTTCTTCCACTCGCCCAATCTGCGCATAGCCAGTGATCAGCATGTCAGGTGAGCTGCACAGCCTCCTGTGAAATCATCCGCTATCCATGGCTCCGTGCTGCTCGTAGCTGGAGATCATCCCGGTCCAAGACTGGGATTCCTGGCTTTTAATCCAGATGCCCCCTATGAGCATATGCGGTGATCATGGCGGTACACTGGCCGGGCGCCTTTGTCTAAGAATGTTCTTGCTTTTTAAGTCAGAATATTTCAACAACGTCTAAATGATGTCATTAGAAGGCATGTGCTGTGAGCATTAGGTGCCAGGTTATGACATTCCTGTGGGAGATTCAATGAGTAAACTTTCTTGCATTGGCAGTGTTTTGCGAAGAGATCATCTTTCTAGTTATTTGAAGAGCCATTTGCAAAACTCGCGTAACCACATAGTGTCAATATTGGTTCCCTTTACAATTCGAGTTAGGTCTTCATGATCAAAAAGTTCTTTTCAACGTATCAATCTGGGGGCATTACTGTTCCTTTAATAGAATTGATATCAACTTTATTTTTTGAATTTGAATCCCATTTGAATTGGACTTTAAATCCCACCTTTAAATACAATATACGTTTGTAAACTTGATGAGGGGTGTACAAATCTTATAGGTGGTGGTTAAAATATAGAGTTGGACAGTCATCTCTACTTTGATGGAGATATATATTACAAAATGACTAGAAAATTCAGTAAACATGGTTTGACAATTGAAGTGCTTGTGGGAAATTAGATAATTATTCAATTAAACTTTTTTGCCATTTTGTAACATGTTCCATCAAAATCCATTATAGATGACTGTCCATCTTCATGTTATTTAAATTTGGATAGTCATCTCTACTTTTGGAGATACCCATGTTATAAAACGGCTAGTAAACATGGTTTGAGAACAGAAGTTAATTATCTCAAAACCTTATCAAAAATTAAATAATAATTCTATTTTTGGTAAGTTATTTAGGTTTATTCCAGGATATTTCTTAATCTAATAACTATGATTTTGTACCCCTAAAATTTCTCTAATTAATTTGTAATCAATTTTAAATTTTAATCTTCTGTACTTATACTAATTTAAATCATGTTAACAAAATTGGATTGATCGCTGTGAGCAACATTGGTTTCCACCTCTCCCCACCCTAAGCCAAGAAGGAAGTGGTGGGGTTTCCCAAACCACCACACTCACTACACTCTCTATAAAAACTATGCATAAAGAATAAAAATTAAAATCTTAGGCTAATGATTTTTCATTCTTGTGTTTTTCTAAGAAAGTGGCAACTCATTATTTCCATATAATAAAATTAATTATTTTATAATGCAAGATATAGGATAATACGGTGTCAATCTTCACTATCTTCTTGTTTAAAGCTCAATAATCAATGCACATCCATATTGAACCTTTTTTTTTTTTACAAGAAAAATAAGAGCACCAAAAGAAGATTTATTAGGCTTGATAAACCCATAGAAATAAAGAAAAATAAAGAAAGAAGAAAGAAAAATATAAAAGAGAAAAGAGAGAGTGAGGCTAAAATCTAAATAAAATGGATCCCAACCTATATAACTTTATACTATAATTACCTTTTGGCAATTTAAATGAAATAAGAGAAGAGAGGATGCACTAGTTAAGGATGTAAGTGGGTGAATGAAAGGTGAGAAAATTGCTTAATCAATGATATAATGTGTAATTTATAAAAGTGTGAAAGGTAATGCATGAAATTTTATTCAGAGCATATGTAAAATTTCTATAAATCTATGTAGGACAACCACCTTCATGCCAATACTAATGGCCCCTCTCATGGCCTGGATGAGGCCATCTATAGTCTCATAAACCCAATGTTCTAGCATATCAGTAAAATATTCCTTAAAGCACTACATTATTATCCTTTATAATTGATCTTTAGACAACACTATAAGAAGTATGCATCCCTTTCTCGTGCCATTACTAAAGCTAGATGTCTTGACATGCAAAGGGTTAATCCTTGAAGCAAATATCATTTCCTTCTTAATTTTTTCTAGCTTAAACTGTCTATTGGCTTAGTTGATGGACTTTTTCTAAGCAACCTCCCAAGCTCTAGAAAAAATTTGTGACATGAATGGTTGAATCTCAAAACCATTATGATGGGAGCTCAAAATAGAACTTGAGGATCACAACCATGATCTTGTGTTTCCTCAAATACAATGGGGATCATTTCTCTTCAAACACCAATATTTCCTCCTCACTGCCTAAGACCAAGAATTAAGTGGCTCTACTCAAATGAATTGAGGAGTGGGAGCAGAAACTCCTCAACAGATCTTGATATAAATTTATAAAAAAGACTATAGTAGAAGATTACTTTGATCAGTAGTGCCTAAGATCCTAATATGTTTGGTTAGAGTTCTTGGGAAGAATGTGATAATTTACAGAGCTTCACTTGCTCTATAAAATTAAAAGCTCTAAAGTGGCCTTTTCTTCACATGTCCCAAGCTCCCCTAGGTAAAATCCCTTTTAAAGAATGAATCAGATAAATGGCTCTACCATCATCAAATAATTACTAATAGATTTTTGCCAAATGTCCAATTTATCATTTGTAAATTTTACATATGACTTTTTCATGCTTTGTAAATTGCCTGCCACAAATGACCAAAACTTTTAAAGAGTCACAAACAACCAGCTATATAGTCTCTATAATAGTATCAAAGAAAAGGTGGTGGATTATCTACACAAAAAATTACCACTTACTAAAAAAGGTAGAATGGGATTGAAGCCACTCTATTAGAAGGACTTAGATGCCTCCTTATAGAAGGCCTAACTAGCCACTAAAAGTCTTAATTTACCACTAAGTTGAAATTGACGTGTTGATCTAATCAAAACTGTAACATGTAAATGATAATGGAAATTGTTGAGGCCAACTATAATATTATGGAAAAACATGGAGTGGCATTTATGGGCAACACTGTAAAAAATGATTAAAGCAATAATATTGATTATAAATGATAAAAAAGAATGCTGTGAGGAAAGTAGTAAGAGTGATAAGAGGTAAGAATTAAAACCCTAAACATGATCAAGAAAACTCAAAACTTACAGTTTGTTGAGATAAAATAGTATGAGGCTGAGAACCATAGTCTAAGAACACTCTTATAGCTATATAACCTGAAAAGAGAAACATATAAATAAGATGAGAAGACTAAAACATAAAAAGAAAAAGAAGAAAAATAAAAATTAATAAAAAGAAAAAGAAGAAAAATAAAAATTAATAAAAAAAGAAAAAGATGCTTAATGCCAGAATGGCTTGAGGTGATAATAGTGCATAGAAAAGATTATATCCTACCTGGAAGAGCATTGTTGCAAGTGTGGCAAAAGCATGCATAAATCACTTTTACCAGCTTCATCACTATGAAGCCGAAAGAAAAAAGAAATATATGCATTAGCTGGTACTGATGTGAATGACTAAGTCTTAGTGACTAGAAAAAAATTCTACTTCATGTTGAGACAACAAAAAAATGGTTGCTCTTCAAAATTGCCACCTTATAAAATATTTACTTACAGCAACTCAAAATTCACATGAAATATGTCTAATATCTCAATCAATAGACACAAAGTGTGTAGAAAAGTATCTTGAAAGCTGCCATAGAGATATAGTGCAAAAATAATTGATAGAAAATTTGTTATAAGAGAAGACTTGTTTATGAAACCAAATACTAAGAAACAAAATCCAAAGTTTTTAATTTTCTCTAAAGCCTCCTTGAAGTTAATATGAAACTCTTTATTCTCCTTTGTAAAAGTGAAAACATGGCTAAATCAACTAACACCTCCAACTACTTCACTTGTAGACTTTAAAGGATCTTTGCTATAACTTCTGACAGATTGATCCTGACTAGATTTTGAGAACATGACTTGACATGGGAGTCTGAAAATCTTGTTTAGTTAGATTGCAAAAAAATAACACCATTACAATCTACCATCTTAGTCTCTAGCAACTATGTAGGTGATAGAATCTCTCAGTCTAGTAGAGGATTCAAATGAACATAAAGCTTTAAAATGAAACTTTTGGAATCATGAAAGTGAAAAGAGATTAATAATTCTAAATGGTTCTATTGAAAATGAATGGAATAGGATATCCAGCTTGTGTAATAATTTAAACAATCTCAAAGAAGATATCGCAAATAAATCCTATATGAGATCCACACCTTCTTGAGTTTGGCTTCTCACGCTGCAGCTTGCGTCTCTGTCGTCCAAAACAACTGGCTTCTTCCAGAGTTACGTTGGATTTGTCTTAACTCTTACCAGGTTTTAATTCTCTCGAGACATACTGTGGACCTCAGCTTCTCAAAAGAACCAAAGCAAGCTAAGTGGCGAGAGTATACACTCTTGATGGAATCAGTGGCCACAATGCTGGATTTGTCGCCGGCGGCGGAATGCGCAGGGATGGGGAGAAGGATAGAGCATCCGCGCCACACGCGAGCAACACGATCAAAACCCCTAAAACATGGGGCATCTCAGTGTGACTGTCTTGGCCCAGCAGCCATCGAAAGTGGCGATGCTGCCCACAAAGTCTGGGTTCGTGGCCAGGCGATCGCTGTTGATGGGCTCTCTCGCAATGCTCCAAGTGGCGAACCCACGACGCGCATTGGGGAGAAACGCGAGAGACAATCACGATGAGGACCTAGAGTTTGAGATGAGAACCATGCAGCTGTTTGAGGTAGCCTATCTTCTTTCTTGATCTTCCTTATGTATTGACAAGGATGTTTCTAGCAATTCCAATGCGTAGAGCACAACGCGCTCAGTCGTCGCGATCCAAGATTTGGACCTCTCGAGCAATGTCGCAGCAGTGGACATGGACGATGGTGAGATCCAAGGCATTGGCTCCGGATTTGTGTGGGATCGATTCGGCCACATTGTGACAAATTATCACGTTATCTCGAAGATAGCCAAGGATACGAGCGGCAAGAAACAGATAAAGGTCTCGTTCTTTTTTCCTTCTTTTGTGGCTACAAAGTCGTGTATGATCGATCACAGGTGGTATTGCTGGGTTTGAATGGAGACGTCGATTCTTACAATGCAGCTATCATCGGTCTCGATGCTTCTCGTGATCTCGCAGTTCTCAAGGTACAGGAAAATCTTTTCCGCTGGTTGTTTACATTCTTCTTTTCTTTGGTGTTTAAGATTGAAGTTCCAGAATCCAGTGTATTGCGTCCAGCAGTGATAGGAAGCTCCAAAGATCTTAGAGTCGGCCAAAATTGCTACGCGATAGGAAATCCTTACGGATACGAGCACATCCTCACTACTGGAGTACGTAAAAACTTCTCTTTTCTTGCTTCACGTAGCTTTGTTCTTCGCAGGTAGTCAGTGGATTGTGCAGACAAATTCCTTCACCCTCTGGCAAACCGATCTTCGGTGCCATACAAACTGATGCATCGATAAATGCGGGTATAATACATCGAGTGATTAGCTTTGGAAGAACTGGAACTAAAAAGACGATCTTGCAGGGAACTCTGGAGGACCATTGCTCGATTCATTCGGACGAGTCATCGGTATCAACACCGCAACCTTCACCCGGCGAGGTAGGCATACTTTTCTTTCTCATTCTCACACGATGATAAACATTGAAAAAACATTCTCTCAAATTCCAGGCTCGGGAACGTCCTCCGGTGTGAATTTCGCAGTGGCGATCGATCTGGTGAGGCAAGTCGTGCCCCATTTGATCGTGGAAGGCGCGGTGAGCTCTAGCAGATCAGTGGAGAGAGGTGTTCTTGGGCCTCCCAGATACCTCTCGCTTCCATGAAAAAATTCCAAGTCCTATAGACGCAAAACCCTAAGAACTAGGGTTTAGGGCTTTTGGGGTTCTCGATGATGAGGCGCGCGTGGAGGAATCGCTGCCCCGCCCGGCGCTGCTACGAGAATGGAGGTATTCCTTCCAGGTCCTTGCACGGCGCGGCGAGGCGCGGCCCCTACGATGATGGCGGCGGCGTCGACGCGGCCCCGGCGCCATCGGCTAAGGTGCTCAAGATCGTCGAGGACATCGCCAATCTCACACTGCTCGAGGCGGCCGACATGTCGCTGCTGCTCAAGAAGAGGCTGCGCATCCAAAACGTGCCCGTCATGTCCATGGGGATGAATGTGATGCACGATATGTGGTATGATCCTTTGCCGCTCCCCGCCGCCGGTCCTCCGCCGCCTCCTCTTCCGCGGCGTTCCCTCGGCGGCAGCCAGAGGATTCTTCCGGAAGAGATCCATCTCCAGCACGGGCTCTTGCGCAGTCCAAGTGGTGCCGCCGCCACCGCCGCGAGCTCCTCCTCCTCCCGGTCGGTCCATGCGGCGATCAGCGAGAGTGACAAGTATCTCTATCAGCTCCCCTCGGCGTCGTCGGACACGGACTCCTACGACAACGAGCTGGACGATCGCGACCACGATCGCGACGTCGATCGCGACGACGACGACAAGTTCGGCACCGGCGTGGAAGAAGAGGATCGTTGGGACGATGACGAGGTGACAATGCCTGGAGCGAAGAGTCTGAGCAAGGCGCAAGGTGATGGAGCACAGACTGTTGCTGCAGCAAAGAAGGCCGCGACGCCGACGAAGAAGAAGGCTCCAGCGGCGAAAGCCACAGCGAGCAATGGAGCTCCCGATGGATCGCCCGCTCCCGCGGCCGTCATCAAGAAGAGAGGTGGCCGGAGACCGAAGGCCAACGAGGGAGCTGTGCCGTCTTTCACAGCGCCAGCGCCGGACCCCCCGCCGCCTGCGAAGAAACCAGCGGTGGCGACGAAAGCAAAGGCGAGAGCTTCGACCACTACAACCAAAGCCAAACCAGCTGCTGCCGCTGCAAAGGCTGCTGCGTGAGATCGATCGATCGATCGATCGAGCAGGACGAAGGGAATCACAAGAGCTGATGAAACAACAAACTCTCAAAGGAACTTCCGACACACAGGTTCCAAAATCGTATCGTCGTTTATCTTCGTTTTTTTCGCTTTGCTTTGGTCCACTTTCAGGGAATGAAGAGGCACAAAGTCTCTTCACCTTTTTGCTTTCTTGGAAGCTCCTCTAAAGTTTGACAACAGGGATTCTTCCTTCAAGCTTGCCAAAAGAAGAGTACTTTTGCAAAAGATAACTCTCGTGCAAGTTTATAATCTAGTGTCAACTTTTGGCAATTGCCCTTTCCCGGCATGTGGCGCTACAAGAGAATTCCGCTCCATTCCAACTCACGCCTGTAAGGCCACAGCCTTATAAAACTATTCCCGATGATGAAAAGGAGGAGAAAAGAATGGACCAAAATTCAAAGATAATCGCTTTGGTTCTCCATGATCATCGCAACATGCCTGACCAAAATTATACCTTGCGTGGAGTGTGGCGCATTCCATCCCACCAATGTAATCAATCATGGGATACCACGAGATTTCTAAATGCTATAGTTTCACTATCAATCTAAACATCACATGGTTTGCTTGCTTCACGCTACATCCCAGCCGTCGATTCCAGAAGCCCACCAAACGCTTTTAACACCTTGTCGTCGTTACCCTTTTTGTACGCACTCATTAACATGGACGTTAGGCGCATATGCCGCGATATATTCTCCGCCGCAAGATCCCATTGACGGCGCTGGGCATATTCCGTGTGTGTGGTTTAGTGCTCGTGAGAGGGGGAGGACCACGCGCGCCCTGCCCGCGAGCACCCGCCGGGACCGAGACGATGATGAGCGCTGCGCTGCCAGGTATGATCTCTGCTCAATCTGGCGCTGGCTCCAGCTCCACTAGCCGCGCTGGAGCGATTTCCAGCAATGCCTAGGTCTCCCAGCGTCGATTCTTGCTGCTCTTGGGATATTTCATCGCCGGCCAATGCGCCGGAGCTGCGCAAATTGCCCCGGAGCTCGGGATTTTTCTCTGTTGTCTGGCTGGACCTTTGGGAGGCTTGTGTGGAATCGTGTGAGCATTGCAATGCCTTTCGTGTGAACGAGAGATTTCTTGCAAGCCAGTTCTAGGTAGTTTTTCCATCGTTTTTCATCCTCTGCTGGATCTTGACCTTCGTTATTTTTTTGTCATTGCATAGAGAGAAGAACTGGCAACTGGCACAAAGTGGTGATCCCAATGCGCTGCGCTTAACACGAGGAGGACGAAGAATAAGATGGAGAGAAATCGCTGCGCACTTCTAATCGTCCTGGCAGTTCTGGCAATGCCCGGTGGTGGTAACGCGGACGATAAAGACGCGCTCATGGCATTCAAGGCTTCGGCAGATGTGTCGAACAGGCTAACGAGCTGGGGGAACGGAGATCCTTGCAGCGGCAATTGGACTGGTGTAAAGTGCGTGCAAGGACGGATTCGCTATCTCATCCTCGAAGGCTTGGAGCTGGCCGGATCAATGCAAGCGCTCACCGCACTCCAGGACCTCCGCATTGTCAGCCTCAAGGGGAACTCTCTCAACGGCACTCTTCCGGATCTCACGAACTGGAGATACTTGTGGAGCTTGTATCTTCACCACAACGACTTTAGCGGCGAGCTTCCACCCAGCCTGTCCAACCTCGTACATCTTTGGCGGCTCAATCTCTCCTTCAACGACTTCTCGGGACAGATACCACCATGGATCAACTCGTCGCGGCGGTTGCTCACTTTGAGGCTCGAGAACAACCAGTTCTCGGGGGCTATTCCGGATCTCCGGCTCGTCAACCTCACGGAGTTTAACGTTGCCAACAACAGGCTGAGTGGAGAGATCCCACCGTCGCTCAGGAACTTCTCAGGCACTGCGTTTCTGGGGAATCCATTCTTATGTGGTGGCCCTCTGGCGGCATGCACGGTGATACCCGCGACACCGGCACCTTCTCCGGCAGTGGAGAATATAATCCCGGCCACACCGACGTCCAGACCAAACGAGGGAAGAAGAACGAGGAGCCGACTTGGGACAGGGGCCATCATCGCCATTGTCGTTGGTGATGCGGCGGTTCTCGCCTTGATCGCTCTGGTTTTCCTGTTTTTCTACTGGAAACGCTACCAACGCATGGCGGTGCCTTCTCCAAAGACCATCGACGAGAAAACGGATTTTCCAGCGTCACAATACTCGGCTCAGGTGCCGGAAGCGGAGAGAAGCAAGCTGGTATTTGTCGACTCCAAAGCCGTGGGCTTCGACCTGGAAGATCTCCTGCGAGCTTCTGCCGAGATGCTGGGAAAAGGAAGCTTTGGAACGGCATACAAGGCTGTGCTCGAGGACGGAACAATAGTTGCGGTGAAGCGGCTCAAGGACATTACAATATCTGGAAGGAAAGAGTTTGAGCAACATATGGAGTTGATCGCAAAGTTTCGACACCCCAACGTGGTTAAGCTCATCGCATACTATTACGCCAAGGAAGAAAAGCTCCTGGTGTACGACTTCATGCCCAACGGGAACCTCTACACACTTCTTCACGGTAAGTTTGTCGCTGTTTACAAATTCCTAGCTCATCGACTGCTCTTGCAGGTAACAGAGGTCCCGGAAGGAAACCCCTGGACTGGACAACGCGCGTTAAGATCGCTCTGGGTGCGGCTAAGGGCCTGGCCTTCATACACCGTCAGCCTGGCGCTCAAAAAATACCGCACGGAAACATCAAGTCTTCGAACGTGCTGCTCGACAAAGATGGCAACGCTTGCATTGCAGACTTCGGCCTAGCGCTGCTCATGAACACGGCAGCGGCTTCTCGTCTAGTAGGCTACAGAGCTCCCGAGCACGCAGAGTCAAAGAAGATATCTTTCAAGGGGGACGTCTACAGCTTCGGGGTCTTGCTCTTGGAGCTCCTAACTGGGAAGGCACCGGCACAGTCACATACTACGCAGGGGGAGAACATCGATCTTCCACGCTGGGTACAGTCCGTGGTTCGGGAGGAGTGGACTGCCGAAGTCTTCGACATCGAGCTCATGAAATACAAGAACATCGAAGAGGAGATGGTGGCCATGCTACAGGTTGGGATGGTTTGCGTCTCGCAGTCGCCGGACGATCGGCCAAAGATGAGCCAGGTTGTGAAGATGATCGAGGATATAAGAGCCGATCAATCTCCAGTGGCCGGGGACTCGACTTCGCAGTCACGCTCTGGATCTCCCTCGGACGCAAGCCATTGACTGGATGAAACATTTATTTCTACTATACTGGTACGTTTTTCTCATTGTTTTTCTACTTTGGAAGTCCTGATCTCTTCTCTTCGCTGGCGCAGGGTTCTCTGCGACTTATTCATTCGTGGAAGCTCTGCTAAGTGCATTACATCTATTCACAGGAAAGTCTCAATAACAGATTGGGCTCTCATTATTTCTCCAGCTTATATTGACAGAGCTTCGCTATAAACTTCCAAGTAAACGAATCCAAATGGATTTTTTGTTTCTGATTTGGTTGCTATTACTCTCGAGTTTCTCCAGCGCAGATCACTGTCTCTTAAAAACGCATGGCGCGAGTCCTTTCCACCCAGGCAAGGAAGAATTTATTTTTTCCTCGCAGAAAAAGAGATAGCCTAGCTAACCAGCCGAGTCGAGCCAAGCCGACTTTTCCTTTTTCTGTGCCAGCAGCTAGCTGATGTGCTGAAAACAACACCCCCCAAGAAAAAAGCAAAAAAAACCAAATGGAGATGATTTCGACACGAAGTTCCTTGCTTGGCTTTCACTTGGACTGACTGGACTAGTGAGTCAACGCCGGGGCTGACTAAGGCCGTGGACTGACTAAGTTGACTAGAATTGACTGATCTCACTTTTATACGAGTCGAGCTATCTTTAGACTTTACAGCAACGCACAATTGAATCCCCGCCACCTTTGGACAAAGAAACAATATTCAGATTCTAAGTTTCTTGTCATTTACTTGTATTTACACTAATTCCAAGGCCCGATAATATTGCAGGCATTTTCTTGGTTTGGCAAAGTCATCAGGAGTAGCAAAACTAGCTCACGAATTGGTCAGAGCAGCACGAACCAAAGATCGATCAATTTGACTACATTTTCCCAGCCAAAGGACCACCACCATGAAAATGAAAATTGAAAAAGCCAAGATTCTTTTTTGTCTCCTTTTTTATAAATATATATTTTGACAAGACAGACTGATTGGTTTGATTCCTCTCGGAACAAGAAACTACAACTTTGACGGCACGACCGGTCAACGTGCAGTGGAACCGGATGGTTGACTGGCTTAACACTGGTCAACGCTGCCGGCTGGTCCATGGCCGACTCCTTCTGGCTCCACTGTTACAAATCTGCCACGTTTTTGTACTTCGTAAAGTCCCATTCTCTCTTTTGCAGCTGGATGCCAATATTTGGTTTTTCATTAGACTAAAGAAATGGTTCTGGATTTTCACTCCAATCTTCCTGCACATGAAGATTCAGCGAGTTTTTGGAGATGTTTCCAATGTTGGATAACGTACAAGATATATGTATACATAGTTGTTATATACTTTTGTGCGGATCCAACAGAAGCTGGCCCATTGAGAACTTTGAGAGTCTATAAATTCGCGGGACCACGATCACACACGTTCACGTTCCCATTTATAATGTTCCCTTTGTGATCAGTGATAAGTGAGCAGCGACGATCGAGCGAGGAAGGACCCGATTCAAGTACTATGACAGGAACACCCAAACCCGAAGGTGATCACTGACACACTGCGCAATTGAATTCGAGCTTCGTACCGCACAGCGAAAACGATTGAATATAGTGGAGTCTCAGAGGTGTTTGTGGCTGGAGAGGCAAACCAAAGTTTCTTGCTCCTTTTTTACAGCTGATTTGATTTGTGTGGACTCCTGGAGAAACATGCCAGGTGAAAGTGTTTGTTTAGGACACGGGGTTCGACACCACACGTGAGATCGCAGGACAACTCATACCTGAGGAGCGATCAAGAGGTTTATAGCTAACTTGAGTCACCTTTCCTTCAATTCAATGCTCGTGGAAACTCTCCTATCTCGTCTATAAGATCTGGGGACCAACGTTTTTCTTTATTCTCAAACTTAATCTGTGCTTTGGCGCATGAAATCTAGCAAAGCATTTGATTAAGTTGTGAGCCGGGAGACGAGGCGTCGCTCTAGGCGAGAATCAAGCGATCATTAACTTTGTAACCAGCTAGTTTTGGGATGAAACAAACCAGAGCGATCATCTCATGCATTGGGAACAGCGTGTATGCTGCTGGCTGGCCACAGCCTTGCGCATAAAAACTAGAGCAACTTTTCTTTTGGTTTCTCTCAGTCGATCCGAAATGTTAGTGCTTTTGTAAGAGCTTGAGTCAACATGACAAGCTTTTGTATAGCCAAAAACACGAACTTCCACACCACACGTGCACTAAATAGCGAGATACCTGGACAGAATCCTCAGAAGTTTGTGTCCTAGTTTACAGGTGAATGGGTCCCAAAATCAAGATGCCCAAAACCAAAACGTATAATGCATGGAACTTGATTTCAAGTGACCGACCACAACCAATCCATCCATCAGCATCATCAGCCCGCACGCTCGCAAGGTTTACAAAACCATTCCATAGCTTTCGGCCAAATGGCTAAAATCTTGTTAAGTTCCGCGGGCGGGGGTAATTCAAACCGCAGTGTTGTCTGTGAAGTGGACAAGGTATGGATAGATTGGATGAACACCGTGCATATATAAAAGATCTTTTATATAGCAATGCAAAAACCCTCTTGATTGCATCTTGGATCCAAATTACGAGACAAGCGTTGTTTTTATGATCCATGATCCACGTTCACGTGCACTGATCATCACTGCCAAGCGAAAACCTTAAACCCTAAGTTAAACCCAAAACCCAAACCTGAACCCCTAAACTTTTGATGTTGATTTGCGAGAAAAGGTTGGTAGCATTCGCGCACCAGCTTTTGCTCACAAGAATGTCGTACGCTGGCCGGTTTGCTCTACACAAAATCCTGCCCATAAACATCAAGGCTGTTGGTCGCCTAACACTCATTTAATGCCCCAAAGTCCCGGACTAAACCATCCCAATGTCAATGAGAGGATTGACAATGTTTGGGATCTCACCACTCGCGCCGGGCTTCCAGCCCTTCCAACCAGGCCGCAGACTCGCCGGTGAAAACTCTTCCAGTGGAGAGGGAGACAGCGATTTTTGCTTGCATTAGCATTGCATGATAGAGATCGAGCCCCGGGCTTGAGTTTCAATGCTGTCGATGGACAGCGATTGCACACGAGTTGCAAGCTGGGCGAGAAAAATCGCCCCATTTGGTCTTGCATGGCATCTTGTTTAGAGGCTTAGTGGGCGTTTAGGTAGCTAATTTGTTTTGTCAAATAAAGAAATACACTGGATCAAACCGTTGATTTTTATGATTTTAAATTCTTTTGAAATATGTTCGATCTTGTTTGCTTGTAGAAATAAAAAATTTCCGTTAGCAACAAAAACACGGTGCTGACTTTTGGTTAGATCTATCAGGGCGGACCAGCATTAATTTCCAGATAAACGGAAATAGGAAATATATATATAATTTATTAATATAAAAAGGAAAGAGGCCACCAAACTCCCACTGTTAGTTTTTCTTTTTTGCTTACAACAAAGAGACAGAAGCCGGAATTGCCCACCACTTCATTCATTCATTCATCCATTTCATCCCATTCATTCTCTCCTCTTCGAGGCTCACACACAAACTCTTACATGAACATAAAGTCACCTAATACTTTGCATGCCAATGCCAGGGCAAGCCACATCGCCAGTCGCTATTGCAAGACGAATATCCACACGCGATGCCTTCCAAATCATAGAAGAACACGGATCAAAGCCAGTGTTAAGAACAAAGCGCGAGATCATATTGAAAAGTTGGCCGTGCTGACAATCCCGTGTCGACCGGGGCTTGTTGGAGGGGCCACACGACACACAAACTTTAATAAACTTGAAGCTCACAAACACGCACACACAAGGCCAGTCTTTGGGTCTCCTTCGCTGCAGTGCGCGGGGGTCAAAGTTCTGTAAGAGCGAGCGATCAAGATCAAGCTGGGGGATTTCCATTCTCATCGCCCTTCTCGCTCGTCTTGTTCCCTCTCGCTTGCTCGAAGCACCCGCGACAAGAGAGCCAGAGCTTTTGAAGTCGATAGCTCCTAAAGTTGCTCTTCGAGTGGGGCTCTCGCGTTATTCTTCCTGCCTGACACGAGAATGTGCTTGCTCGCTTAGCAAGACCTGTGTAGCTCTCCGAAAGCGTCGAAAGAGTTTCTAGAATCTCACCGAGACCGACTGTTGACCGGCAGATTTCCTCCCATTCTTTTTTCTCTCCCGACCGTAGAGTTTGGCTCCTCTCCTAGAGCCGGGTCCTCCCACGGAGTACTCATCAGCCTATAAAATAAAAGAGAGAGAGGGAGAGGGACTGTGTTAGAAGAAGAAGAAGAAGAAGAAGCCAAGAGGCTGATAAACGCGCCCCGTTTGTCAACATACCATCATTTTCGTTCTCTCTTTCTTTTTTCTTCGTCCCTGCGGTGCTGCTGCTGCTGCTGCTTGCTCGAAGTACCAGCTGCCGATGCCACTGCGCACATTCCCCCACACGCTTCAAACTCTGGCTTGATCTCTCCCTTCCCGGCTTCAAGCTATTTTCCTTTCGAGCTGATATATCATATATCTATCCATCGCCTTGTGCTCTCCTCCGAGAGCTTTCCAATCCTCCTCGGACTCTCTCTAAATCTCTCCACCTGTGCTTGAGTGACTCACTCGGATGTTTCTAACTTGGTCGGAGCGTGTGAACGAAGATCTATCCGGATAACTTTAGCTGCAAGCCTTGTTTGACCGGACGTGTTCTCTGGTGAATTTGCACTCTGGAGCTTTGGCAGCAGCAGCACCCCAGTAGTAGTAGCAGCATCAAGGTTCCATTTTCTATCCCACCTCTCTCTTTCTTTTCTATAGCAGTCTTTCACGAAGCTCGAGCAAAGCGTGTTCCTGAATGCGTGCCCGCCGCTGTAAAAGAATTCCCCGGGTTCTCACTGTAGACTGGACACGCTTCCTGTTTCCTTCCCGTTGTTTCTTCGCTCTCTTGGTTTTCATTGTCACTGAGGCGCCTGCTTGATCTCCTCTCACTCCACTTCGCAAATTCCAGTGCCTTTTCCAGGATCCAGCACCAGTGTTGACTAAGTCTTGCAGTCTCGATCATGCTCGTGGCTTCTAGAGCCGAGCGCTCGTGTGCAGTGTAAGAGAGTCTCGCTTATCTGTAGCTCAGGAGGAAGCTTTCGGCTATCGACGTCCGTGCAGCATCAGGTCTCTCCTCTTGGTCGGTTCTCGCGCTGTTTGGAACAAGTCGGGCCGCTCGAGAGCGAGAAATTGTGCGATCGAAGAGTACACATGAAAGCTTCGCAGGCGTTCGTCTAAATGTCCAGTCTGATGCTCTCCGAGTCGACGCAGCAGCACTTGTCCTCGGCCTGGAATCCCGTCGGTAGTAGCATGCTATGCAAGCCAGAGACATTCTCCGCGAGCTTTCACGACCCCTTTGATCAGTCTTCCTTCTTCTCTTCGTCATCGTCTTCCCTCGAACAACAGCAGCAGCAGCAGCAACAGCACGACGTTTTGCTTCCATCGCCTCGTCTCATCAGGTATGCTCATCATCTGTGGAGCAATTCGGGATCGCCCAAGGCGCTGGAGCTGAAGAATCCCGAGATTTTGCGAAAGACCTCGTCGCCATCGTCCTCCACTTCGCAGATCACTAACGAGGCCATGGAGGGCCGCATCCCCAAGCAAGAACTCTCGGAGAGCGAGCTCGACGCGATCCTTCGAACGCTCTCCCACCAGCAGCAACAAAGTCACGCTTCCACTGTTGCTTCTTCCGGAATTCCATTCCACGAGTTGGCCGATCCCGACCACCACCACCACCACCACAGTCAACAAGCTCCTCCCTCCTCGTCTGGATTGCAAACTCAAACCGCTGCCACGGCTGGATCTCTCTGGAACTTCCCCGAGCAGGATCCATTCAGCTCGTCACCGCCGGATCACCACCCATTCGCCTTCCACGCCGCGACCAACAGCGATCACAAAGACTCCAGCCAGTTCTCGTGGAGCTTCTCGGATCAACAGCAAGCGCCGCGCGATCGCCAGCAGCAGCAGCAGCAGCAACAATGGTTCTCGCAGCTCCAATCTTTTGGAAATCCTGCCGATGATCCAGCTCCACCTCTCTACTTCCAGACACAGCCACAGCAGCAGCACATGCCCGGTCAAGGCATCCTCGGCGCGCCACCGTTATTCATCCCGGATCACCTGGAATTCGAGGAGAAGCCCATCCTCGGCGGCGGCGCGGCTGCCACAGGCCTACCTGGAACACCGAATTCTTCCACATCCTCGTCGCTCAGTGACGGGCCCGACGATCAAGACGCCAGAACTGCCGCCGCTGCCGCCGCTCCTGCGAGCCCGTCATTGGGATCCGGAGCGCCAAATGTCGCTGTTGGGAGCTCCAAGCGCAAGATGCCGCACAATGGATCCGGCGATGGCGGTGATCCAGACGCGAAACCCTCGCCCGGTGGTGGAGACAAGAAGACGTGAGTTTCTTTCGTAAAGTTCTTTCTTTCATTTCTTTCGCTGATCGATCGAGACTTTGATGCTTGCAGCAGCGCCAAGCCGCGCAAGAAAGGCCAGAAGAGGATCCGCGAGCCGCGCTATGCGATCCAGACGCGCAGCGAGGTGGATATCATGGACGATGGCTACCGGTGGAGGAAGTATGGGCAGAAGGCCGTCAAGAACAGCCCTCATCCCAGGTAAGCTCCTCTCTCTCTCGTCATTTTTGCATTCGATCCATCTATCTCGATAGCAATTTTGACAATATCGTCGTGAGCGCGAGAGATTTTGGCTGATCCATCCAGGTTTTCGTTGCATCTAGGATCTAGATTTTTTTTTTCCTGTAGACTCTTTGCTCTTTTTTGGTCGAGCTCTAGCGTAGAATATTTACTTCTTTTCGAGCTGTAATGGATGATCTTTCCACAGGAGCTACTATCGGTGTACCAACACGAAGTGCCCCGTGAAGAAGCGCGTGGAGCGTTCTTCCGAGGATCAAGGACTGGTGATCACAACTTATGAAGGGATCCACAACCATCATAGCCCTGCCGTGCTGCGCAGCTCCGCCGAAGCTGCTCAGTATGCAGAGCGATCGTTTGCTGGTTACTCGCTCTACTCGGCTGGATTGCTCCATCACCACCTCAACTTTGCGGCTCCGCCGCCACCACTGCCGCCGCATAACTTCTCCACCGCCTCCTCCGCCAGGACCAACTTCGATCTCACAATGCAGCTCACGAGAAATTCCAGCCAGCAGCAGCAGATGTATCGACCGGATCAACTGGAGCACCATCACCACCTCCAGCTCCAACACGCTCAAGAACAGCACGAAAACGTTGGGAGTGGCAGGGTGGCGGACGAGGGCCTCCTCGAGGACATGGTTCCAACGAGCTCACGAACGAGGAACTTATGATATATTCGATTCGATCGAGATCATCGTGGGACCAAGTTCAATCGGAGCCGAGAGCTCTATCGATCTGATCATCAAATCACTGACACAAAAGCTGATCAATGCGGAAAACATCACCGAATAACTTTTGGGAGGATCGTTTTCGCTCGATGCTGACTCGAAACGATTTTGCAGACCTCATGTGCATTACAATGAAAATGGATCGACCCTATCTCAGTGTACGGGAGTTTACGTGTGCATGGATAGGTGTGTTCTCACAACCTCCAGTAGAAGTTCATACACCCAATCCATGATGATTCCCGGATGTACGAAGATTATTCCCGGCTAGAGATTCCCCGCTCCACTAGCCCAACATGCATGCATGTGGTACGGCCGCGGCTATCCAGGAAACATCGAATAAACAAAAGAAAGGAAGTTGGCAAAACACACACATAGTTGAAGAGTTTCTATCGTTCTCCATTGGAAGAATCGATACATACGATCAAAGGTTTATAGATACAGATCAAAGGTTTGTAGGTGTTTGACTGGATCATCAAAAATCCCCTGCCTGGTCGGGAATGATCTTGTCCCATTTGTTCATCAAAAATATGCGATCGAGCGGAGAAAATAAGAATGGAAAGGGAATCCCCGCAAATTGACTGGCATTTCTTTTAAAGAGCCGATCTTGTTCTTGCGGCCGGTCAATTCTTTTTCTGGATCAACGAGCGCGCGAAGCTCTCGTTGGCCGGTCAGTCAACCGTGGTCAATGGAAGCGTTGACGAGCTGCTGACGAGTCGGTGGCGTCACCGCTGGGCACTAGTGTGAATGGAACCATTTGGATTGTGGGCTGTGAGTGCGCTGCTCCCGCGCGAGAGCTCTTTGGCGGTGCTTTGGCTTGCTTTGACTGATCGAGCGCATTGACTGGCTAACGAACCCAGCGCGGTGCCACCGTAAGCATGAATCATTATCGCCGCGCTGCCGAGAGAGAGAGAGAGAGAGAGAGAGAGAAAGAAAGAATCAAAACAGAGCTCTCTTTAAGTTGCTAGATAGAACTCACCTGGGAAGGAAGAGCTCGGAAACTTCTACACATGTTGTCAGTCCGTGATCCTGCCAGAAGAAACAAGAAAAAAAAAAAAGATGTTATATCCTATTAGCTCGCTCTCGAGGATGGAACAATATACTCACCGGCTTAACAGTGCTCGACGAAATCATTGCCGAAGAAAAAAGGATGGCGCACTCCTGTTTTTTGCAGTGGTTGTGTTGCTTGTTCTCTCGCTCGCTCTCGTTCTAGACCCGTCCGTGACCGAATCCGGGGCCAGCTTTTTTAAGAAAAGCAAGCCAGCTGCATGAAGAGGCATGGTACGTCGGGAGCAATAGAAAGGAAAAAAAAAAAAACGGGGAAAAAAGAGTGTACCTATTAGCGGTACAATCCGTCGGTTGGATTCCCCATCTTTGCAGAGATTCGAAGCAGCCGAAGTCGAACGTTTGTGCTGCTGGCTTTTCTATTTTATTACTTTCTTGCGGCCAAGGCTGTTCCATCATCATGCCCCGCTTTTGAGAGGATTTCGGAATCCTTCGCGCTGATCAACGTTTACTTGTCAATGGCCTCTCCAAAAGAAGTTGAGAATCAAATCGCAAACAAAAGCTTTCTTTCCTCTCCCCTTTTTCTTTTTGTTGGTACCTCGAGCGAAAGCTGTTGCAAGCACCTTCACCTCGTTTCCTTGAAGCTGCTTCCTCCTGCAAGTGGCCTTATTGTGCTGTAATCGGAGAACCAAGTGAGTCTTCCTTAAAGTAGTGATGCAGCTTCGTCTGTTTTTGTCAATTTCCCTGTTGGAGTCGTAAAGGCTGGATGGCGCTGCACAAAACGTGGTCGCTCGATATCAAGATATCTCGATAATCAAAGAAACTTCTTTTACCAGAATTTGAGACTCTGAAGCTCCCTCCAAGCATCCATCTCCATGACCGTGACCAGTGGATGCATCGTCGATTTGACGACTTTTAGAACGCTTGAAAAGCTGGGAAGGAAAAAGTGTTAAGGAAGTATTATTCTTGAAACGTAATGTCACCGTCCGGCGTTCTCCAAAAGCTGCTGAGAGCCCATCGTCTAGGCAACGTCGTTGTCTTGTTGCGTTCTAAAAGTCTGGACATATAAAGTTAAGTGTTGAAAGCACACACAAACCAGGATTGCAACTTTCTCCTGGCTGGAAGAACACGATTTAATCAATCTGTGAGCTAGCTTACCGACTTTACAGGGACGATACATATGTATGAAGATGAACACTGTGAAGACAACGGGGAAAGAAAATCGATACTCATACGTCGAGTGGTAGTAAATTAGCGAGCATATCCGGCTGTCTATTTGATTTATATCACTGTTAGAAGCAACACAAGTTTTCTTACACAACGCTATGATGAGTTTCTTGATGCAATGGCGGCCCTGGATACACAAGAAATAGAATGAAACTGCTTTCTTACTTCAGCTATTGCAGAGTTTTGATGTTGGCTTTCAAAGCTGGTGATTGTGTTGTCGGAGATTTTAGCAAACTAGAAACGCAGCGAGGGGAGCTCACCGATCTCTTGGGAGTTCCCATACGTCTTTGTCTCACAAGAGGGATCAGTGATTGGACAACGTCTGTGATAAGAGGCCTATAGTCCGGCTCCGGTTGAACACACATTGCAGCGATTGCAGCAACCTGCACGACAAATTAAGCTATATGCTGCTACTACGTTTTACTTACTTGGACGAGCTCTTTCATGTTGTATTGACTCCTAAGATATGGATCCACCATTTGCGCCAGCTTTTCTCTATCAGTGAGCCGTGGAAGAGCCTGCACTATTTAGTTAGTTGAGAAACATAATGTATGGTGGGAGCAGCTCACCCAATTAACGAGCACGTTTTGTCCCGGAGGGCGCTTCGCATCGACTGGAAGCCTCCCAGTTATGAGCTCCAAGAGAACAACCCCATAACTGTATACGTCGGACTTTGTTGTCAAGTGGCCTGTCATGGCGTACCTGCAACCATATCAAAGGCAATCAAGTTGTTACAACTTGCACCAAGATTTGAATCTGGATTCTGGTAACACTTACTCGGGTGCGAGATAGCCCTGAGTTCCAAGAACTCGTGTAGAAGGTTGGCCCGCAATTTTATCAGCCCCGGTCTTTGCGAGGCCAAAATCAGCCAGCACGACATCGTTGTGTTCGTCCAGAAGAATATTGCTGCTCTTGAAGTCACGGTGAATGATTGGAGGAATGACATACTCGTGTAGGTATTCCAGTCCCTTGGCAGCATCAAATGCTACTAGGATTCGTGTTCCCCAGTCTAAAGTGCTTTTTCCTTTTAAAGTTCGTCATGTCAAGTATGATAGGACTGCTAAAAGAATTCACCTTTGGAATGCAGATGTTCCTGAAGGCTTCCATTTGCCATGTAGCTATAAACGAGCAGCCTGTAGTCCTTGTCTGCACAATATCCTATTAAATCCAGCAAGTATGGAGAATGGAGACGAGTAAGCATATCCACCTGTGTTTCAGTAGAAGTCAGTTTTGAAGAACACTTCAGGAAAGCTTACCTCGACCCTGAATTCTCGTTCGCCTTGTTTGCCTTGCCTGTCCATGAGCTTTACTGCAGCAAGTCTGCCGTCCGGTAAAACCCCACGATAGACCAGTCCAAAACCGCCATGGCCAATTTTGTTTAACGGGCTGAAGTTGTTGGTTGCAGACTGGAGCTGCTTGTAGGTGAAAACTTGTGCTTTCGACACCTCGTCTCGTTCGCTGCGAATGTAAGTGTCCATACTGTTTTTGCTCCCCTCTGAAATCACAAAAGCCCATCAAAAACCCATCACAGAAGAACAAATATGGAAAAATACTACACCAAATGGCAACAAGAATGAAGAGAACTTTGAGCAGAAACAGAGCAAGGGAAAAATACTAAGAATGAGAACTTACTTGCACTGAAAGTTCTTCTCGTCTTCAATTTGTGCCTCATGTAGAAGAAGTAAGCGAACGCTAGGAGAAGAACAAAGAGGGCCAGGGACGAAGTGATAATGGAGATGATTATCGCAATGCTGGTCCTGTTGCTGCTGCTATCGCCCGCATCACTTGTGCCATTACTAGGAGCTATCCCCGTCGCGGATTCAATGTCTGTCGAAGAGTTCTGGAGGAGAATCCTCCTGTTCACCATTGTCTTTCCTCTTGCTCTCTGCTTCTTTTCCTTCTTCGTTGGTTTTCGTTCTTCAACAATGTAGATAGCCTGGTTAACCAAACCTTTTAGCCATAGCAATGTAATTCAACTAGTAACAGCTTGAACAAGGCAGGGGAAAACTAAAAAGAAAACAGATGGACACAGGAAAAAGAACTCAACTCGAACAGCATTTTTATTCTCACAGGAGCGGGAGCAGCAGGACCAGAGTATCAGGCCTTTAGTCATCGAAAGATTTGTTTGTAATGCAGCGGACTCAGGAGAAAGAGGAAGCTAGGACCCCTACCTAAGCAAGACTCCAAACATCCAGGTGAAGGTACAAAATGCCAGTACCTCATTGAATTCAGAAGGATCAGGTTAAAAAAAAAGTCTGGAAATTCAGGAACAGTAACAGTGCCTGCACGAGGACAAGGCGGAACGCAAAAATCATAAGAACCGCCAACAATCAATCAAACAAACAAACCTTATCGACGAGCGAGCAGGTCCCGACACGGCTTAACAGTGACTGGCCAGCGGCTGCCACGAGTAGCCGTTGATTGACACCGTCCAACGGCTATCGCGCTGCTCTTCACCGTCGGATACCGTCAACTTGGATGTCCCAATCCTCGACTTAATGGGAAAATGTCAATGCTCGTCACTGTATCTCCGCATCGTGGCCATGTTCTGCCACTGCTTCCAAGCATCCCGTAAGTTTGCAAACTCCAAGTCATCAATCCGGTTGAGTTCCAGTGACTCTAGCCACTGAGACCAAGGTGCCTCCTCTTCGTTCATAGATGAAGAGATCACCGGAGCTAGCTTCTCAAGCCAGAACGAGTTCATCCGCTCTGCGATTTGGCTTGACACCTGTATTCCCAGTTTGGAGAAGAAATATCCGCCAGTTCCCCCCTTAGCACGAGTGTAACCTCCTCTGAACGGGAAAAAGGAGTTACCGGACAGTACGAGCCCGTGTGGTGGTGCAAGCGGTAACACAACTCTTGCATGCCGGCACGTAGAAACTGGAATGGCGTCCTCTGGCAGGACATGTCGAAAGACAGCAATGGCAGTCCCGACCATTTTCCGAATCTGAAAGAAAATCATGGAAGTTAAGTCATTGAACGTCCGGAGAGCATTTTTACCTGGTGGACCATGAATGATTCGCCTGTAACTCTTATACGTACAACCGACGAAGGACAATTGAGCTTTTCAGGTCCTTCGCAAGTGCATTTCGCAACGTTTCTGAAATGCGAGGCTTTTACAGGATCTTTGCCTTCTTCCGATTCATCTAGCCAGTAAGCCCGTCGACCCGCACCCCGTTCCTCTCCTATGTCAGCAGCTGGGTTGTCCTGCTCGTCGTGTGTATCCTTGAAAGAAGGTTCCTCGTCTTCTGATGATTCTTCGTCGGCAATTAAGTTTCTAGACGGAGAATATGTCCCTCGCCTCTGGGATTTTCTGTAGAGGCGCCTGACAGTGTAATTGTGAAACGCGTGCCTGCCCTGATCAGAAAAAATTGCACTTGGCCATGAGAAAACAACACAAAAATGAAAAGAACCTCTAGAGATTTCAAGGTACGCCTAAAATCCTGAATCCGCTGGTCGACATCTTCACTGGATGACTCGTTATTTATGCCAATGCAGGCAGCAGGAAAGTAGTAATCATATGTTCTGGAGTAGCAGGACCTTCTGGCATCAAACGATCTGTAAACAGAAAGCCACACCAATGTATAAAATGCAAGAGCAAAACCTTTTCTACGAACTTGGTAACAGGAACAACTCCAAATATTGATATGTTCGCCGGGAGGTAGGCATTGAAAGCGTCGGCAATCTTAATGCCGTCAACGTCATTCAGCCACGAATTCACAGCAACCTCGAGCTTCATGGTGACCACAGTGCATAAAGAATGGACCTGCGCTACAGCAATCATAAAAGAAAAAGTTCCCAAGATTGCCAACGAGATACTTACGCCTTTGTCTGTCCTGCTGCTTCTCTTCCACCTGACTTTGTCAAGGTGTCTGTAATTTTCCTCGGAAATCCCCCCAGCTTTGTATATTGCTTCTTCGAGCTCGTTTTCAACAGCTATAGAAGAGATGAGTAATGTGGAGGAAGAGATAAAATAAACTAACAATGGATACCGGCGACTCCTCGCTGGATCTGCAAGCCTGTTCACGCAAGTAACACATTGAAAGAAACAGCCAACACGATACCTTTGTAATCCGTTCCCACATATCCCACCCAGATCGCCACATTCTTCTTGAATCGCAGCACCTCATCCACAGCGGCGAGCTTGCAAACCGCGGCGCCAGATTCCGCGCCACGCCCTGCGAGAGACTCGCCCTAGCTCATCCTGCCCTAGCTCAATCAAGCACAGCATACCTCCCAACACGCAAATAGGTACCATGGCCAGGTTTTAGGGCTTTCCCGCCCAGTGTTTAAAATTTAATTAAACACAGATTAGTTAACAATGTTGCTTTGTCGTGTGAGAAAAATCTTGATGTAACAAAAGGAAAAAATATAAAGAATGTTGGACGAACTTACTGCCAGTATTGTTGTGCCGGCGCTGGAGCATTTCCCGCGATTGTCAATGCCTGTGTTTTCCTATCCACCTCGCTCGCGAGCGATGCATCCCTGTGATGATCTTCCTCCGTCCTGCTCGATCCTTGGGCTGGAAGACAGGTGCTGGAGATGCTAGCACACTTCATGAACCGCTTGCCTTCGATCACGTTCTTGCCGTAGTTCCTAGGAGCTGCGACAATCCATTGAAAAGATGAGTGAATGGTAGCTCAAACTCGACTGTACCTTGTTCCTGCTGCTGCTGCTGCTGCTGCTGCTGCTGTTGCTGGTCTTGCGTTTGAGATGATCGAGACGATGCTAGCGCGTGTTGTTCCCGGACGAATCTAGCAGCCTCCTCCCGAAACTCCAGACCCCGTTCCCTGAAAGAAAGTAGAATTTAATGGCTAGCAGCTGAAAGAAACCACCAACCTTGGCAAAGAAGCATGCTGTCTTTCCAGGGGTACCATCGCGTTACCCTTCGCGTAATGCTCCTCCAGATGGGCAAACTGTCTTCGAAACTGGTCAACAGCACTGCAAACAAAATGGAGGTGTCCGAAACTTAAGAATAAAACCAGAAAGTAAAAGGAAGCGTTAAAACGGTGTGGAACCTTGGGTACATGAAGTTTGCTTGGTCGTTGCCGTTCACATACTCCATCTTCATCTGCGGATGGTATTCCAATATCTGCGAAGCAGTGCTCAAAGACTCGAATCGATAATAATGCGTTACCTCGCGATATATGAGCTCCCTGACGTCTTCCCTTGTCAGTCTTCGTCTTTCGAACTCGAATTCCATCCTTGAAATCGGGTTGGCAGCAGGCTCTCGCTGTAAATGAGACATACTTTGAAAATAGGGGTCCGCCAGGGCCTGAAAGTCAAGCTCTCTCGTCAGCATAACTTGCCCGGAAGTCAAACTATACTTAACCTCCGTAGCAGACGGCCGATCTTTCGGATCAAAAGCAAGCATCTTCTGTAAGAGGTTACGTGCTAGAGGGTCTATATTCTTGAACTTCTCAGAGAACGGAACAGGGCTCTTTTTGCTCATTGTGCTCAAGTATCTCCGTGCTTTCTCATTGCGAACCTGAAATGAATCGTTTCTAACATTTGGCGAAGAATGAAATCGAATGAGAATTTCTAACCCGAGAAATGACATCCTGTGACGGCGTTCCGAGCAAGTCAGTGATGAGTTCGAGCTGATGAGTAACGTTCTTTCCAGGAAACAGTGGCTTCCGAGTGATTGTCTCAGCAAATATGCAACCAATGCTCCATATGTCGATTGCTGGAGTATACTGCATACAAGAGATCACTTGGCGTCAGAAAAAAATGAACCAATATCCTCTTACCCTCGAGAAAAAGGAACCGCAAAGCTCAGGAGCTCGATACCACCTGGTGGCTACATAATCCTAACACAATGAAATCACACCTTTCAGTTGCAGTACCCGCTGAAACTGGGCGACTTGAATGCACAAGTGGCCAGCCTTTGGCATTTCCTCAAGTCCTCTCGAGCTGTTCAACAGATGTAGAAGTTTACAAGGCTCTGTTTCATTCGAAACTGATTTCCTTTCCGTTCTTAGTTTACATGCATGGATGCAACACAGAATGCACAAAGTCCTAAGGCATACCGTCCAGAATATGGCCGTGGGAGCGTCGTTAAACGCCACTCGGGCGAGTCCAAAATCGCATATCTTTAGCTTACAGTTAGCGTTGGCTAGAACGTTCTTGGGCTTTAAGTCCCGATGGAAAACGTTCGCTGCAACACACGCGAGGGAAAACAATTTCAGAGACAATCATCTCGAGGAGAGAAAATCATACCCGTGTGGATGAACTTCAACCCTCGTAGCAACTGGTAGAGGAAAAACTGGTAGTGCTCGGGCATGAGATCATCGTTGGCTTTGATCACTTGGTGGAGGTCCGACTCCATGAGCTCAAACACCACGTAGATATCCTTGAATTCTCGCCTCGATGGCGGAAGAAGTATGTGCTTGATCTCCACAACGTCCGGATGGCGCAGCAGTCTGAGCAGCTTGATCTCGCGGAGGATGCGAGTTGCATCGGACACATGCTCGAAGATGTCGTTGATCTTCTTAATCGCCACCTTTTCGTTGGTCCTGGTGTCGATCGCGGAGCACACGACGCCATAGCTGCCCTTCCCAATCACCTCCAAGACCTTGTAACGCTGCGCCTCGCCGTATTCCGTGATGAAATTCGCGACACCGCTCTGGACAGCAATCTTTCACCGATATTCCGATCACGCAAAGCACGTACCTTGCGCCGGTGCTCCCCCGCTTGCATTCTCAGCCCGGAATTCTCACGCGGCCACCTCCCCACGCAAAATCACCATCTATCGCCGCCGGAAGAACCCTAGCAATGCCGCGATCGCAAGCGCGCGACGCACATTCCCCGGCAAAGCATCGATCGATCGCCCCGCCGCCCGCAGCTCCTCCCAGCCAAGGCGCCGCGCTAACTCTCGCTTTTACCCTAGCCGGAAGGATAGTCGACAGGGAGAGCTTCATAGCATCCGGCCGTACAGGGGCATATTCGCGCCGGACGCGCGGGAATCGAGCATCGGCTTTTGCGCGGCAGGGAATCGAACCCCGACCGGACAGCGTAATTAGGTGTTCGATTGACGAGCAAACTATAGCCACAAAGGCATTGTGTGACCCACCAGGAGCCACACAAGAGAACAAGGAGGTGGCCACTGTGAGTAGAGCACCTCTCCCAGCAGCGGTTACATCAGTGCTGGAGAAAAAGAAAGAAAGAGAAAGGAAGGAAAAAAAAGAAAGAAAGTGGAGGAGGAAGACAAAGAGGGGGTGTGAGTGATAGCATCTCTGGGGCAAAATTCTCGATGGATCGATCCTTGCCCTAGAGAGAGCTAGAGGGATGATCAATGGCTTCTCTATGTATGCCCTAAACGTCTACTGTAGCAGAGGGGGTGAGTAAGCAGCAATGGCACAGGAAACCCGGAGAATTGGAGGGCGAGAGGTTTGTCGCGAGCTTCTTTAGGTAGTGGTTTTTTTTTTGGGGTCTTTTCTTTTTTTTTGCCTTTCTCGTCTGATCCATCCACACACGCACCGCGGCTGGGTTGCTTTCGTGTCCGAATCACAGCAGTCGGGAATTGAGGAGCAGCCAATTCGAATGTCCTGATTGGGATTCCCGGAAGAAGGAGGAGGGATCGATGGTGGATCTGTGCGAGAGGAGGAGGGAAAGAGAGATGGAATAGCGATGAGGCATCCAAAGGAAGAGGACAGGGTAGCCTATGGTAGAGTGGCGCTTCTCCATCCTCTCCCTCCCTCTCTCTCTCAATCTATTTCTCTCTCTTCTCTCTCAATGCTCGAGGAGCTTCCGGAATGTCAATGCAACTTGCGCTGGATCGGAGGCAAATGGGGCAACTAGGCAGCGGCAGCGACGAGGAGGGATCTAGCGCGAGCGAATCGAGAGAGCGGGAGTGGTGGGCGAGGGATTCTTCCATTTCCTGGCGAGGGGTTTTCTTTTAGATCGTCTTGCCCGATCGATCCGGGGCCATTCTGGATCGGGAGCGACGTGGGCGGCGGGGGATTGGAGGGATCCGTGGTGGGTTCCCGAGGATTCGTGGGAATTCACGAGGTTTGGATTGGCGGGGAGCCGAGGCGCCCGGGTGGCGACAAGGGGACGTAGGAGTCAGGGGGGAACAGGGGCAGGGCGGGGAAATAGAAGCAAAGGATAAACAACGAGCATAGCTCTATCTTCTCTTTCGCGCGCGAGGCGATCTCTCTCCCTTCGCGACCACGAATCACCTCCTCCTCGAGAGACGTGTCGGTGGAGCTAGTCAATCCATAGCCATAGCTCCATGATATCACGGCTGAGGTAAGACCTCCGATCCAGCGAGTTTGGCCGAGCACCACGCGACGATGCCAATGCTCGCGCCAGCGATCCGGCGGGGGCTAGCGGTCGTGGGCCTGGGAAGCAAGGATAGCAGCGGCGGTGGCACGGAGTCGCCAGAGGCGGATTTGACGCCTCCCGGATCGTCGGAGCTCAAGCGCAGCCTCCGCAAGGGGCTGGCGGCCGTGGGGCTCGGCCCCAAGGAGCAGGACACCTCGCCATCGCCGCCCGTCACCTCCGCGCTGCCGCCGCAAGAGGAGATCCTCAAGCAGCGGATTTGCGAGCTCGAGGAATCGCACGCGCGGCTCACCACCGCCTTGATCCATGTTATCAACAACGCGCCGGAGCCCGTGCTCGGCACTCTGGAGCCGGTGCTCGAGACGCTCGATCCGTCCATCCTTCCGCCAAAGCAAGCGTCGGGCTCCGACCAAGGGAGCCGCGAGTCGTCCGTCAAGGACGTGGATTCGCCGGTTCTACTACCGCCGATCGACACCACCTCCGAGGCCAGCCCGGTGACCGCCCCAGTGGATTTTATCACTGTCGAAGGGAGTGGTGGTGGTGGCGGTGGTGGCGGTGGTGGCGGCGGCGGTGGCAGCGGTGGCAATGAAGGTGGTGCTGGCGGCGATGGAAGTGATTTTCTATCGGCCTCGAGGAAGATGCTTCCCAAGCACTTTGGCAACGTCTTGCAGTCCATGGGACAGGCCGTGTACATCTTCACTCCCTCTGGCGAGGTGACATACTGGTGAGTTCTTCGCAAAGGTTGGATGGATTTTTCGAGAGCTTTTGCCAACTTCGCTTGCTTGCTTCTTCCCAAAGTTTGGATTTTGCGAGAGCTCTGCCAACTTCTCTTGCAAAGTTTGTATTTTTTTCTAGAGCTTTGGCAACTTTTGTTTCTTGTTCTTTGGCAGGAACCACGCCGCGGAGCTTCTTTTGGGGTGGAGCGAGGCCGAGGCGGTGGGACGCAAGGTGTCCGAGCTCATTGTGGAGCAGTCGGCTCAGGGGTTCTTGTCGGAGCTGGTTGCGCGGCTAGGGAATGGCGAGTCGTGGACGGGCCAGTTCCCGCTCAGGAAGAAGAACGGGGAGGTTTTCACCGCCTCGGTCTCGGACAATCCGTTCTATGACGACAATGGTGTGCTCATGGGCATCGTCGGCGTGGCCCACGACGTACGTATGCTCCAGGAGCAGCCGAATCCACTGGCGGCTCCTCGAGAGAACTGGGAAGATCTGGAGAAGCAGCACAAAAAAACTCCGTTTCCGTCATCGGTCTCTCAGTTGGTACGAGTGATGCTTTCCAAGTTGAGATCTTTCTGTTCTTACTTTCGGTTTCCTTCCTTGCCAGGCTTCTAAAGTTATGTCAAAGTTGCGAGTGAACGACAACAGCGACGATCGAGAAGGTGGCAGCAATGGCAGCCAGAAATCCCACGAAGAATCGCCCGGTGACAAGAAAAGGCACGACTTCCAGTCTCCGCCAGGGAGCGGGGCATCGCCAACCAAATACTCCTCGAGACAGCAGCAGCAGCAGCAGCTCGATTCGGACGGAAGTCCCCACAGCGAAGAGAACCGCTGGAACGGTGCTCGGAGAGCTCTGAGCAACAAGGCCGAGACGTGGATGGCGAAGAAAGGAATAAGCTGGCCGTGGAACTCTCCTCCGGATTACAGTGACTCGTCGGACTCAAGCGTGAAGAAGAACAACATCATCTGGCGACTCGTGAAAAAGCCGAGAGATCATGAAAGCGGAGAGAACAGACCGAGGTTCGGGCATAGCCACAGCACCCCACCCAGGCTCTACAACGCCGGCAGCCATGATCCGGAGGAGTTCGTCGGAAGTGGTGCCAGTGGACAAAGCAGCGAGTCGAGCTTTCAAAGTTTGAACCATTCGGGAGTGGAGGACGCGGAGGAGATTCGCTGGGAGGAGCTCACGATCCGCGAGCTGATCGGACAGGGTGAGTGTCAAAGTTTGATCGGTCAAGTCTCTCTTTCTTTGCTTTTTTTCCGCTGAGAGTGTGCTTGGCTTAACAGGCTCCTGTGGATCCGTGTACCGTGGAATGTGGTGTGGATCTGTAAGTGCGCTTTTGTTTTCTAAAAGTTTGAGCTTTCGTCACTCGTGATTGTCTTTCCAGGATGTCGCTGTCAAGGTTTTCTCCGAGCGTGGATTTTCTCCAGCTCTTCTGGATGATTTCCGCAAGGAGGTGGCGATCATGAGGAAAGTCCGCCACCCGAATGTGCTGCTGTTCATGGGAGCCGTGGCGACGCCGGACAATCTCTGCATTGTCACCGAGTTTCTTCCTCGGTGAGATTCGATCTTATCCTTCGTGTTTCCATTTTTTTCCGTTCTGGATTGTGACCGGAAGCTTGTGGTCGTGGCAGTGGAAGTTTGTTTCGCTTGTTGCATCGGAAAACTCCTGGATTGGATCTGAGGCGCCGACTGAGAATGGCTTTAGACATTGTAAGTTGATAGATCTTTCTTCTCTCCTTTTCTCTTGAGAGTGACTTGGTAATGACAGGCACGAGGAATGAATTATCTTCACCACTGCAAGCCTCCAATCGTTCACCGCGATCTCAAGTCCTCGAACCTCCTCGTGGACAAAGATTGGACCGTCAAGGCGAGATTTTTTTCCTCCTTTCCCTTTCCCGGGGTCTCATTCCATTGATCTTCCAAAATGTAGGTGGGGGACTTTGGTCTTTCGAGGCTCAAGCATGCAACGCTCTTGACAACAAAGTCAGGACGCGGGACTGTAAGTTCTTCTCTCTGTTTTCGAGCTTTTCTCTAAAACTTTTCCTCTGGCAGCCACAATGGATGGCGCCGGAAGTGCTGAGAAACGAGCCTTCTGACGAGAGGTTTGCATCGAATCAAATTCTTTCTCTTGTTCATGGCTGGATCGAGAAATAATCTGCTGGTTGTCGCTGTTTCTAGAGCCGACGTCTACAGCTTTGGCGTGATTGTATGGGAGCTCGCCACGGAACAAGTTCCCTGGGACGGAATGAATCCCATGCAAGTAAGTTCTTCCAAAACTCTCTCAAGAACACGGACTTCTACTCTCCAAAACAGGTTGTGGGAGCTGTGGGATTCATGAACCAACGATTGACAATCCCTCCAAACACAGACCCGGGATTGACTGCTCTCATGGAACAATGCTGGCAAAGGTAGACCTCCAATTTTTATCTCCCCAATCTCACAGATCTCTCTCGTACTTCCTCCAGCGATCCCAAAGCGCGACCCTCTTTCGAGGAGATCATCGCCAAGATCCGCGAATTGCTAGCACAAATAGCGGGATCGGCATCGAAGTCACAGTCGAATGCTAGCGAAGAATCGGCCGCACAGAGTTGAGAGAAGAAGCGCTTGTGTATAGCTAAAAGCTGTATATTTGATATGCTTTTTGGTGTCATATTCTTTCGTTAAAACCTCTTAACAACAGGGAGCTTTAGGGCTCGTCGGTGTAAGCTAGGTCTAGGGTATTCTCCTGTGGCGGAGCGAGCGCGCCATGGCGCCGGGGGAAGGGGGATTGGCGCCACTGCACTGAGAGCTGCTGATTCCAGGCAGCATTCCCGGGGGCGATGGCGCAGAGCAACGGGAAGAAGTATCTGGGTGTTACTGAGCCTATCTCCACTGCCGGGCCGACGGAAGCTGATTTCGCAAGAACGCGCGATCTTGAGAAGGTTAGCGTTGAGTCGAGTTGTGAGAGGGATTTTTTGGCCTTCTTTCTTCCAGGTTTTGACTGAGGCTGGATTGTATGAGAGCCCCGAGGAGGCGGTTCAGCGTGAGGAAGTTTTGGGAAGGCTTGACCAGGTTTGAGACTCTGCATTGATTTTTCTTGCTTTTGCTTTCTCGGGATTGTATCTGAGATGGAGTGTGTGTGTTTCTTGCAGCTTGTCAAGGAATGGGTGAAGAATATTTGTCTTAGGAAGGGATACAGTGAGCAGCTCACTCAAGAAGCCAATGCCAAAATTTTTACTTTTGGTTCTTATAGATTAGGAGTAAGCTTTTCTGCCGCTCTTGTGTGTTGGAGAGTAACCAGCTTATGCTTCCCAGGTACATGGACCGGGTACCGATATAGATACACTTTGTGTTGGCCCCCGTCATGTGAGCAGAGAGGTGAGTTTTTCTCTCCTTTTGCTTTGTACATCCAATTCTTAACTTTGGCTCGTTGCTTTTGTATAGGAGGATTTTTTTGGTGTCTTTCATGGAATGTTAGAAGCTATGTCCGAAGTGACGGAACTTCATCCTGTCCCGGACGCTCATGTTCCAGTTATGAGATTCAAATTTAGCGGAATAAGCATTGATCTCTTGTATGCTCCGCTTGCGGTGTGGACGATTCCGGAGGTGAGAAACTTCGATTTTTACAATCTTTTCTAATACAGTTTGTGCACAGGATTTGGATATTTCGCAAGAGTCCATACTCCGGAATTTGGACGAGCCGAGTGTCCGCAGTCTCAATGGCTGCCGTGTCACAGACCAGATATTGCGATTGGTTCCAAATATTGAGGTATCTGGTTTTTTTCTCCTCTTTTATAATGTCAATGAGCTTTCAACTAGCGGTAGTTTCTTTCAGCATTTTCGGACTACGTTGCGGTGCATGAAGCTGTGGGCCAGGAAGCGCGGCGTCTATTCGAATGTAAGTGTGGCGCTCTTTTTTCGAGTTTGATTCTTCCACTTCGCATGTAGGGCATCACTGTTAGAGATGCGGTTGTGAACAAGGACATGATTTTTTAGTTCCATGAGGCAGAGGAGACACAAGCTTGCTCTCTGCAGCCATGGAAAGATAGTACTGCAAACTCTATCGACTTATGAATTCTACGCAGGTGACAGGATTTCTTGGGGGTGTGAACTGGGCATTACTTGTTGCGAGAATCTGCCAGCTTTACCCGAACGCTCTTCCGAGCATGCTGGTGTCACGGTTTTTCCGGGTTTACACACAGTGGCGGTGGCCCAATCCTGTAATGCTGTGCGAAATAGAAGAAGGTTCACTGGGCCTAAGTGTTTGGGATCCGCGGAAAAATCCTCGTGACCGGACTCATCAGATGCCGATTATAACTCCTGCTTATCCTTGCATGAACTCGAGCTACAATGTTTCTTCGAGCACGCTCCGAGTCATGGTCGAGGAATTCAGTCGTGCAAATGGCATCTGTGAGGTACGTATCTTATAAAAGGTTTTTCTTTTCTTGTGACACTGGATCCTGGCAGGTGATTGAAATGAATAAAGCTGAATGGAGTGCGCTTTTTGAGCCTTACGCTTTCTTCGATGCCTATAAAAACTACTTGCAAATCGACGTCTTTGCTGCAGACAACGATGATCTCCGTAGATGGAAGGGCTGGGTCGAGTCACGGCTCCGACAACTCACGCTCAAGGTTGGGCTTGACCGGGAAGTTTTCTCCTTTTGAAATCTAATACTTTAAATGCAGATCGAGAAACATACGTATGGCATGCTCCAATGCCATCCACATCCTTGCGACTTTGTGGACGAGTCTAAAGAAGGAAAGCACTGCGCGTTCTTCATGGGGTTGCAAAAGAGACAGGGCCTTCCATCACAGGAAGGGCAGCAGTTTGATATTCGTCTCACGGTAGAGGAGTTTAGGCAGTCCGTGACTGGGTATCAGTTGTGGAAGGAAGGAATGGACATAGCAGTGTCGCATGTCCGCCGGAGACAGATTCCAGCCTACGTTTTCCCCGGTGGAACAAAGCCAGCTCGGCCTCCGAAAGTAACTGGAACCGGAAGGCTGGTTGGAACGAACTCGCTCCCGACGGAACTTGATACACCACCTCTGAAGCGTAAGCTGGACTCGGAGACGACCCCTCCCGAAGGCTCCAGGCCCCTGCGACGTACTAATACCGGCGTTTCGGAAGCTGGAAGCTGTCAAGCTCCCGCAAAGCCCGAGAAGCAGGAAGCATACGCGGATGCAACACCAGCTACGTTATTGAGGCCGGATGCGAACGCAGCAAATTTTGGATTTCCAGAAATCCAACAGAATGGACCGGGCTCGGCAGCTGTACAGGCTAAGCAGACGCAGCCGGCAACTTTCGTGTTTCAACAAACCGTCGCACCTTTGGAGGAGCTAGAGGTCTCTTTTTTCTCTTCTTTTGCTTTCAAGCTTGTTGGTCCGCGTTTGTGATTTTTTTTCTTCTGGTGGCACTGACTTTGACAACTCTGGTTTTCTTGCCCGCTTTTTATCTTGGTTTTTGTTCCAGGCTGCGGGAACCTCGTCAATCGCAGCAAGCAGTGCCGCAGCGGCAGCGGCAGCGGAGATCCGGAGGCCCGTGATCAGGCAAGCTTTGAGATTCGGAGTAGTCTACTAACAGTGCTCGAAGTTTCGTGACGGGAATTTTCCTTGTCTCATTTTTTGTTTCGCGTTTCATCGCAGGCTTTGCTCCGCGAGTGTTCCACCATCGACTAGTGCTCCGCCAGGAAACCATTTTGTTAACCGGTGACGATGGAGAGCTCGATCGCTCAAGCAAAATTCTTCCACAGTGAAAGGGAGCAAGACGAGGGAAAAGAAATGGCTCTTCATAGGAAGATTTATAGGCTGTGAGACACACGGTTATAATGAATATACATACGTTTAAAACTCGATTTCTAGGGTTTTGGAAGTTCTAGCCTAGCGAGGAAGAAATGGGGCTCGTGCTGCGTCTGGCGGTGCCGCATTCCTTCTCCCTCGCGCGCGTCGTGTGTAGCTATGGATTCTACATGATGCAGCCGAACAGATGGCTGCCGGAGAGCGGCGATCTGGAGCGGCCGCTGCGGCTCAAGGACGGGCGTGCTGTGGTGACGATTTTGTCGGAGGAAGCGCCCGGGATGCTGGCTGTGAGGGTTTTGGGCGTGGGGGAGCTCCCGGCGGACGATCGGGAAGAAATTCTGGTGAGTAGGTTCTTAGATTGTGTACGTTGTGTAAGGGAGAATTTCGTTGTGACAGAGCCAAGTGAAGAGGATGCTGAGGCTTTCGGATGAGGAGGATCTCCTGGTGACTGGCTTCCATGCTCTTCATCCCAAAGCCAAGGAGGAAGGCTTTGGGAGGCTGATACGATCGCCGACGCTGTTCGAGGACATGGTGAAGAGCATTCTTCTCTGCAATTGCGGGTAAGTGGATTGGATGACTCTTTCTTTTGTTTCATGCTCTTGTTTCTTGTAGGTGGGGAAGAACTTTGCAAATGGCCAGGGCCTTGTGCGAGCTCCAGTTTGAGCTCAAGGGAGCTCCAGTTGGATACACCAAGGTGCTTGCGTACGAAAAGATTGAATTTGCGGTCACCACGGTTTCGTCTTCGTCGAAAAAGAGGAAGAGTGTGGTCGCCAGAAGCACAACCAAATCGAGGGTGAAAAGACTGCAAAAAGCTTTCAATGAGAGCATGCAAGGCGCTGGGCTTGCTCCATCCGAAATGCTGGAGGCTGAAACTGGGACGCAGGCTTTCGATACACAAGTCGGAGCTTTTCCAACCCCGGAAGAGCTGAAGGATTTGGAGCCGGACTTCCTCTCCAAGCGATGCGGCCTTGGATACCGAAGCAAAATGCTGGTGAAGCTAGCACAGGACGTTGCTTCCGGGGATTTGGAGCTGGGAAAGTTTGAAGGCCCAGACGCACTCCAAGGCGACAGCTTGAGATGCGCCGTTTTGAAGGTCTATGGATTTGGGCCCTTCTGTTGTGCCAACGTGATGATGCTACTCGGGAACTACAACGTTATTCCGGCCGACTCAGAGACTCTTCGACATCTTAAACAGGTGAGAGTTATCCTCTGTTTTCGTTCATATCTGCTGCATTTAACAGTTTCATGTTCTTAGTTTCACGGTACGCAAGGTGTTACAAAGCAGAATCTTGCAAAAGTTGTTGCAGCAGTCTACGAGAAGTACAAACCTTACGAATTTCTGGCCTACTGGTATTTCCTTCTGGTCTTCTCCTTTCGCTCATTCATGTCCTTATTTTCTAGGTGGGAGATATGGAGATCTTACGAACAGCGTTTTGGAGATTTGACACGAATGGCTGCGTCCGAGTTTCATCAGATCACTGGTGTGAACATGAAGAAGCTCAACGCGGAAACTTCGTAGCCAACAGGCGAGTTTTCTCTATCCATTTTATCGTTACATTTTAGGTTATGCGGGTTTCTTTCTCCAGGGCGGTTTCAGCATGAAAAAGGTGAGGGAGGGGCTTTACATCGGGTGCCTGGATGATGCGCTCAAGTACCTGTTTGGATCCGAGTCCGGGATCACGCACGTCCTGTCTCTGGCGTCTCTCAACTTCCTCACGGATGACAAGTCGCTGAATGCGTTCTCGGCCTTTAGAATGCGGGCGTCTCTGCGCAGCTCCCTCATGGAGTCTGTGAAGAACCCAAATGCGGATGCTGCGGCCAGTCGTCCCGAGCCAGTCACTGCCGAGCAAGCTGCTGCAAACAGAGCCAAGCTGGTCCGGAAAACTGTTCCTTTGATCGACACAGAGGCTCAGAACCTGCTCGATTATCTGGAAGAGTGCCTGGAGTTTATTGACAAGGGAAGGAGTGAAGGGTCTGTGCTCGTCCACTGCGTAGCTGGTATTTCCCGCAGGTAACGTCCTTGTATTCTGATGCTCATCCTTCCTTTTTTTTTTATCACCTCAGTGCTACGGTGATCACTGCCTACCTTATGCGGAGCGAAAGGCTGATACTGAAAGGTCCTTTGATTCTCCCGTGTCATCAGAAAAGAACTCACACGAATTATTTAGTTTTAACATTGCAGAGGCGCTCGCTTCTTTAAAAGAATGTAGCAAAACAGCTTGCCCAAACAAAGGATTCAAGCGTCAGGTAAGAATGTGCTGCTCGCAAGTAGTTTTTTCACCGTCTCTTGTTCCCTTCAGCTGCGGATGTTTGAGGAGATGGGCTGTGTCGTGGACAAAAACAACAGTATTTACAAGAAATTTCACCTGGAAAATCTCGGTGAGCTCGTGGTTACTTTTCTCATCGGATCCCAGGTTCTAATGCTTGCTAATCAGGAAACATGTATGGGAAAGGCCAAAAGATCGAGCTTTTGCAGTTCGCAGTAGATCCAAGCTCCCACGCAGAAAACCAGAATCCATCAGGTGGAAAGTCAGGCACCTTCTTCCGCTGCAAAAAGTGCAGGCGCTTGCTTGCGTTGCAAGGCAATGTTCTCGCTCACGCTCCCGGCGCTCAGGAGAAACCATACAAGTGGAAGAAAGGCGATGAGGACGAGACTTCAACCTCGCAGGTGCCGGACTCTTGTGCCGCCCTGTTCGTGGAGCCAATGCAGTGGATGACTACAGGTAAACAGCTCCATTTCATGTTTTTTTCATTGCTAATGCACAGTGATTTCTCCGTGCAGTCCAACAAGGGGAGATGGAAGGGAAACTCTCTTGCGCAAATTGCCACAGCAAAGTCGGGAGTTTCAACTGGGTGGGAGTGCAATGCAGCTGCGGTACTTGGATCAACCCGGCATTCCAGTTGCACACAAGCAAGGTTGATGCGTCATGGACATAAATGCTTGAGAAGAGGTAATTCTCTGGTTTTCTATGATGTTCGAGCAAACTCCATTAAATTTCCTCTCAGAGAAATGCTCTGAACGTGGCAGAGCACAGTGTTTTTCTCATCGCATCTCCCTCACCAAGAACACCGAGAAGGTGACAATGACGAAGGAGATGAGGAACGACATGATCATCTCAGTGAGGAGGCTGTCCATGGAGAATCCCAGCAGCGGCGACACCTGCACCCCCGGCGGCGATTTCTTGAGCGCAAACAGGCGGAGGGCGTTGCATTCGTGGCAGGCGGAATCCATGGCGAGGATGCCGCTGGCGGCGCCGCCCAGCGCGTAGAGGGCGGCGGGCGGCGGCGTCACCTTTGGGAAGCGCATGAGCGCCGACGAGTAGGCGAGCGCGGAGGTGGAGGAGATGGTCGCAACCGTGGCGCCCAGGACCAATCCATCGCACAGCCACGGCGTCGCGCGGATGTGCCTCGCGATTTGCCTCAGCCCGGAGGCCATTCCGGGCGCTCCAAATCCGAGCCCTGCGAGGCTTCCAAGTCCTGGGAGCCAAAATCCTTGATAGCGATGCTGGAGAGAGCTGCTGCTGCTGCTGCTCGTGCTGGGCATCGTTTCGGTCTTAGAAAATTCTCTTGTTGTTGCTCTGCTTGTCGTTCATGGAAGGTGGAGTTTGCTGAAAACAAAGTAGCAGTTTTGGGCAGTTGACAGGGGCGCGTGTGTTCGGCGGGCACTGTTCCTGTGGCAGTTGACGTGGCGGCCGTTGACAGTTCAGCAGAAACTATTATAAAAGGCAATAAAAGGATCTATATTAAATGTGTAGAGGCCAAAGATTTTACTAAAAAAGAAAATTGCATGCATATAAAAATACAGAATAAAATGAGAGAAAATATATACAATCAAGAATGATTCTCCATTGCTTATTGCTCTCCATTGCTCAAATTTCTAAAGTAGTTTGTAAAGTTTTGATTTACTTAAATTTATTATTATACATATAAATTTTAAATTTAAATGCAAAATTATTTTCGTCATATGTTAATGTTACACAACCCATGATTTAAGATACACCAGCGTGGCATCATCGGGTGAGCTGCCACTCCCCGTGACACCATTCTCTCCCGCCACTCCACCAGCCGCTTTCCTGCCTCAGTCGTCCGCTTCTTGGAGCTGGAGTCTCTATTCCCTGACCACGTCACCTCTGCCAGCGCGGAAGTCCGCGGCCACACCAGCCCATCCAGCACGTTCGCATCGGCCAACTCAGACCACAGGGCGGCCTCAGCGCCAATCACAAGCGCCGCCTCCTGCCGCGTCAGCCCGTACGCCAAGTCAAAGTCATAGATCCGCTGCCACGTCTTGTACGGCGCGCACCACGACCCGCCGCTACCACCGTAGTTGAAGGACGCGTCGTCACCGGTGATGCTCAGCGACGGCGGCACCACCGTCCGGTTGGGCTGGTCGAATCGCGAGTCGTTGAGCAGGAAGTCGCCGCGACCACAGTCGAGGTAGAGGAAGTCGGACGACGACACCACCGCGCGGTACCCCGCCGACGTCACCGCCTTGGTGTTGATGGCCCCGTTGTTCCACGTCTGTATGACCGTTGACCCCCTGGGGAGGAGGTCAGCAGACACGTTGACCGCGGCGTCGAGCAGAATATCCTCCCAGTACACCACCGTCTTGTTGCGCGACGCGATCATCGGGTACGTCCTGTTGACGAAGAGCTCCAGGAGGCTGCCCATGGTGGCGTTCCCGGAGGAGACGAGGCGTGAGAGCTCCTCGCTCGCGTTCCAGCAGCCGGGGGCTATCTCGTCGGCCCCTGCGTGGTAGAAGGAGTCCGGGAAGAGGGCCGTCACCTCCTCGATGATGTGCTTGAGAACCTGGTAAGTTTTTGGGTGTAGGGGATTGAGCTGCCCGGCACCTGGCTCCGACGCCATGCGTTTGCTCCAGTCTTGAGTGTTGGGATCCCACCACATCTTTCCCAGGCATGTTAACATCTCTGGGTACGCCGCTCCCCATGATGCTGTGTGTCCTGGACAAAAGCTTTGACTTTAGAAAGAAAAATCTGGAAGTTTTTACCTGGAGCGTCGATCTCGGGGATAACTCTGACACCGCGAGACCTGGCGAAGGCCACAATGCGCTTCACGTCCTGACGTGAGTACGTAAACTCCGGCCCATACGAGCCTTTTTTGGACAGCTCCGGCTCCGACTCCAGGAGTAGAGGGAACGAATGCGAGTCCGATATGTGCCAGTGGAAGACGTTGAGCTTGTTGTAACTGAGAGCCTGGATGGTCCGAAGTATGTCCTTGACCGGAAAGAAGTTCCTGGATGTGTCCAGCAGGAGTCCCCTGTGAGAGTAGAGCGGCCAGTCTGTGATTCGGACCCCGTAGCTTATGAAGAGCTTGCGAGCTTGCGAGTCAAACTGCACCAGTTGAGAGAATGTTTCCAGCCCGTGGAGAGCCCCCCACGTTGTGTTCGACACAATCGAGGCAGAGTCACCCTCTGAAACCACCAGTGTGTAGGATTCGTCCACACCATTCTGTAAGCCGGCTCGTAAGTCCGACACGGAGATGACGAGCCGTGAAATAGTTGCTTGTGCGGACTGAGAAGAAATGCGAGCTTGAATGGACACTGCAGACCATTTCTCAGTACAAACTTGACGCTTGTACCTCGATGCAGCAGCTCGCAACAGCTTTGGAGAACCCGCAGGCACCGAGATCGTGAATGTTGGTGAAATCAAATGGCATGACCTGTCGATGGCCTCAACAATCTGAGGCTGCGGCCACAGAAACAAATCGGAGCCCCTGCAAACCTGCACGGACCAGAAGATGAGAAAGCCGAACAGTCTTCTCATCTCCATTTTGTGATGTGAATCCTCTGAAGAAAATGTTAGCATATTTATTTAGAAGGAACGCGCGGCATCAACAAATCCCACCTAGAGCTGCCGCCCAAACAGAAGATTTTATGGATTGAAGAAGTGAACAGCTCCAATGTTGTTTGTCCACTAGCAACTGTAGTCGGTGGTAAGTACAAGAAACAAAGCTGGCTTCTCACTCGCCTTATTAATCCGATTTGTCGTCGTTTATGGAGAGCAGAGTCATTGCTTGAACGCTCGCATCATCCAAGCTGTCCATAGAGATCTGCACAAAACATAAGGCCGCCATATGCAACAGGATGAAAAATAATTCATTGACTTACTAGAAGTATGTCTTCGTCTGTTCCAAAAGACTTACGTGCTTCGTCCAGCGCTTCAAGCGGCAGCTTATCGCTGCAACTGTAAAGACAAGATGTGAGGAGACAAAACACAGCGCCTAGCACCTTGAGCTTGATGGATCTTTTATTTCGAACTCGTTGGTTTCTAGATCATACCCGCAAATAACCACATAATGGCCTGCAAAATCAACATCACCTGTAAAAGACGTGGTACAAGAAAAAAGTCTCTTCACCTGTGTAGCCAGAATGTAACCCGCAACACAAACACACTTCGAGCCAAGGATGGCTGTAAAGACCAGGAGAAGCTCTAAGAAAATATTCAGAATTTGAAAATAAAAAGTACCTGAGCTTGTGTTTGTCAACTAGCGCAATAGCAAGATATCGTCCAGAAAGAATCAGCATTGCCAATTCTTCGCCAGATATGGATCTCCACTGTGTCACTTTCGCTTGAGTGTCAAATGAGTAGATGTTATACTGCTACCTGTATCTGAATCCCAGCTTGAGGAGCTTTCTCAAACAGCTTATTTACCCGTTTCTCGTCGGCTTCCATATTATCCTGCACGATACCATTAGCTTCTCCATGAAAAGAACATTGCAACTACAACGAACATAGGTAGCTTTAACATGCAAAAGGCAGGCGATTCGACTTACACATCAAACTGTGGACGATCGACCTCTAAATACATACAGTTAGAAAGCGTTTGGAAAGAGCTACGCGTACGAACCTTGTAGAAAGACTCGACTGCCAGAAGTGGATTTGCTCCAAGGGTGATCGTCAAAAAGGCCACATCCACCGAAAAATGGCGAAGGAGATAAGCCAAATCAACAGTCCAAATGCTGCCAGCCACAGGGAAGAAAGAAAAATCAGCACGCACTTAAGGTTGCCTATAGGACCTACCTCGTGTTACGACAGAGCTGGGACAATGTCTTTAAATTACAGCTCTCAATCCCGAGAGCTCGAAGCACCATCGAGACACAAGCGAGCCCACAATCCCAGCTCCTAAGCTGGCGGACATGGGGAACCTGGAAAGAAGAACAAAAAGAACTATCACGGCACAATCATAGCAACGAAGGATTGCTATCTATAATATACTCACATCAATAGAATTCGACCGAGGAAGAGGTCTGTCACAGTCGATGAAAGGGGAATGCACGGAATCCCATTTGTATATTTCCACGAGCGATTTCGTGGCCCAGGCACTGTTCGCGGTCCTCCGAGACCTACCTCCTTCCGATCCCGCCATTCCCTTGTCAGAGCATGATCTTCAGACAAATCCTGCGACAACGACAAAATCGCCGGCCAGCGAGAGATTTTAGAGCAGCAGCTGGTGTGAATCACCTCGAATCACTCCATTCTCGATCCTGGGACTCTCATCAGAGAGAGATCCCGCCGCGCTCGCCGCGCCGATGCCGATTCACCTAAAGACCTCTCATCGGCATTGCCGAAATCTCGCGCAATGCGGATTGGAGCGCGCCGCGCAGCCGCTCACCCCTGGAAGGAAAACCTATGAATGAAACCACGGTCATTTCCCAGCCAGAAAGCCTCCGCGGCATATTCCACCCTGTTCTCAAGCTTTTGGACTCGATGCGGTATATTCTACCCTGTTTTTCAAGCGGGGAATCGAACCTCGGACCTTCAACTAAAGCCCGGATTCGAACCCCAACTCGCGAGGGAGTTTTGTCTGGCGCGGTGGTGGGCATGCAAGCTCGTCTACAAATACAAATCTAGGGCTATCAAGAAGAAGAAGCGGCGCCGCCAGGATCCGCCAGTAGGGAGCGCTCGATCGATGGATTGGCGCGGCGTGTAGCTCATTCATTCATTCTCCGCGATCCACGGGACAGTAAGTAAATGGCGGGATCGTCGGCGACGAGGCTCATCCTGACCAGTGGCGGCATCGTTCCAGCTCCAGAATCGCCTCCACCGACCTCGCTGGATTTGCTAGAGGTGAGGCGGCAGTCCGGGGAGGGCTCTAGATGCCGGTTTGGCTGTGCGCTCGGGAAGAACTTGCTGGGGCACGCCTTTGAGGACCGGCACTACGCCAGGATCGTCGAGCACAAGGGGAAGGAGATTGCGATGTTTGGGGTGTATGACGGGCACAAAGGGGGCGAGGTAGCGGACTTCCTCCAGCAGTATCTCTTCGACGCCATCTTGAGTCATCCACGCTTCGATGTGAATCCAAAGGAGGCGATCCGAGAGGCATACTTGGCATTGGACAAGAGGTTTGGTTTCCATCTTCGCTGGCTTGTTCTTCGTGTGATTGTGTTCCTTCCCAGGATTTTAGATCTGGGAAGCGTGAGGAGATCCGGCTCCACGGCCACGACTTGCCTTCTCTTTGATGGATCCAAGCTCATTGTCGCAAACGTCGGGGATTCGCGGGCGGTGCTGTGCCGCGGTGGCGAGGCCGTGGTCGTCTCCGTGGATCACGAACCACAGAAGCCGGAAGAACGTGAGATGGTGAGACCGAAAAATCCGATTATTCCTCCACAGGTGGCAGCTCTGAGAGATTCCCAAAGCAACACGTAGCTCTCTCGAGTGTCGTGATCGTTGTGATCGTTGTCTCCACTTATGGTTTTCTTTTGTTGTGGCTTTGTCAGGTGGAATCCAAAGGTGGAGAAGTGAGCTTAACACTCGGTGGAATCTATCGCGTCGACCGACGGCTGGCCATGTCGAGAGCTTTCGGGGACTACGATCTCAAAGAGCACATCACGGTAGAGCCGGACATATGGGAAGGCGAGCTCTCCTCGGACGATTTCTTCATCGTCGCTAGCGATGGGCTGTGGCACAAGGTGACGAGCGAGGAGGCCGTGAGCGTGGTCCTGGAGGAAGACGAGGCCGTGGTCGCCGCGGAGGAGCTCGTCGAGCTTGCCAAAGTGAAGAGGGAGACCGATGATATAACCATCGTCGTTGTCACGTTGAAGTGAGCGAGCTAACTAATTTTCAGTTCTATCGTCCAGCTTCCAGCCAAGATTCTCTTTCTCCTTTCTCGATTACTTTGATTCATCACTGGTGCAGGAGCTGGTGTTCGCGTTGATTTGCATTCTTGACGCGGAACTCCAGCTCCGAAACGTCGCCGTGGAGACGGCTCAAGCTCTCGTTTTGCCTGTGCAAGAAAGAGAGGTAAGTTTTGACAGAGAAGTTCTTCGTGGCTATGGCAAGTTACCTTCCAAGCTCGTCTCCCATGGTAGCGGACATCTCCTTGAGCTGATCCAGGACGCTGCTCAGGCTCGAGAGAGCTTCATCCTGCTTGGCTCGCTCATCCTTCCCAAGGATTCTCTCTTAAAGCTCGAAACGACGAACAAACAAAACGACTTTACCTGGACGTGGGACTGAAACGTCGAGGCGTGCTGAGGAGGCGAAGACGAAGATTTCGGAGCCGCTCCATTGCCCTCGAAGAACTCTTTCCGATCGGGATGAGCAGCAGCATGGACTGGATTATCTGATGAAAGATCATAGCTATAGCCATGAAAGAGAGAAAGAACTTTAGCTATGTACCGTGGTGGAAGTCCAAGGGCCCGCTCAATTCCTGGCCTCTCTTGGGCCGCCAGGGCCTGGAAAAGATGCCTCCAAGGCTGGCCAGAAGTTTCTCTCCCTGTGATCGATGATCCAAAGTTGTTGACAAGGATAGAACGAAGAAAAGATTTCCAAGTACCTTGTTAAGTTCTTGCTCGAGCACTAGCGCCGACTCGTGCGTGCGCCGGATCTGCTGGCCTTGCTCGTGGAGCTGGACGATCGTCTGCGTCGCCTCGTGCCTCATACCCTCGGCCACGCGGAGGCAGCTCTGGATGGCGGAAGTGGTCTCCTGGGATGTGCCCAGAGCTTGCTGCTGGAGCTCTTGCAGATCTTCGTCATCGCCATCTAGATCCCGGCGATGCCCGGCGCCTGGAGGAGGAGCGGAGGACGCTCGACTGTGATTACTGGGCGAATGATTTCCCAGGAGAGCTTGGCGCTGCTGGAAAGCGCTGGAATCTCGCAGAAGAAGCTCCGCCGAGGGCGATTTGTGAGCCATCCTTGGAGAAAGAAAAATAGGCCAAGAGGGTATCAATGCCGCATTGCGATCGTCGTGACTGACCTAGTGCGGCGATGGCGATGGCGATGGCGACGATCCGGGAGCTGCCTTATAGATCTGTGGCGCCGTGGCAAGGAAAGGGCGAGAGAGGAGGAGATCAAGAGACGCCGCTAGAGAGAACTTGAATGGGACACAAGGAGGGAAACCCAAACGTTATTTTTCTTCTTTAATGGATGGGATTTTTTAGTAGAACACATCGTCAGCGTGTAAATGTGCTGTGAGATTCAAGCTGTCGAGCATTGGCTCCCCGAGCTTGTTCACCGTAAAGCTCGAGATCCCACTGTTGTTTATGTCGATCGCTCGAAATCTATCCAGGAAATCATCGCAAAGTTAGCAACGGCAAAACTTGCGAGTAGAATTATCAAGACTAGAACTATGGGATGCAAGACTTTCTTAAAAGAAAGCTTGTTTACGAGTGAAAAGATCGTACCTTTCCGGTTCTAATCCCAGTGCTGTGCAAATGAGTGCTCGAAGAATCGACTTGTGAGTAACAACGAGCACGGTTTGTCCCTGTCAAGTGAAATAGAAGTAATGAAACTCTCTCTGCGAAAAGAGGGAGAGAGAACGAGCTTACAGATCCGGCGAGCATTTCGGCCCAAGCTTTCTTCGCCCTGCCCCACAGATTGACGACGGGATAGACGCCATTCACGTTGAAGTTCCTTGGATCTTCTCTCCAGGCTTTGAACAGTTCGGGAAACTCTTGCCTTGCGTCCTCTAGAAAAGAAAATGCTTTGTAGACAACCAAGAAGCGTGGCAAAGCTTACGATTTTTCATTCCTTCTAGGAACAGCAGGTTGGCTTCTCCCAAACTCTCAAGAAAAATCAATGGCTCCTCGCGACCAGACCACATAATCTCGGCACTAGACTGCTTCAAAACAACGCTATCAAAGAGATACATGTAGAAGAAAAACTACCACCTTGGCTCGGGAGATGGGACTAGCGTAGCACTTGTCAAACTTAATCTTCGAAAGAGCATGTTTGCACCGTTGTGCTTGCGAAACTCCAATCTCCGTGAGAACCGACTTGTCTGAGCTGCCCTGGATCAAAGGAAACAAGAGATCAAACGAGAAAAATCACTACCACAGCTTACCTGAATCCGGCCCTCCTCGTTCCATGAGCTTAATCCATGCCTCACGAGAAAGAACCTCTTGCCAGCGGCTAGAGGAGTGGGAATTAACGGGTCTGTCGCTCCTCGAAAATCCAGAGCCGTCCCCGTGACCCATTCCAGTGCTCTCGTGGCGTAGCTGGAACTGCCATTCAGCGACAAGCGTCCACTCTCCTCTAAAGTTTTGGATAAGAAGAAAATCTATGCCGATAGAACGATAACGATAGAGAACGACTTACTTGCGGCGGAATTCGAGGAAGAGGCAGCAGTAGAAGTGGACGCGTCGTGAGAAGAAGCCGATGCCCGGATGACAAACCCTACATTGCCGGAATTTCTCCTCCGCTTGGAGGAGGCGATGCAGCTGCCGCCAAGATTGAGCGAGAAGCTCCACCAGCTGCGTGCGAACTGAGCGCTGGCGGAGGAGGAGGCGGCGGAGGAGCAAGAACACGGCGCCACAATGTCCGCCATTGCGGCGGGCAGGATATTTTGAAAATAGAGACGATGCTTAATAGGCTAAAAATCCCCGCGAATATCTTAAGATTCTACCGTACGATTTAAACTGGAAGCTTAAGATATTCGCAAGTACGGATGGAGGTTCATGGATCTAGAGCTCGAGCGTTTCTCTAGGCTGCTACGAGACTGTGGAGACTCGAGAGATTTAGGGCGAGGACGAAAGCTCCACCGAGAGATTCTTAGCGGTGGCGAGCACCTCAGGCACTGCAAGCTTCTCAAGGACCAGCTGATACACATGTACGGGAAATGTGGGAGCGCCGTCGATGCCTGGGACGTGTTCTGCGGGATCAACGGCTCGGATCTCCTTTCCTGGAATCTCATGCTCAGTGCATATGCTCAGAATGGGCAACTGGGAAAAGCGAGAGAAGTGTTTGAACGTATTCCACGGCGAGATGTTTTTACATGGACGGCTATGATCACTGCTTGTCATTGCGGTAATTCCTTAGAACAATCGAAAAACTACTTTGATTCGATGCCGGAAAGAAACGTAGTTACTTGGACGGCCATGGCTACTGCATTTGCCGGAGCTGGGTATTTAGAAGAAGCCCGGATAATCTTCGATAAGATGCCCGAGTGGAATCTTGTGACCTGGAACACCATGGTCGAAGCATATTGTTCCAGCAATGAGTTGGATGAGGCCAAGGTGATCTATGATAGCATGCCCCAAAAGACAATGGGAGCCATGACGTCGTTCATTCGTGTTTATGCAGAGAATGGGGATGTAGAAGCTGCAAAGATTCTATTTGACAGCATGCCTTACCATGATGAAATTTCTTGTGTAAGCGTAATGGCAGGATTTGTATATGACTGTTCTTTAGACCGAGCATTGTTCGTGTTCAACAATATACAATACCAAAGTATATTATCTTGGACATCTATGATCTGGGGTTATATCCAGATGGGCCACCTTGAGGAGGCAAAGGTGGTGTTTGACTCAATGCCTCTCTACAATGTGGTGGCTTTAAATGCTATGCTACAAATTCATGTTATAAACAGAAGTGTCAAGGAAACAAAGCACGTATTTGAGCGAATGTGTCAAAAGAATCTAGTCTCGTGGACTTTGATGCTTTTGGCATATGCCCAAGATGGTTATTTCTTGGATGCTCAGAGATTGTTTGAGAAGATGCCAGAGAGAAACGTTGTAATTTGCAGTGCTTTGATGGAAATGTATACCCAAATGGGGAGTTTGGACCAAGCACTGGATATATTTCATTCGATGCCCATTCATAATGTGGTTTCATGCACAATAGCTTTACAAATCAGATCCTTGTTAGGTAGCAGCATTGAGGATCTTAGGGTGATGCTAGAAAGATTTCCCCAGAAAGACATTGTTTCACTTAATGTAATGCTCGCTGAATATGCCCGAAGAGGGAATATGGACGAAAGCATAAACTTCTTCTATTTTGTAATGCCCTTCCACAACACCTCATCCTACATCCTATTACTTGAATCTTACCTTTACAATGGCCATGTTTTTTCAACAAAAGAAATATACGCAAACATGCCAAAAGAAAGTACTATTGCCTCCAAAGCCATAATAACCGCATATGCCCATTCAGGGCATCTGCTACATGCAAAAACCACCTTTGACAGATCTCTGTGTCGAGATCTTGACATGTGGACAGCTCTGATTTGCGCCTATGGCCGTTGTGCGCAATGCAGAGAAGCCCTAGAGATCTTCCACGAGCTGGTTTCCAGCGGAATCAATCCCGACGCAATCACCTTCTTGAGTTTGCTCTTTGTCTGTAGCCACTCAGGATCTTTAAAAATCGCCCAAGAGTGCTTTTCTTCAATGGTGATTGATTACGAAATCTCACCCATTCCAGACCACTTGAGCTGCATCGTTGACATACTAGATCGCAATTTCCTTGACTCTTGGCTATACTCCAGTTTTCAATTCACTGATTTTTAAAGTGTAGCATTTGGGACCTCCAGAATTAACTGGTTCTTGCTTCTATGTACTTTTACATGCTTTGATATGGGCAATTCCAAATTCTATTATACCTACAGCTGTAGGGCACACTTCTAAGTAGAGCTTACAACACACCATGCTATATATCCCCCATATTTATGCCAGCAAGGCAACTTTGGTCATGTGGAGAACATCTACCATATTCTTTATCAATGCCCAAACCATCAGCATCTATGGGATCATATAACCCTTCATCAGGGATTGAGCATCCATGTTAGTGATGGAGGCTAGTTGTAGTAAATTGTAAAGTCTAAGTGATTAAATTTTCATTCTATTTTAGTACCACTTAAAAGAGTCTTATTTTTAACTTCCATAGGTCTACAGCAGTTTCTACTTGCCTCCGCTTGTTCTTCCTACCAAAACACTCATTGAGTTACATGGTGAGAAACGACCGCACATACCCCGCCACATGGCATCTAGCCTCAAGATCCCACTCTCATGGTGCCGAGAGCGCTGCCGCCAGGATTGCTGCTGCCCCGGCCGAAATATTGCCACCACGGCCTAGAATCCCGTCCTAGCATCACCCTAGCATTGCTGCCATGGCCGCCACGGCCGGATACTGCCCTCGTATAGCTCTTAACACCTGACAAAATCAATCTACAATTCTGTGTTTTATAAACGAATTCAAATTACACTGAGGTTAATTTCTTTGCTTCTGATCAAGCGGCCTGCATTTTGGTTCAGCAATTTCAATGAGGCAGCTGGATGAAAGAATGTATGAAAAGTTTATAACGCACTTAAGCTCTTGTCCTGGAAAGCAGAATTGACTTGGGGAGAGAGTATGGTGATAATGATATAATCAGGCATGAAACTTCTAACATCACATAATATCAGCTGGGGTGGAGATAGTGCTTGATAGGTGCCTAAAAGGAGTGCTGCCACTCTCTTCTCAGTGCATGCAAATGTATCAGAACTTAGGAAAGCGCTGAGGATATTGGAGTTGAATCCATACGTTGTTGACTTATATCCAACTTGTCGTTTAGGATCTTCTAATATTGGTTTTACCACCTAAATTGGGAAATAAAAACCGTGAAGAGAAGGAACTTTCATGTCTTTTGGTAATAGAATTTTCTTACTTAGGTAAGAAGAAATGAAGAAATATTTCTCACTGGTTTTCTATTTATCTTATCTTGTTAATAAAGCATACTTTATGAGTGATGGATATACATGGAATTGTTTACCTTATTCTTTAAGAGTTTCTAATGCAGATATTTGTAAATGTGAAAATGATATTTTTCATTCCCTTAATCGAAATCAAACTGGAAGACTATCATTTACTCATGGTCTTGTAAAAGTAACTGCATATATTGCAATCCATAGTAGTGTAACTTCAAGTGATTTAAATGAAGCTTTGAACATAATATGGGATAAATGCATAACACCTTTTAATAAAGGTGGAGCTGTATATCTAAGAAATGGGTCACTTAATGTAAGAATTGAGGCAATAAGAACTGAGTTATCTCTAGAGGTATCAGAAAATCCTCAACTTGCTAAACAAAATTGCTAATGTAAGAAGGTTATTTTATTATTGACTATAATTTTAGTCATTTATTTTTTCCAAAAATAATTGTGAAAAAAATTAATACTTATAATATTTAAATGCAGTTTCTACAATTGTAATATTAGAATTTTAAAACTCCAATCTAATGAGAATCTTGTATATTAAATATATGAAAAATAAGTCAATGTCATTTCTAATTGAGTGATAAATTTCTGCAATACCACTATTAATTTCAACTTCTCTAAGCTCCAATGGAGCTTGGAAGTCCACAAGCTCCAAGTTCCAATTGTTGTGCCTCCAAGTGATACTTACCTCAAGTGTTGCTCCTCTAAATAAGTGTTGCTTGCCTCCAAGTGTTCTACCTCTAAATGTTACTTTCTCCAAGTTGTTGTGCCTCTAAGTGTTATTTCCCTCAAAATATCAATTTTTATACTTCCAAGTTTTGCCACTAAATGTTGCTTACCTCAAAGTGTTGTGAAGTGTTATGCCTCCAAAGTGTTGCTTGTGTGACTTCACCTCCAAGTGTTGTGCCTCTAAATGTTGTTTGAAGTGTTATTGAACTATTGCTTAATTTGCTAGGTGTCAAGAGTTTGTCGTTGTGAGGAGAGGAAATAACAAAACTGCTAATAAAAATACTAAAATAATGAAGAATTTTCTTTTTATGATGAACATTGTGAGTATAAAGTCCTTAAAACCGTACTTTTCTAAAGGTTTTATAAATTAATTTAACTTCTAGCTAATCCAAAAACTTACTAGGTATAGGAATCTACATATGAAACTCATAGTGAGAATTTATTGTTAAACATATAAAACCAAAAGTTAGATCAATTGAAGAAAGAAAAAATTAAAGGAATTCTAAAATCACTATATATATATAGAGATGTATATCCTTTAATGTATCTTTATGTTTTAAAATTCTATGAATAATAATTTCAAATGATATTTTCATAAGAATACGACATATTTTCCTTAACCTGAAAAAAAATATTATATGAAATAAGTTATGATGTTTTTAAGAGTAGCATGTTAAGATGTATATGCATATATTATGCAATAAGCTCAAAAAAAGACACATTTTATTTGACTCTATTACCAGTGTGAATTTTTATACCTTATATATATTTATATTTATTTAAATTATAATTTTAAAATATTAATTAAATAAATTATTTTTATTTGAAAAAAACTTTAACTAATATTTTATAAAAAAATTAAAAAAATTTAATAGGTAAATATAACTAATAAATAATAAACTAAAATGAAAAAGCTATTTTTTTATAAACTTTAATAGAGAGAACTATTCTTAAAAAATCTTAACATAAAGCTTTGAGAAAAGGAATAATGAAAATAATTCTCAAAAAATTAATGTAATGTCTTTTATGAATATATATATATATATATATATATATATATATATATATATATATATATATATATATATATATATATATGTGAGGGCCAAGTGTACGGCTACGATGCCGTATACTAATATTAGCGTAGTGGATTTTGGTAGCCATCGGATTGGTTTCAATCCGGACCACTCGCTCCTGTATATAAGCTAGGGTTTTTGGGTTAATTGATATGCACATTTCTGTATTCCCTTTCCATATTCCATGCACTCACATTGGTGGAGATGAGGGGCACCTTTGATTGTCCCTTGGGAGTGCTTGGATTTGGGATTTCGGTTTAGATCTAGCTTTTGCATTGTCTAGATCTAGCTTTTTCCATTTCCTTTCTTTTGTTCTTTCCTTTCAGGATTTTGGTTTAGATCTAGCTTTTTGCATTATCTAGATCTACCATTTCTTTCTAGCTTTTTGTCATTTCTCTTCTTTTGCTCTTTCTTTCTCATTCATTTTCATGGCCGATCCGCAATCTCCTCCTTTGACTCTAGAGCAGCAGTTGGTTCAATTGCTTGATGCTATGCGCCTGCAATTGAACAACCAAACTCAGTTGATGGCGGCGTTCACGGCACATGGTACAACTCCTCCTGCTTTTGGTGCCAATCCTCGCGTTCGGCCGGAGTTCTTTCGTGGGAATCCTGGGGATGCTGTGTACCATTGGTTCGATCACTTCACGGTGATTGCCACATATCATTCTTGGGATGATGCTCGGCGTTTGCGTGAGTTCCCCACATGTCTTCAAGGGACGGCATTGTAGTGGTACAATGGATTGAGCGCAGCTACTCGTGGCGATTGGAGTGTTCTTCCGGACGTCTTCAAACGCGCCTTCGGACACACCGACGATTGTGATGATGCCTTCCAACAATTGCATCGTCTTCGCCAAGGGCCATCTGAGTCGGTGATGCAATTTGGCGTTCGTTTCCGAAGTCTTTTGCTTCGTGCGGAGCCAAATATGTCGGAGCGGATCAAGCTAGGAATGCTGTGGCCAGCACTTCGTCAAGATTTTGTCGGACTTGTGCATGCACTTGCTCCTGCCACTCTTGACGATGCTCTTCGCTTGGCACAACGTTATGAGACGTCGCCTCTTCCACTTCTTGCTACACGTCCTTCAGCTCCACTTCCTATGAGTGATGGTCCTGTTCCCATGGAGGTTGATGCTGCTGCTACTCGAGTCCAAGGACAAGGGCGAGGACGTGGTCGTGGCCGTGACATTCGTTGCTGGGCGTGTGATGAAGTTGGTCATACTTATCGGCGTTGTCGGTGCTTTCCGGATTGGCGACCTCCATTTCCTGGGTGGAGACCTTGGCGTCAGCAACGTCCCGTTGGTGCTGCTGCGGTGGAAGGTTTGGATACCGAGGTGCATTCGGGAAACGAGGAGTCGCGCGAGTAATGGAGGGACCTTGCGCGAATAAGTTAGTGACCCCTCCATCTTTCTTTCGGGAGTATCATCAAGGGGTTCACTCGGCACCGGTTCATCCAGTGTTTACTTTCCAAGCTCGTTTTTATAACAAGAGGTCTCCTATTCTTCTCTCCGTGTTGGTTGATATAGGTTCGAGTTTATCTTCTATTGCTCGACCTGTTGCCACACGTTGTCGTCTACACTTGCGTCGTGTGGCGGATCCAGTTTTCATTCTTTATGGCAACGGCCGTACACATGCATGTGCACGAGATGAGGCGGACCTGGTTGTGCGTGTGGGCGATCTCGAGCTTGAGTTGCAGTCGTTGCGGGTGGTGCCGAGTCAAGCTTTTGACCTCATTCTTGGTATGGATTGGTTGCAGCACAATCATGCCAAGTGTGACTTTGAGGCTTTTCCCCCTTGTCTCATACTTCCTTATGTTTCATCCATTCCTCTCACTTCTGTACCTCTTCGTCCCTCTACTTCTACCTCTGCTTCCATTACTTTTGTTCCCCCATTATTTCCTCTTGTGTTTCCATCTTGTTCTGCTCTTCCCTTTTCCGATCCCTCCGATGATCTTTGTGTTGCAGCTGTTGATCAGCTCATGAAGGAGTATTCTGATCTCTTTGAATTTGACCTATC